AGTGGACAAGTATCTCTTATATTCAACGCAGCAAATGCTAAGCTGGGGTATTGAATTTTGAAATGCATATACTAACCAGAAAATATATATATAGAATCAAAAAAGAAAACAAAGAAAAAGAAAAAGATAAACAAAGACGCTCATATTCATTCCCATTCACGTTTCAGCAACTCATTCAGCGGTTTCGACACTCTAAGCAATGGACATGCGTCCTGGGTGGCGGGCAGGGCCTCGGTTGAAGCCAGCTCTGAGCATCCGGCTCTCGAGAACAAGCTCAGTGTCGTCAAAGTAGCGAGTCACGAGATCACTCATGTCACGCTCAGCAAGCCCATCCTGGAGATCGCGCTCCTCCACATCGCGGAAGAGGAGCTTCAGAGCCCCCTTGGCGACCTTGCCCACACCCTTGGCAATACCCTTGGCGCTGATCTTGCGCTCCTCAAGGTCGCGCTCCTCGATCTCAGTCTCATCGAAGAATCGGGCAGCAAGCTCCTCCTCGTCGAAGTGGCGGGCGAAGAGCTCGTCAATGTCACGCTCGTCAAGATCCTCGCGCTCGGAGAGATCGCGGAAGAGGAGCTTCAGGGCTCCTTTTGCGACCTTTCCGACACCCTTGGCGACACCCTTGGCGGTGATCTTGCGCTCCTCGAGGTCGCGCTCCTCAATGTCGGAGTCATCGAAGTATCGGGCAGCGAGCTCCTCAAAGTCACGCTCGTCGAGCTCTTCCAGGTCACGCTCATCGAGCGCATCGAGGTCACGGAAGAAGAGCCCAAGGGCCCCCTTGGCGACCTTGCCAACACCCTTGGCAATACCCTTGGCGCTGATCTTGCGCTCCTCAAGGTCTCGCTCCTCAAGTTCGTCGAGATCACGCTCATCAAGCTCCTCGAAGTCGCGCTCCTCGATCTCCTCAAGGTCACGGAAGAACAGCTTCAAGGCGCCCTTGGCGACCTTTCCGACACCCTTGGCCACACCCTTGGCGGTGATCTTGCGCTCCTCAAGGTCACGCTCATCAAGCTCGGCCTCGTCAAAGTACCGGGCAACGAGCTCCTCCTCGTCAAAGTAGCGCTCAACGAGCTCCTCGAGGTCCCGCTCCTCAAGTTCATCAATGTCACGCTCTTCGATGTCACGGAGGAGGAGGTTCATGGCGCCCTTGGCAACCTTGCCAACGCCCTTGGCGACACCCTTGAGGCTGAACTTGCGCTCCTCGAGGTCGCGAGCAGCGAGCTCCTCTGCCTCGTCACAGTAGCGAGCGATGAGTTCGTCGAGGTCTCGCTCGCTGAGCTCATCAACGTCTCTCTCTTCGACATCGCGGAAGAGCAGTTTCAGGGCACCCTTGGCGACCTTGCCAACTCCCTTAGCAACGCCCTTGGCGGTGATTTTACGCTCCTCGAGGTCACGAGCAACAAGCTCCTCCTCGTCATAATAGCGAGCGATGAGCTCCTCAAAGTCTCGCTCGCTGAGTTCATCAACGTCTCGGGCTTCGAGGTCGCGAAACAAGAGCTTCAGGGCACCCTTGGCGACCTTTCCGACGCCCTTGGCAACACCCTTGGCGGTGATCTTGCGCTCCTCGAGGTCCCGCTCCTTGTGCTCGGGCTTGGACTCCGGGGCGAGAGCAACGCTCAGCTTGCCAGACTTGTGGGCCTTCTTGCCGGAAGCAGCACCAGTGGTGTGCTTGGCGGCCTTGTGATGCTTTCCAGACTTGGAAACCTTGTGGTGGCTAGGGGCCAGAGCAGCACCGAGCTTGCCGCTCTTAGCAGCCTTGTCGCTCTTGCCAGCCTTATGGGCGGACCCGATCTTGGGGAGCTTCTGGTTGGGCGCGAGGGCGACGCCCAGCTTGCCGCTGGGGGCGGCTTCGGCTCTCTGCACCAGTGTGAGATCGTTGGATGCCTGGTCGACCTGGAGGGCGAGACCCTGGCTGGCGAGGCCGAGCCAGACGAGGGCAGCGAGGCTGAGTTGCTTGGGGGCGACCATTGTGAATGTGTAATGTGAATGAAAGTTGGATTTGGAAAGTAGAATGGGGTAAAGAAAGTCGATCTTGTAAAGAAAATCGAAGGAGGGAAAGAAACCAGCAGGTTAAATTGAGAGATGTAACAAGTTGAAGAGAGTAAAGCAGACTGCTAAATGAAAAAACTCAAGGAAAGCTAGAAGGCCGGCTGCTAGGAGTTGCTTGCTGTGTTTGTTGATGAGAAAGTAACATCTTGATGGAGATCGAGTCGGATTTTATACACATTTCCACGAGGATACCGAGATGGTGTAGGGCTGTGCCGTTGGTGAGTTCCTAAAATTAGCGGCGTATACATTTTCCAATGGGCGGCACAGATGACATCCAGATGCCCTTCTGGTGGGTTTGCAGATACGATGAGGTGCGGCCTGTCACAGACGGAGGATGTTGGCAAGCTGCAACACACATGAGGTACCTGGATCTGGATCCTGTGCCGGAAAACGAAAGTACGAAACACTGCGCCGTCCCAGACATCCCAATGGGGATCGAGATTGTATCGCATGGCAGCCACCACCCGCACTAGGAATCAGCTCCACTGTGCCGTCACGGCAGTAATCATTGACTAAGGAGTTGGCACCCATCTTGGCCGTAATATGTGTAGGGCTGCGGTTGGGCTGACCCATGTTGATCAGCCCCAGGTTTCTCGCTGGGAAATCTATTTTGCAATTGACGAGAAAATCACCGAATGTCCTTTCCACAAGGCGATTTTACGAGGGAACCATAGAACAGTGGCAGAAAATAAAAAAGAAAGTGCGGCACACCTCGAGTAATCTCTCTGACCACCTCACAGCCTACAGCGGGTGTCTGTAGATGCTGGCCGCAGCCACCTCGACCTGTGTTCAGAAATATTAGCGATCGGCAAGTGGTCGGCTCAGTCTGCCGGCCATCTGCCCTAACAATCTATCGAGTAATAATTACTAATTAATCCCCCACTGCCTTACTCAGTCTGAGTGATTCGAGGCCTGGGTCTCACACCACTTCGGCCTGCGTCGGTGCCGACCTGCGACGAGCCTCCCTAGACACCTCCCCCATGCAGCACAGATCATCGCCGGTTCTTAAAATAGGCGGGACAGTTGTCAAGCACGCTCAGCCCCAGATTTCATTGCACCGCTTCATTCTGATCACTCTGCCTTGCGGACAAGGGGTGGCCGCAATCGTTCTGTCGCGAATCCAATCCAACCTGCTCCTCGACTCGAGTTTCAGGCACTTGTTGGCCCACATTTGTCCACACAAGAGCATCAAATATGCTCTCACATGCCCTTCCCATCCCCTGATCAATCGTTTCACGCCCAGTCCCGGTGAAACTAAAGGAATGTGGGCATCACCCGGATGCTAGCAAACCACCAATACGGGAAGATGCCGCCTCAAGATGCGGGGTCGTTGCTGAGCATGTGTTGATCAATTGACAATTGGATGTTATTTTTAACACCTTGCTTTTGAACTCACTACAGCCAATAAACGGCACATGTTTATGGTCCCAGTTAGGTATGCATAGATGAGCCAAAAGTTCTTCGAGATCCCATGATGGGAAGGCCTTTGTGTCCCATGTGCACGACACAAACCCAGTAATTACCAAAGTACATCAGTTTGTTCCCTTATTTTAGGTATTTTTTAGCGAATTGCCAACAACCCTACCTAAGAGATAATGACCTAAAGTAAGAATCGCTACAATCACGACATTCAAAGCAACTTTTAGAAGGAATGAAGATCGCTATTCAATGCTTTGGCAATAGGGTAGGTAGGTCGAAATAACTGAGACGTCAACGGTGATATGCACAGCAGGGTTAAGTGTGCTGAATGTACCTCAATGCCTGCAATATAACTTCTGTTACCCTTAAGATCCCAATGTATAAGTGATAGAAGGAAGGTGTAGTGCTCTCTGTCTCTGATGCAAAGTATTCAGACATCACCTTACTTAGCTGAAGTATCGACTACCCTATGTAGGACAGTCCTTATACTGATCATATTTATTGCCATCCTGCGAGATGGGAGGGTCCCCAGATAGCAAAATACCTTGGCTGTTGAATATAATCTTGCATGAATGGTGTAACGATATAACAACCGTCTCTATGATTGACTCAGTGAAATTCGAAGTGATAGCTGTACAAATACCGCTTACCTCTGGTTAGACGAGAAGACCCTGTGCAGCTTTACTATGACTAATCACCTATAGAATATGATAGACAGCCTTCAGACTGAAAGGGAATAGATCATTCGTACAACTTGCAGCGCAAAGCTTGTACATCGCCCAGGATCATTATTTAGGAGTAGTTGAAACTCGGTATCCCCCTCGTAAGATTCGAGAATTTGTTCTTTTGTAATCTTCTTCAAACGGGTTGGGTCTTTGATCAGCTCCGGCAATGTGATCTGGAATTTGTTGAGGAGCCAGTGGACCATGAAGTATGAGGTGTATGGATGTACGGTAAACAAGTACATCCATTGCGATTGGGATTAAAGAAATTTAGGAGCGTGATCACAAGTATATTACAGAAAAGCAGATAAAGAGCTAATTCAGGCATATATAATACACGTTTATTGTTTTGTTGTTGTTGTGGTAAAGATCACAACCTACCGGGTAGGCGTCTAGGAGTAGCGCTGGAATGATGGACTGGAACACTACGGATGTCCATTTCGACGAGGAGCCATTACTGGATATAGATTACTACCATTATGCGCCTTGATGGAGCCTGAGATCAACCTCGACGTTTCGTGAGAGTGACGCTGGAGATGCATTCCTGGCTTGTTGGTGGACTGCTAAATTTAGCAACCACTAATACCACGACTAACATCAAGACTCGCCTCGATTTCAACCCGTGAATTTCAGAGCTATTTTCCCAGCGCTTATATCTAATCGTGCGTATAAGCGCTTGCATATTGGAGAGCATGACAGTGAGCAATAGTTCGGCGAGGGGCAGTTATTTAGTGATGTCAGCTGATGGATCCGCACTCTGCCTGGAATTGGCCATTTCTGCCTAATCCACCACCAGATCCCCATGATCCATCAATGCACATTCGCGCCGACCAGCAAGCACCGAGGATGGTCGATCAACGCGGCCGCCTGCTCTGGCCAACGAATCGCACGAATCGCACGAAGCGCCCTCGACTGGATGCCGACATACATACCCCGAAGAAGCGCAAGCTCAACCATCCCTCCGTTCCTCCCCCCCAGTTCTGGGACAACCTCTCGCGGCCAGTCTTTACTCGAAACGCGTTACGAGAGCTCGATCGTCGCAACGGCATACGCGATCAAAGTCGAACCCACACGATACATCGATGGTACAATACACGCAGCGCTTTCTCGGCGGCGCCCGGGGCTCCTACACAGACTCCCCTTCAGTTGTCTCCGACAGGTCGGGCGCAGCTCAAACTCTCGGCTAGCCACGGCGGCCCGGACCTACGAGACCTCGGAGGAGTATGGATTCCCTCCGAGTATTCTGGTCGCTTGTCGCTGACCTTCGGATAGTACCGCCCCCCCTCAAAGCACGCTCGACATGTCCCGGAGCCAGTCGAGTCTCGGTCACCGCAAACGAGGATCACAGTCAGCTTCTGAGAGCAATGCGACACCGGGCATCACCACGACAAAAGCACGGGGCCATACGACTGCGCTTTCCACCAACACCTAATCCATGGAAACATATTTCCTCCCCGATATGAGTACCCCAATGGAGACAGAGTTGCCAAACCCGAGAATATAGAGGACATAAGGAAAGCATTTGCACAACCCAGGAAATCCTTATCACCCAGCCGATTTTCCGAAGAGGAGTTTGAGAAGTTCGAACGTGCAGACGCCCATGCAACAACGGAGAGCCGGGTGGTTGCGACTGTGATTCCGATCATCGAAGGAGATAACGGTGATCTGAGGGCTGTCGCAAGCGATGTTGCATTCACAGGCCTCGACCATTTGACTGATGGATCGCTGGTCAGTACCAAACCAGATTTATATTACGGTGCCCGGCCGGAACAGCTGCAAAAGGAGGTCCGAGAAGCACTCAGCAACTTGATAATCCCTTCGACTCAAGACGATCTACCAATAGCGCCAAACAATTTCCTAGAGGTCAAGGGACCAGATGGTTCTCTGTCCGTGGCAACTCGGCAAGCAACTTACGACGGAGCCCTCGGCTCCCGGGCGCTTCACGCTCTACAGTTCTACGGGACCGAGCAAATACATGATAACAAGGCCTACACCCTCGCATGGACATACCATGGAGGCCATTTAAAGGCTTACACAAGCCATCCTATCCCGCCATCGACCCCCGAAAGGCCATCTGGCTATGCTATGACTCAGTTGAAGGGTTGGTCCATGACAAGTGATGTTGAGACGTTTCGTCAAGGAGCTGCTGCGTACCGTAACGGTAAGGACCGGGCTAAGCAGCAACGAGACGAGGCCATTGCGCAGGCAAATAAGACCACCTCGTTGACGGCCGTTGCTCAACCGCTAAATTAGTATTATTATTCTTATCAGCATTTTTCATCATTATTGCGGCCTGGATGGGAAAGTTTAGTTAGAAATACATTTGCAGTCTGTTATTCTGATACTTGCGAAACCTCTGGGTCTTCCTGGGCATCGCGAAGGATTTTCCTGAATCTAGAATACAAAGCGGCGTCCTCTTTCTCCCATCTTCCACCATTTGGAAACACTATCTTCCGGACTCTATTGACCCAAGGAACCAGGGGCTGGTAATATTGTGTGAAGTTTTCCTTTGCGAATCTGATGAAGTCACCCTCATGACCAATCTTTCCTTTCTTCAAGTCTGCGAGCTGGTCGGCGCCAGCAGTATGCCACTCGTCGAAATGTCGAACGACTCTGGCCCGGTGAGGACCATCGTAGTGAATACATATCCAGAATAAGACCCAGAAGAATGATTCAATATCATGCATAAAAGAGTGCCGTTCACCAAGAAGCACCCCAATAGCCATAAATACCCTTGTGCCGACCCTCCCTCTTGCCCCTGAGACACCTTCGCGTTGCTCATGAATAGCTAGGCCGAGGTCAATAAGAAATCCACGCCAAGATGGGTTTTCATCGTCCTCGTTTATCATGAGGTTGTTGATAGAGATGTCTCGGTGGAGGATGCCGGCCTTTGAGCGTAGGGACTCATGCCCCTCGATACATGCCTCCAGCGCGGAGAGGAGGGAAACTCGGGAGCTTGCCTCGTAGATCGGCTTTCCAAAATCACGAACGACGATGCGCTGATGGACTCGATTCTTTTTCGTCTCGGAATATTCCCAAAAGTCCTTAATGACAAGGGGCATACCATCTTCTTCTCGATGGGCCTGCCAGCATGTTGTTCCACGACCGGCCACGCAAGACGCTCGCTTGATCAGTCTGTCAAGAATGAGTCGCTCCGTCTGGCCATTCCGTGCGATCTCGATGTACCGTCTCCCTCCCGATGAGATAATTGTAGGGTCAAATCCAAGACGTTGATCACTCATCCAGAGAAACCCGAGGATCGCATACACAAATTGTTCTCCATCCTGGTTGATATCGAAACTCTCCGAGGCAGTCCCTCCAAGACGATCAAACTCCCATATCCTCATTAGAGATCCGCAAAGCGTAAAGCCCAGAACGAAGCGGCGATTATCCTGAGCAGTCAGCACCTCTCTAACAGATCTCCCGAGGTCGAGCCAAGCCTCCAAAGCCGTGTCGGCGGAGGGATTGCTCCTTAATTCTCCTGGCACCAGGATCTGCGACCAATGGCATCGAGAGTCCTTCTGGGCGTCGGGGTCCGCAATGAATCCGACGTCCAATTTGCGTTCTGTTGTAGACCCTCGAATTGGTCTGCTGGGTTGTGCCAGAGGCCTCCTCCGTAATGTTGTGGTTGGCTTGTATTCGTCCGCGAGGTCCTCAAGCTTCCCAATGACGGTCGAAAACCAGCTTAAAACCCCATCTAGTTCGGCATCTGCCGGCCAATCCCTCCATCCTTCACGGAAGAGCGGCTCGTCGCCCTGAAGACACTTTGCGAATACGGCCTTGGATGCTCGATCAAGTTCGGGAACTGCACCGAAGAAAGCCTCGTAGAATCTAGGAAGCCCGACGTATAATTCGCCCAATTCTTCCTTCAGGACTTCATCCATATATTGATCATATTCAGAGAAGTTCGAGAATTGGGCTGGACTGAGAAGCCCCGGGGTTTCTGGGAGAGAGGAAGCGATCGTTTGGGGAGGGGGTGTAGATTCAGTGAGAGCTGCATAGACATGATTCCAAATAACCGTATCAACTGTGTTCTCGGCGACCACGGCATGGAGAAGAGGCTTGATGCGGTCGATCTCATACTCGTTCGAAATGATCGCGGGGCTAAGTTTCAATATGTCGGTGCGGAGATGGTTGCTGCGGCCACTGGAAGGGAGCAGACGTGCGACGGGAAGCCTCTGCAATTCTAATAGAAGGTCGAGGACAAGGTCTTGGAGGTCGTTTTCGTGGAGACTCTCGAGGCTTTCTGGTATAGCAGGAAGACTCCGGTCTTGACAGATCGTGCGGAAAATTTCGCGAAAACTATCAAGGCCTGCTTCGATTGGATTATCCTCGATAGTCTTCAAACGCGCCTGATCCATGGTGACGTCAGTTTGGGCAGCGGCGACTCAATAAATAGGTGCAATATTGTTGGATTCAAACGAATACGGGTAATAACAAGTGTTTATTTAGGTCAATAGTTTGTGTATTCAATTTTATGTGGCTGTGTTGAGTGTTGTGTGACGTTGTTACCAGCACAGCAACTGATTGGAGCATGGGATATCCACTATTTGCTAACTTCCCGTCTATTACGGTAGCAGGTAGGTAGGCGCCAAAATAACAGACTGAAAAGGTGGTTTTCTATCTCAACTTTCCAATACAGGCTACAATGATAAAACTAGGTAGTTGGATCATAATATTAATAAATTGTTGTGTAATTGTTGTGTAATATTGCCTACCTCTTATTACACAATATTCAATGTGACTGACTGCTTATACTGTTCTATGCCTACTTGTCTCTGAGTGCCAAATAGGTATGTTCAATGCAAACAATATCACCAGCATTTAATAGTATGATTTCATTCTCACTAACTGGTATCTTTTGTATTCGGTCTACGGCCTCGTACGGTGCCTTTGCCTTCACTAATTACACCTAGGTCTACTTCATGTGGAAGTCTCTTACCACTTGGATCTTGACCATGTACGTTCATGGCTGAATCATGCTTTTTCTTTTTCAGGGAGCGCGAACGCTTGGGTGGATGTATAAAGTTGAGAGAAAGCTCACCTTCGGGCATGTCCGTAGTCTTATGCGAAGTTAGGCTGATGTTATTAGTTATAGTTCGACCAGTGGTAGTCTCGGATGCGTCTTCTAAGGGTGCGCCAGCAATAATAATACTAAATCATTGAGCAATCATTCCGTAATATTCTTTGCTAATCAATGCGCAATAGGACGCATATTTATGTCTGATAACCGACTGCCACAATAACCTTGTTTTCCAAACAGCCACTTGGACGCCGTTCTTTATGGACAGTGAGCTAGTTTTACTTTGTTCCAGGAGTTTCATTAGCCCGATGCGACTTAAATTTCCCGCATGGGAGAGGCTAGCTCTATGCGCAGGATATTCCCCCTCGAATAACACATTTTTCATTCTGCCGTTGTGTTCTTGTTACCCACCACTTCCCCTTATCTATCACCGGAGCCTTTTATTGCTTGGGCGATTCCTCCATGCCCTGACCATTATATCCAGGGTTGTACGTTGACCAGACGGAAATCCTTATTCTCCTTCCTCAACCTATACAAGCTCGAATGTCTCAACTCTAGAGGGAAGCTGCTCTAAATAGCACATGGCTCTCCCGTCTATGAGACTGTCAATATAACAAGCGCATACCACCGAGAACTGGCTCCCGATGGGCCGAAGAACAAGAGGCACACTGCACCCCGGGAGAAAACAAACCAAATCCCCGGCTTTCGCTATGCCAGGAGCTGCGACGCCGATTGTAGCTTCTACACCGGCAATGCCAACCTGTAAGGCTGCCTGTCGCTCCACTGAAACAACAAACATGCATTTCTTGTCAATGGCAGACGCCATGAGCTTTAACTGCGCTCTGCCTTGAGAGAAGTCGACGGGCTCGCAAGTATCGTCGGGGCCATCGCCGCGCAAGTCCAAGCTCTTCATGAAGCTCGACACCGCGTCTTCTACGGCGTTATTTCGAAGCATTCCCAGAGAACAAGTATTTCTATAGAGGTCAGGCGGTAGTGGAGTCGACGGTGGCATTAGCTGCGTTATATCCCGGTAGCCTTCGGAGAGTTGCTTATGGAGTTCAGCGTAATATAGCAGCCGGGAAAGGTCCTTCTGGTCGGTTTCGCCTTCGCCTTGTGATAGATTAACGAGAGGATCCTTGAATTTGGTAATACGACCGAAGCGGAACCCTGATACAAACAGACTCCGTCCCGTGCCATCGAACCTAAATTTGGAGGCCGTTTGCGTGATCCCTAGGTGAGGTGGAGAAGGGACATGATAGCTACCGAACGATATCGGTCTCTCGCATATGTCTGGATCTTGTTGTACAGCCCAGTTGGGTGCCCAGGATGGTAAACCAGGTAGCTTGTTAGCTTCTGACAAGTTTGCAGAGCACAAGATCTCTAGACTGCAGGAGATTTCGATAACAGCTCGTGCTGCCCCAAGGTAGACCTCTGAAACAGGTTTGTTATAGTCGATGACCAGCCCGGAGTGGTCTGGGTAACTGATATCGGAGATTGCGAGGATGGAATAAACCTTGTCACGCGCATTGGCGCAGAAGCGGCCTCTGCCATGTCGAAGAAGCGTAAGTAAGCTTAAAGGGCCACGAATCCTAGCCCGACTTGGTGCGGTCTCTCCAGCGTCAGGATATCGCAAGCTACGATAAATGGAGAGAGGGAAGAACATGTCAGATTGCAACCGGGCGCGGAATTTCCTATACTCGTATCGCCCATCCATCAAAAGGGCCGCGACCTTGGGGGAGCTGAGAAAATCTACAACTAGATCAATATCCTCCTCCAAGATAAGGTAGGGCCCTGACTGAAGAAGCAGTTGCTGGGCGCAAGCGACCTCCTGTATGATCCACGCCCGCTGCCAATACGCCAGCCTTTCCCCTTGTCTTTCACCTATGAGGAGTTGCAGAGAATAAAGACCGTTATTAAAAGCGCGTCTGTGATTTTCGAATTCGGGATACCGTTCTGCGCCGCTGGAGCTCTCTTCCAGATACTTCTGAAATGGTGGGTACTCTTTTAGAAACCTGATTTGCTCGATGAACGAGATGGCATAATCCATCTCAACGAACGGATCAAATTGAGAACTGCGGATTCCGAGCCAAGATACTACGCGCCTGGCGGTTCGATAAATTGTGCCCATTATTGCAACCTGCGCGTTGCGTTCGTCGGTATCCATCTGGTTGATGCAAAGAGCATCTATCCACAGATGTCTGGCACTTGAAATGTTCCGTAGATACGTTAAAGCTGTTGCAAGGTTCCTGGTGACCTGCATCGTCTCACCATTGGCTTCGATGGGAAGGAGATCGGTTGGGTCGCCCCAGGTATACGATAAAGCCTCAAAGCCCCCCCCGTGCTGTAAGTCATAGGGCTCAATATTACATTTTATGGGATCTTCAAAACCCCCAGGCAATATTGAGCAAATTCGGACCATAGCCCCGCCGGTTACAGAATGAAGGGGATGGTAGAATGACATCCTTCTTACGTATGGATCAATATGAGGCAATTGGAATAATGCAATCAAATAAACCTATTGTAAGGTCAGACTCAGCTCAGACCTCTCCTGGTCTATCAAGCATACCTTGGATTGTGTAGACGTACTAATCAATTGCTGCACAGGTCCTCACAAAGGCTTCCGAGTAGTTACCTACCTACATATAACCTAAGGTACATAGATAAGATAAGCAAACATTGAGGGGGTCAAGTGCCCCAAATGTAAGTCTGCCTAATGAAATTGCATGTGCCCAATATCACAACCCAACTCTGCCTCGTGTCGTCATCTCACTACTAAAGTGCAAAAAATGCATATACTGCATCATTGCAAGCACAGCCACTGGCTACTCTTTTCTCAATTTCATGCATTGCTGTCCAATTGTCACTCTCACCGGCTAGACCAGTCACCAATCGAATTGAAGGGTGCCTCAATCAGTCGCCTTCCAATACTGCGCTTCCATCCTTACCTTAACTCAGGAAAGAAGAGTATTTCAGCTTATATTGCGAGAAAACAGTAAGAAGTATCAGGTAGGCGCTCTTTCCCTGGATCTGACTATAAGCTCTTTTAATTCTCAGAAATAAAAAATTAGCAAGAAATATTTCGCTTCTGCTACGACACATCGACATTGGATCAAAGATGGACCGTGACGAGCCTACCAGGCCAGCTGAGATCCTACGATTCAAGAACCACTACCTCAAATACTCTGAAGCGTCTTTGCTACGAGAATATGAAAAATTTTCTCGACAGACTAGCTCCTCTTCCCAATTGTCCAGATTTATGAGAGAGAAGGGACAAGGTCTTCTGAGTGCGATAGGTGAGAAGCGGGAGGAACGAGAAAGAATACAGGCGCAACGTGCAAGGCTGGAGGCACAACAGCAGCAGACGCAGCAGGAACAGACGCAGCAGGAACAGAAGTAATAGATGTTGAACCGAGATATGAAGTCCAAGGCCAGCGATCACTATGCCATAGTTGGTGTACAAAGTTTGTAACAAACGGCTCACAGTATTTTTTTTGTATAATTTAATTCGCCTCATCCGGAGGTATTACTTGTGGCAAAAGGCGGAGAGTTGATGAATTAACGATGCCACTACAAATGCATCTAGTAACTCTGCTGCGCCTGTGAACAGCCCGTAGGTAAAAGGCTGCTCACCACCAATGTAAAAGTTGACGAGATTCTAGTACTCACAGTGTTTAGAGAATTCTATATCTTGGCTTCGCTTTTTGACTTCGTGCTGTGGGCTCCTTGGTAGTTGGTGACAGCGGCGGGAAGTTGTGTTTCAATTACTTCGGATGGTGTCAACCTCCATCTTGGGATCGACAAAACAACTAGGTTACCTACATTCATTGCTCGTCTCATGATCTTCAGCTGATGAAGGACAGATGTCGCTCGTGGGCAAACATAGGCACCTCTGTCATAAGCTAACCGTACTTTTGATTGCGGACCTAAAAATGACCTTTGACTAAGAGTACATAACATTGGTGATGCATGTAAAAGCTAGAAAAAGGTGGACCAAAGATTTCTCACGCAGACGTTATACTTCCTCGATAGCCATACCGACTTCTTCAGTCTCTCTTGATGAAACACAATTCTCATGCAGATGCTTGACTTCCTCCATGCCCATGCGGACTTGCACGGCCTCTCTGGATAGAGAGGGATATCCATGGTGACGTTGCATATCTTCAATGACAAACCGACTTCCTAAACTTTGTTAATGACAAACCGACTTCCTAAACTTTGTTAATGACAAACCGACTTCCTAAACTTTTTTGATAAACTGACCTCGCCATTTCTTGCTGATAAAGGACCAATATTTGTTGATAAAGGCCCATTCTTGTGTCGATAAAAGGCAATCCCAATGCCGAAATCATTCCTCCTCGATGTCCGAAACCGAACCGAAATCACCAGTCTCTCGTCCATAGAAATGGGCTATCTATTCCTGAATGGACCATGGGAGGGTTGCTCCACGTTGGCCAAGTCTCTAATTGCCGGAGCGGTGTCTGGTGGCTCCCTCACGCCGGTCAAAGACTATGACAGTCACTTCCTTCGGGACACTCTGTTCTGCCTGTGACATGCTGTACGAGTCCGAATAGATTCGAGCGCGCCTTGCGGACGCCTCCCACCCGGGCGCGGAGACGTCCCTGAGCAGCCAGCCGGTGATCTCCACTTCGACTTTTCGCAGCTTAGTAAAGGGCTTGTATCGGATGATGTCGCGAACCGCCTCCAACAGCTGGCTGTCTCTCAGCTCGACTTTGCGTGAGGTGCGTACGATGTAGAGTGTCTCCAGGCCGAGAGGTAGATTGTCTTTGAGAGGTGCCGAGAAGACGTCTTCGTCTTCGTCTTCCTCTTCTTCCTCCTCATCATCAGTGTCGACGTCCCCCTCAACGGCGCTTGCCTTGAGCTTCAAAAGGTCTCCTGCGCTGATCTTGAGGTGGCGCAGCGACTCCAAGGTTCGAAGCGAGCCGAGGGGTCTTTTGGCGCGATAGAAGTAGTTGTAGTCAAAGGTATCAAGCTCAAAGGTCTGAAGCTTCGTGCCATGCTGTCTGACGACATGTCCCATTTCCTTCACGCTCACAGTAGGGCTCATGCCCATGAAGCCTACCCTGCGGATGTCGGGAAGGGTAATCGAAAGATAGTGGAGTTGTGTGCAGCGCGTGAGAATGTTCTCCAGGGCCCTGTCATTAACAAGACAACTTTCTAGCTGTAGTTGTTTGAGATTGCAAGATATCTCGCTGAATGTGGCCTCTTGATTGATCTCTTTATTATTCCACAAGAAGCCTTGCAAGCGAAGAGTTTCAACTCTTGGATGGTAGAGGACATCCTGAAATCCAGAGATGGCTGCGCAAGCCCTTGGGCTGATGTATCTGCGTCGGATCTCTTTGAGATCAGGAAGCATGCTTTGGTCATCTTCTTCGTGCGAGTCCGAGGAAGCAACCAGTGCGGAGTCATTGGTGCTGATTTCTTGGTTTCCAGAAGCAACCAGTGCGGAGTCATTGGAGCTGATTTCCTGGTTTCCAGAAGCAGTTTCAGGGTCGTTGATGTTTTGCTCACTCGCGTCAGCGACAACGGGATCTGAGACGCGTGGCTGGAAGACAGAGTTTTCAATCTTTCTGATACCACTAAGGTACTCGGTGAAACACTGATCATTGGTGTAGGTACGCAAGTCCACGGATTGGAGCTTCGGGGAAAGGATGAGCAGGAGCAAGACAACACCATCCTCAAGGTGAACAGTGGGGAAGGTCAGCCAACCGCTGAGCAACTTCTTCTGTGCCTCGCTGATGTCTTTGTTGTACTCAACAAGCTGACGCACCAGTCTGTCTATGTTCAAGCGAGTCTCCCAGGAGTCGATTCGTAAATGGCGGATATTCAAACCGAGTTTAGGTTCGGCGAACAGAGTGCTCAAGAAACCGTCCATGACTTTGCCATAATCACGCGGGCGGCGGGTTCTAACAACCGTCTGCGGGCTGATCCTAGTGAGAGTCTCGCTGGTGATGGAAACTGTTCTATACATGAAGGGGCGTGCAGCATTGCGAAATTTGCGGCACACAAGTGAGACTGAAAGAAGGTCGTTCGGCGGACCGAAGGAGTCTCTTAGCATGTAAGCCTTCTCCCAGCTGTCGTGGGGTGGAATCTCAGACTCGAGATTCGAGAAAATGTGAGTTAGGATTTCGTTTGGCATAGAATCCATGGCTCAGTAGGGATGCAGGCCAGGGCGACCTGGAGCTTCTGCTTGATGTGTTTGTGCTTGATGTGCGCGAGAAAAGAAAGCGGGAAGACAAAAGTGTTAAACTTGGGTTCCAAAAATCAGAAATGTGAGGAGTGGAAGAGAACAAGAAATGGTGGGAGGGGGAAGAGGAGGAAGAAAAGAGAAGTGAGGAAAGGCTCAGGAAAGGAATTAGGCCCGTCAGCACCTGCACCTGCCTCTGGCCGCGCCTGCCTCGCAACTGCCACCGGCCGTGGCGTGGCAGGAGCGAAGCACTCGAAGCACTCGACCGCGGATCTATTGCTCCGAGTCACTGTGGCACACACTTGGCTGTATACATGGCGTATTTTCAAGCTCGCACAGTAGGAACGATGATTGGGTGGTTTGGCGAGGCATCTAGGTGAGGTAGGTAGTTCTTCGAGATGTGATAGCCTCTCTGTGCTGGACTCGGTTGGAGTTTGATGCCCGTTGGTGATCTTTTTCATGCATCAGCAGCATCTAATGATATCAGATTTGATTTTTTATTGTTTTTGTTTAAATTAGAGAAGTTCATGCAGAACATGGACTGCATTGCCAGGTTGCGTGAACGATTGCCCGTGGGTAGCGTGTGCTTGGTGCAAGGCCTGGAGGAGAGTGAGCCAACTTGATCACACAGAACTCTTGCCAGACGAAAAGACATATACATTTAGACGTATTTAGTATTTTTAACATGCCCAATTACTATTTTGGAATCCATTTGTATCATCACGAGACGCCCTACAAGACTTAGTAGGTAGCGAGGGAGGTAGGCAGTGGGCACTGTCTCTCAGGATGTGCTGGGTCTTCTCCAGGAATCTCCCAAAGCAGGTTCCCCTAGGAAATTCGTCCTTGGAATACCTTTGCAGCCGCTATGACCGCTGCCAGTCGTCCAACAGTTGGCGAGGCCGGCTGATCACTTCTGCCCTAGGTGGGCTGAATTCCAGATTCCAACCATCTTTAACCAATCACTCCCTCCAAAGTCAAGTAGGCATCTACACCTAACAGGGCTAATCATATTCCGAAGTTCTGCTAACATGATAGGCGATGCTTATATCGTCTCGTTGACAGACTCGCTCAACACACCTTTCCCCACATTGTGCAAAAGAGGCTCTACTCCCGATCGAATGAAGTCTGTCAATTCTTTACGGCAGCGCATCAGAGGACGAATGTGGGCTGACCGGGCAAAACTTATTGCTCCTTCATCGACATCGGTAAGTCTCCAGTACCGAGCTGCTGCCTCTTTCAGTAGGTGCTAACGCAGCTCTTATCATCCCCGCCCACCCTTCCATGGACCGCGATGCGACCCAATTACTACCACCTCCCTACCTGAGATCGAAAGAGGATATTGTCTTCAGGAAGCTTCCGAAACAAGAAGGAGGATCATGGGCTTAAATAAAGCTTAAAGGACGCATTCTGTCCGCGATCGAAACCCTCCACGACCGTACCTCGAGCACCTCACCATTATCCTGCCTCCTAGCCGGTTCGCACCAATCTCTACAAAATGGTCCAGTTTGCAACAATTGCGGTCGCTCTCCTCGCGGGTGCGGGACAAGCACTATCCGCAGCAGTCGAGTCCCGCCCAGGGTCCCTCCCAAGCCGCCGGGATATGCATCTACGGGACGAAGGGCTACGCCTTGTAAAGACGAGCGAAGATGATCCTGGCACCTGGATGACGGAGGAGGAGAAGTTTGAGAACTTGATCTCCAAGAAGATTGGATTCATGGACATCACCGAGACCATTGTAAGGCAATTTCTTTTCCACCATGAAGTCTTGCACGTCTAACACTCTATGCTTTCAGGAGCTCGAAAGCTTCGGCCTCGACAGCGCGGCCAAGATCGCCGCCGTCGCCTACCCATCGGGCCCTTCCCACCAGACGGAGGCGAACGCACTGATCGCCAACGCCAGGCAGTCCAACCTCGAGACCTGGGCCAACGGGCTGGCCAACATCTACAACCGCTACTACCGGGGCTCGTACGCGGCCACGTCGGCGGCCTGGATGCTGTCCGCGGTCCAGTCCGCCGCGTCCTCCAACTCGAACATCAAGGTCAGCCAGTTCTCGCACAGCTACAGCCAGCCCAGCGTGATCGCCAAGCTCCCGGGGACGTCGAGCAGCGTGGTGATTGTCAGCGCTCACTACGATAGCGTTGGTTCTTCAACGAGCGGCCGTGCCCCGGGAGCCGATGACAATGCCTCTGTAAGTCAAAAATCGGTTATACCTTTGAATCAATTGTAAAAGGGGTGGGCTAACTCTTCCAACTTCAGGGCGTCGTGGTCGTGCTCGAAGCATTGAGAGTCCTCGCCGCAGCCGGTTACGCCCCGAAGAACACTCTCGAATTCCACTTCTACAGCGGAGAGGAAGGCGGTCTCCTCGGCAGCAGAGACATCTTCAACAACTACGCGTCCAACGGCGTGGATGTCCTGGCCGTGGTGAACCAGGACATGACCGGATACTCGCCCAACAACGTCATTGCCGTGTACACCGACTACGTCAACACTGCCTTGACCAACTTTGTCAAGACCCTTGTGCCCGTGTACAGCTCGCTGCCTCTCTCTCTCGACAGGTGCGGTTACGGGTGCAGTGACCAGTAAGTTCTGCGCGTGGAGTGTGATGGGAATCTACTAACACCATTGAAGTGCATCTGCCAACTCCGCTGGCTTCCCCAGCGCATACGTCTGCGACGAGAACATGGCCGATTCGAGCCCGTACATTCATTCCTCGCAAGATACCATTGCTACACTCAGCTTCCCGCATATTCTCGAACATACCAAGGTAAGACCACGGCTGTACCCTTTATAGCTGCCCTTAACCGCTTCCCTTTACAACTTCATTGGCTAACACGTCTCTGTCCAGTTTACGATTGGCTTTTTGGTTGAGGGCTCTTACTTCTAGGGCGAGGTCGGACAGCTTTGATTAAATAGGGAGGGGCCCAGTCAAGATGATCTTCTATATTTGACGATCGATATATGCGGAAGAGAGAGTTCGAGTGCAAAGTAAAAGAGAAATCAAATAGAAAACGCCAGGCCTGACATCTCAACGCAATTAACAACGATGGATATATGTAGTAGTATGATAGTACAAATGTGTGATTCATCTCTTACCTTTCCAAGCGTCGAGCTTTCGCTGGAACCTCTGCCATCTACTCGAGTCTCCGCGGATTTTGTCAGCCTGCGTCCTCAACTCAGTCTGGGCAGCCAGCCTTGCCTTCTGTTCAGCTATAGATTGTAGCTTCTTCCTCCGTGCCTCTTCTTCCTCTTCTAGTCTCGGCCACATGATGACAGGCTCGACTATCGTCTCCACGCCTGGCAAAGCATCCGGCCCAGGGTCCGTCCAGGTCCTGGGGAACGGGCCCCTCAGCCGCAGCCTGCGCAGCGCCGGGCTCCCCCTTATGCCCTCCATCATGTTTCTCAAGACCGACGCGTCCGTGACGTAGCCGTCGCCGAGCAGGATGCTCATCTGCGGGTTCCACTCGAGCTCCAGCTCGACCAGCTGCGTCGCCTCGCGGAGGGTGCGGAGGAAGTTCTGGGTGAGGTGGTAGCTCTCCCACACGTCGGTGCACAGGTGGTCCATCTCGTTGATGAAGCGGACGTGGCGGACGAGGCGCCACTCGGGGGGCTTCCCCTCGGACACCAGGACGCTCCGCGCGCTGCCCGTGGCGAGGAAGAGGGCGAACCGCCTGCCCACCCCCACGGGCTCTTGGCTGTGGCGCATATCCTTGAGCATTCGCTTGCATGATAAGGACAGGCTGGAGATTGGCGCTGAGCAGACCGAGTACAGGAAACATGGTCTGCCGTGCTCTCGGTGTACTGGGGCCTGTCGCAGGTATTCAGCGAGGTACTCAATCTGGATTTGCGCCCGCACCTCCGGGGGCAGTTTGGCGAAGAAGGAGGACTGGCTTTGGGCGTGCATCGTGGCGTGGGAATGCGCGCCTGAGAGAGACGCGCAGTTTAGCTCTTGTATCATCTTAACATGCCTAAATTGAAGGAAGGATTTCGAAATCGAATGACATGGACGGGTGAACGGGGGGAGAGCTCGGTGGGGCGGTTGACCCTCGCAGGCTGTCTTGGTATCGGCTGGCTTAGTGTCACTTCTGCAGGCTTGTGCTGTGGCGCCATCACCAGGAGCCGTCAAAAAGCCAGCCACTCCACTGTTGAGCACTGCACTGGCAAGGAAGCAGTCTGGGCAAGTGGTGGGGCTCACACACCCAATCGGAGGGGCTGACGGAATCCAAGAACCCTCAAGTATCCCAGCCTTCGATCAACAAAATGCTCGTCAATCATCAGTGAAAAGTATGCCGCTTCTTTCATTCCGACCATTGTTGGCAGCCGAGCAATAATTTGCCTATGATCTGTACATCAAACGTTGAGGCTGGCGTATTATGCCCTGTTATGTCGCCCATTTGCCAAGTCGCACTGTCCACGCTGGATGGAGCCTGTCATCATCCACACGGATCCGATCGCATTCGACTTGTGGCTCTAGATGGACGACCAGCAGAGATGACGGCCGCAAGGGACCTATAAAAGGAACAAATCCCTCGCAGACTGATTCGATATGAGCATACCTTCTCCTACACCCAGCTTGCAAAATGACCGAGACTTTGGTAGTGCAGAATCCCGTCCTCGAGGATCCCGCCGTCGCGACTCCAAACAAGCGACCGGCTGATGCCGACAATGATCCATCGCCGCCCCCGGACGACAATGAACCCCCGGCCGCCACGACGCTCTCCCCACTGCAGATCGCGACGGTAATGTCATGCCTCTGCGCGTGCGTCTTCGTGACCGCCCTCGACATCACCATCGTCGCCACCGCCGTCCCAGCCATCACCCACGACCTCAACTCCGGCACGGGCTACACGTGGATCGGCGCCGCCTTCACCCTCACCCACTGCGCCGCCACGCCGGTGTGGGCCAAGATCTCCGACATCTGGGGCCGCAAGTCCATCCTGCTGTGGGCGAATGCAATCTTCTTCGCCGGCAGCCTCGCCTGCGCCCTGTCCAAGCACATCGACGCCCTCATCGCGGCGCGGGCGATCCAGGGACTCGGCGCAGGGGGGATGGCGACCATCGTGAATGTTTGTATCAGTGATTGTAAGTTTTCCATTACTCAACGAGGGAGAAGGCGTAGCTAATCCACGGCTGCGAAGTGTTCTCACAGAGGAAACGCAGCTTTTATTACGGATTGACGTCGGTCGTCTGGGCCTTGGCAAGTGGGATTGGGCCCGTTCTTGGGGGCGTGTTCACTTCGAGGATAGGGTACGTTTCGCAACGGCAGGATGGAGCAAGAATGCTAACGAGTCTCTCGATAGTTGGCGTTGGTGTTTCTGGATCAACCGTGAGTAAACCCTCTCCCGGCTGACATCTCAACATTGACTTACACTTACACTCATAGTCCCCATAACCGGCGCCGTCTTCCCGCTCCTCTACTTCACATTGAAGTTGCCCAACCCGAAAACCCCCATCCGAGCCGGCCTGAAGGCCATCGACTGGACAGGAAGCTTCCTGATACTGGGTGGCGCAGTCATGCTTCTTTTGGGACTGCACCTCGGTGGTGAGGTGAGCCCGTGGGGATCGCCCACCATAATCTGCCTCCTCGTCTTCAGCTTCGTCGCGGGCGGTCTGTTCATCGTGAACGAGTCCAAGGTCGCCAGATACCCAGTCATCCCGATGAGGCTGTTCAGAAACCGGTCCGCCGCAGCCTCCTTTGCCGTCAACTTCCTACATTCCTTCACCTTCATGGGAGTGGCCTGGTATCTCCCCCTGTACTTCCAGGCAGTTCTCCTGTCCAGCCCCCTGATGTCGGGCGTGTACCTACTTCCCTTCATCGTCTCGTCATCCGTGGCGGCTGCTCTCACAGGCGCGTACATCCAATGGTCCGGGAGGTACCTCCCCCCGATCTTCTGCGGCCTGGTCTGCACGACGCTGGGTGTCGGGCTGATGATCGACATCGGCGTCGAGGCGCACTGGGGCAAGCTAATAGCCTACCAGCTCGTGGGGGGCGCCGGCTTCGGCATGAACATCGAGGGCCCCTTGCTGGCCGTCCAGACGACCGTCCCGGCGCAGGATGTCGCGGTCGCGACGGCGGCGATGAGCTTCACGCGGACCATCTCGACCGCCATCTCGATCGTGATCGGCGGCGTCATCTTCCAAAACGAGATGTCGCGGAAGAGGGGGAGCCTGGAGGGCCAGCTCGGTCCGGCTGTCGCTGAGTTGCTGGGCGGGGGGTCGGCCGCGGCGAATGTGGAGGTTGTTCAGAGCCTACCGGCGGAGCAGCAGGTCATCGCGCAGAGAGCCTTCTACGAGGCGATCAGAACTATATGGATATTGGTAAGGCTTCTCCGGGGACGTCGCTCACATTCCAAGGTGCTAACATTGCATAGTATGTTGCATTTTCGGGCGCCGGCTTGCTCTTTGGCTTGCTGATCAGGGGCAACCACTTGAACACAGATCACGAGGTGACAAAGGTTGGATTGGAAGAGTTGACGGGGGGCCAGTCGACTGACCAGTCTCGGTCTAACAGGGATAACTCTGCGACTACTCGCAGAACTGAAAGCTGATGTGATGCAAGCCGAGGTTGTCGGATGGAAACGACGACTCGCCCAACTTTGGAGATGTCTGGAAAACGACACGTTTCCTTGTAGAAAGAAAAAGAAATGGAAGAAAATGAGCGGTGGAGTGATAGATTTACTGCAATTGACAAAGACGACGTTGTACAGCTCTTTTACCTGTGTTTGATATCATTGTTTGCTGTTTGGTCGCTGATGAAGGAGGACTGGCGAGCGTTCATCTCGCGCCGGTGGTGCCTTCCCCATTTCATACGCTGTTGCGTATACTCAAACGATGAGCAGAACAAGAAGTAGCATACCTACCTTAGTGTTGGGTATGGAGCAAGTCGTAATTGGCACCGGTCTGCGTGGAGTTGCCTCTCGAAGAATTGCCCTGCAAGTTCGCTGCCTACGTATGTGAATGGCCGATGACATGTGCGACTCTTTGCGCTGACGCATTTTTGAGCCCTCGTCCTCGCATCTCAACCCCTTGACGCAGTTTGGCCTCACTGTGACGGGCAAAGAATAGTGGAATTACGCAAAGGGACATCGCCAAGAAGGCTCACGGCACTGTTTAGACACCTGAGACTCCCATTCTATGCCGGACGTGTATCTGATGCTCGGTCATGAACTCATCATTGAATAAGCTAGTATATATATTCCACTGGCAAACACTGGCCCTCAACCCTAGCCTAGCATCGACACTGTCCCTACAAACACTGAGAATACCACTGATTGGAAACAGTACATGTCCCCGAAGTGCAGCATGTAGCCCCAGTCCATCCCGATCCGCCACACTGAGCATACAACGCCGCACAGGTCGGGCTCGTGCCACCGCCTCCGCCGCTACCCCCGCCGCTGCTCGCCGACAGCGAGGCCGAGTACCCCGTGGTCGAGAAGACGGCGTTGGTCCCCGTGAAGGGCTCGGTGCCGGCGCCGATGGAGTATATGCACTGGGAGGAGGGGTACCCCTGGGACGAGGTGAGGTACTTGATGAAGTCGTTGAGGTCGCCGCTGTAGTTGGTCTGCGACGACGAGGCGACGAAGCTGAAGACGGTCATCTGGCCGTTGATGCCCTTGTACAGGCTCCACGAGATGCCGCCGACGGTGACGGTGGCGATGGGCGAGCCGGTCGAGCTGATGGGGCCGGCGCCGCCGAGGGCCCCGAGCCAGATCATGATCTCGTAGAGGGGCGTGCTGCCGCAGTCGTCGTTGGAGAACAGGTCGTAGGCCACGTTGGCCACGAGGTTGGATCCCGTGTAGCTGCGTATCATCGTTAGCACATGCTCTAGGCCTTGCCCGCTAGGTTAGATGGCTTACCTCCACTGCCACTTTGAAGGGATGGACGAGATGGCTGAGACTCGGGCGGCCGAAGCCTGGAGGACGGCATTGGGGTACGACTTGACGTTGTACGGCCCGCCCGACCATGAGTACGAGGTTGACCACTTGAGGAGGCCGTTGGTGATGCCGTCGACAGTCAGACACTGCGAGCCTGTGCCCGCGTCCTTGCCCCAGAGGTTGTTGTACACGATGTAGCTCCCGGTGGTGACCGAGTCCCAGTCGCCACAGACGGTTGTTGCGCGCTTCTCGATGGTCTTGGTAGGCTCAAGCGGGGCGGCGACGGCGAGCGACGCCGCGAGCGAGGCGAGGAGGGAGAACTTCATCTTGCAGTGAGTGTATTCTAGGGCTGGTCGAACGCCAATCCCTGGCTTGAGTCTCGCCTCCAGCCCATCTCAATTTATAGCTTTTCCTAGCCGTCTATATCGTGGTCGTTGGGGAGCGGCTCCCATGCAGAGTCAAGTGTACGGATTGGGACACGGAGCATTGAAATGCTGCGTTGGGCAACTGGGAAACAACTCCCACCTATGAGCCGCATAATCACTCCCCCTATCCTTGTCGGGGATTAAGTCGACGGCTTATAATTCCCCGGAAAGTCTGGGGGATTTGCGACGGGAGCGTGGTCCTCATGGGGGCATGGTAGATGTGTGTTCGCGACGAACTCGTTGTGAAACGGATTGCGTTTCTGTTGCTGTAGATCTCTTCGGCAGACGGGGTCTTATTTTAGCATGTCGGCAACTGTACCGGGGATCTTACGACGAGAAGACTTGCTGGACTACAAGGTGCAGAGCGAGCGCTGCATAGCTCAATTGACCGCTTTATTCCAAGCCGAAGGGAATACCGGAAGCTTGGTTCCGAATCGCAGCACTGATTGGGTCGCGTGTAGAAGAGGCGATGAGTGACAGGCTAAAATCCAGGCTGAGAAGAAAATCAGAGCAGAAGCAGGAACATGGACGGTCATCTGATGGGTGCCGCGGGGCAAGTGCTTGTGGGGAGGCACCACCTCGCTCCTTCCGTCGCAGCAGCATGACACGAACCGCAGCATCCCGAAGGCCCGAAGGACAAATGGGAGAGAAGAGAACCGCGCGATAGGCGCAATAATCATGTCGTCATTCGTGGCCAAGCAGATGCATCGCAGTCGGAGTCACATAGCCAGGGATTCAGCCAAGGCCGCTGACGAGCTCGCCCTGTTACAAAGAGTCTTAGACACATGGCGGTATATTAGCCTCGAATGATAGTACAGACAACTATGTATACATACACATGACACGATGCCATGACATGACATCCTACGGGTCACATTCAGACCCCTAGCTGCTCCCGGCAGACTCGCCCCAGCCGGCACGACGTGTCTGCTCCTTCTCGATCGCGGCCTGCTCCTCCCGGAACGACTCCAGGCTGGTCGTCTTGGCCGTGCCCCAGAGCTTCCAGGGACTCCTCTCGTACGTCTGCGTGTTGAGCATGCGCATGAGCACGACGTACTCGACCTTGTCCTGCACCCTCACGGAACCCGGGACCGTCTCGCCCGTACTGGCGCTGTACTTGTGCATCTTCTGCGTCGACGCGATGGCCACGATGGCCTGCTCCTGAACGTTGACCCTGTCCTTGGGGTTGTACTGCGAGATCATGTACGACGAGAGCCGCGGGTAGAAGAGCGGCTTGTTGTACTTGACCACCTCGAAATGGATCCGCTCGTCGCGCGGGCGCCTGTCGATGGCCCCGGACATCTTCTCGGCGAAGAAGGGCGTGCAGAGCCTCTCCAGGGCGCGCTTGTCGCCGCTCGCAAACGCCTCGAGCATCTCTCTATACATGGCCTTGGCCGTGGGTGGGATCTTGCCCCTCTGCGCCTTCCACCTGGGCCGGGTGGTCCAGCTGTCCATCGACTGGAGCTTGATGTTGAGGAGGGCGACGACGCCGGTGAAGTAGTGTCTCGTGCGGGCCCAGTGGTAGGCGAGGAACTGGCCGGGGGACTTCGGGTATTGGGAGAGGGGGAGCGACACAAAGGTAGCTGTCAAAGGGTCAAGTCAGTCCAAGATTCATCCGGAGCAGTAGTTGAGGGGCCTTTGCGTACAGGGAAAGAGAGGTACTCCACCGCTCTTAAAGAAAATGTCGTTGGCGTTGGATGAAGCGGCAGATATCGTCTGTTCGTTCTTCATTCCCCGCTCCATCATTGCCCTGCTCTCGCGAGACATTTTGGCGTCCGAGGGCAGTTTGATCGTCCGGCGGGCGGTCGCTCTCGACTTGGCGGCGGCACATGCTCTGGTGAATAAGACCGGCCGGCGGAGGGGCCCAGCGACCGTGGCGCCCATGCCGGGCTGTAGGAATGGCATGGGGAGTGAAATCGAGGGGTGCGCGCGGAGGAGGAGGTCAATTGGTTTGGTTGGGGGTGCTACCGGCGAGCAGCCGGCATTTTCTGTTCACGGGCGAGACGAGGAAAAATTATGGTATGATGCCCAATTGAGATCTTGATGGGGAATTTCTTGACGGCCACATGTCGAGGGCGGAAAATCGCTGTGCCGGATCCCGGACGTCGGCCACACACGTCCGTGTGATTAGTCATCTGATCTTCTCCGGCTGATGCTGCTCAACCTCCCGGCAGTTGATCGTGACTAGCACGGATCGAGGCTACGGGAAGATGCGTACCGCACAGGCTTGCCTTCTTTGAGCAAGGGGATGTCAATCATTGGAGGGGCCATGGTGATCTCTGAGGCAGATGGTGGAAATGTGAGCGCGATTGTTGCGTAAATCTGGGATGACGTGCATGTCTCAGTCCAATGACGGTGCACCGCGCGCACTGTTCGCTCCTAAGGCGGGCTAGTACTACCCAGAGCGCACGATGGAAGCTGACTCCTTTGTTTTGGGCGAGCGGTGCACAAAGGCATGCTGAGGCTGATGGGATATTGACACGGGATGTAACGTAGACCGATCCTCGGCTGGGATGGCATTCCCTTGCTCTGCGCAAGTAATCCATCTGCACAGATGATGCCTGTCGTAATGCAAGAGGTGGTGAACAATTAATGCTCAGCCAGTATACCAATGTCTCGCCATGCGTGCGACACAACAATGCCAATTTCGCCGCTGCAACTTCCTCTAGAAGGCGTAAACGAGTGAGACATTCCAATATGCCTGGGTTCAGCTCATGCGGACGAGTGCTAGATGGCGCTATTGTGCGGCATGTCTCATGGACCGGAGAGACTGGCGGGCTGGATCTCGTTCAGCGATGGGCGTTCAATTGAGGGGATCCGCATACCAATTGCGCATATATAAACGCAGTACACCTCCAGCTATTTGAATATCGAACTTGTCATTCCTTGCAATCAAAATTAAATATGAAATTCAGCGCCGTCGCCTGTCTCTCGGCCCTCGCAGCCCCCGGCCTCTCCGCCGGCATTGGCGTGAGCAACCACCATGATTTCATGCCTGCCACCGGCTCATTGAAAGTCCCCGGCGAGTCGCCCGCTGAGTTCTGCGACGTGGATCGCGACGGAGATCTCGTCAAGGTCCAGCTTCTCAGCACGGATCCCAATCCCGTGAAGGCGTATGTATTTCCAATTAATCACAAAAGATGATGCGCGGTTCTTTGCTCACGGCCTGTTGTGCTAGTGGCAAGCAGGTGTCGGTCAAGGCTACCCTAGACGTCAAGCAAAAGATCACGAGTGGCTCCTACGTCAAAGTGGTCATCAAGTACGGCCTCATCCAGCTGATTTCCACGACGGCCGATCTGTGCGAACAGGTCTCGAATGCGGGCATTAAGTGCCCCGTCGAGGCTGGCAAGCATCAGATTTCCTTCCAGGCCGACATGCCAAGGGTTATCCCTCCGGTACGTGCACATGCCCCCCTCCTTCAGTGAACTTGGCTCCCTTCTAACCTGACATGTTTAAAGGGTACATACAATGTGTTGGCGGACGCCTATGGAGACGACGATGAGCACCTCACCTGCATGAGTGCCACGGTTAACTTCCCTCGCCCGGGGGAACTTGGCTTCGAGATGTGATTTTTAAGGCTGTGGTGAGATGGAAATGATGAACTCTGTCGGATGGATTGAATGTTTACATGTCCCTCTTTGTACCTATTCCATGTGCCTACCTACCCTATACCAAATCGCCGTCCCCTTCGCCTGTTGAAGAGAGGCGAACGCCGGACGAAATTATGACTGTCCAGTACCTTCCACTCAACTGTAGTGTTCGCTAAACCCGCATGTTCACCTGATGAGTTGATTTTGTTGATGTGACATTTTGCGTAACTTTAAATATCGTGCACACATGATTATGTAGGAGCCACTACAGATCAGAAACAACCCGCAACGCAGTAGGGTTCTCATTGTTTGCTACAACCAGCACACTTGTAGTGTTCCAGGTGGCGATTTACTGAACGTCTTTTATTTTTCTTTCTTTTTCTCGGGTGCGTTCTCCCTTACTTTACTGATTTGTACACAATGCTCTGATGTTGGCAATTCGATATGGGACAGTAAGGCTGTCTTGGTGGGTAAGTGGTTACGTAAGTCGTGGACCTGGAGGGGAGGTCAATGAAAGAATTGAATTGAACCACTACGTCGGGCTGGTCAACCACATCTCCAGGCGCTGTGGATACACTTCCAGGGGGCTTCAGGGGGCTTCAGGGCGCTGTATCAGAAACACAGAAGGTAAAACCATAGAACTATCAATATTACGTCGAAACAAGGTATTCTTGCCTAGAAAAATAGCAGTTGATTGGAATGCCTTGATCTGGAAGTGATAATTTTTATAGCATTTTATTACTCCTTCCTTACTGTATAAAAGCGACTCGTAGTGTACGTAGAGGTGGTTGACTAGCCCGACGTGGTGGGTCGAGAGCATAATGCATTAACAATGGTCGCTGCGATCTGTCTGTGGGAGCGAGCGCCCAGACACTCTGAGCCCAGAACAAAGCAATGGGCACATAGAGAATTGTCCGAGATCTGTGATCCTCTCTCATCCAGAGTAAATCAACCCTGATCACCAGTCCAAAGTACCAGAGTTCAGACTAAGGGTGTGGTCGTGCCCGTTTGCAGTGGTAATCTCCGGTGATTCTGCTCCGGTGCACTGGGAGGCCACTGGAGAGAGCGGAGGGTCCATTCAATATCGACTGAATGGCAAGGGAGGACCTGGGAGGACCTGGAAGGCACAACAGAAGGAGCGAGTTGCACCAAATCCACGTCACTGCCTCGTACACGGCCACAAGAGCAAGTTGCCTTGCATATCGAAGCGCATCTCTGCCCAACTCACCCTTCTTGTGCTCTTGCGGGTGTGTGCACTCAACGATCACGAGACTGCTGGCACGGAGAACTCCAGGACCGAGAGTCGTAGGACTGGCCAAGACGGCCCCCCGCATCGTTTCATGCCTGCCATCCCTGATCCTGACGGTGCGCCGTGTCCGCTGCCCACGCGATCCGCCGCTCCATCCATCGCTGACCGACCAGCGCTTTCTTTCGACGACATGTGGACCGCTTGTTTCTGACGACGTCGGTTACAGTTACCAGGCGTATAAAAGCCAGAGCAGCCACGCTCCCCCCTGCGACGAAGACGAGTCTCGCTCGAGCGCGGGAGACATCCTCATCTAGATATCCGGCTGTGTATCACCAGAAAGACGGGTGGGTGCTTCAAGAGCAGCAGCAGCACCCACTCACACCTCGTCGTGGACTTACCGACCGCTTGACTTCTCTGGACTCGAGCGCCAGCAGCAACAACAAGAATACCCGCGTGGCCTGTTTCGACATCCACCTTGTGAGACCATACGGGTTGCTGCCCGCTGGGGGACTTTTTTCTGATGGACTCTTGCGCATGCTGTGTCACAGCTTAAATACCCTCGATAGCCACCAACGAGAGGCGGATTTCGGTCGCCTTACGCCAAATCTCACGGTTCGCATGCACCAACCTCTCTCCATCACGAGCATATCACCGATTCCCCGCCTCCATCGACCATCGTCGACATCATCAATGCAACCAAAACAGTGCTCGCACCGCTCGGCCAGTCGGGACATGCCTCCTCTTCACGCCCCAGTCCTTGTTATCTCTGGCGATTGGTGTTGCCCATCACCTCCTTGCGCCACCCAACTTCATCATATTCATGCACCTCCAGTTTCGCCATGTTGCACACAACGCCCTCAAATGGCGGTGGAAGTCATGGCATTTCCCTCATGTCCATGGGCGCACGGCATAGTTGCCAGCGCAGGTGACCCCGCGGTCCCTCCAAGCTTCGGTCGATAGTCGCAGCTTGGAATACTCCCGCACTGAATACAGACTCGCTTTCCTGGAGCAGTGAAGCAAAAGGTGCCAGCGACCGTAATTAGCGGAGGGGAGACGAGAACAGCAGCGGGGCTGTGAAACCAACGAGGATGGGCCATTTGCTCCCAACCACTGTGCAACTCTTGTGCCTCGCCTGCGCTTGCCCCCTTACTTGTGTTCACAGCCCAGGTATGGCCACGTCAAGAGCATTGGGACATGAGACGGGCGCCTGAAGCGCCAATCATTCAATGTACACACGACAGGAAGACCGAATCAGCCCAGGCGACCCTCAGGAGAGCTGCACGGAAAGGTTACACATTGCACATGTAGACATGACAATCGCGCGCACGTTTGGTGCGATTTTCAGCCACCTCGCCGGAAAGTTTATAATCTTGTGTGCTGTAGCTCAGGCCTTTTTCCTGATGCACGGTAGGGCTTGCCCATGTGTTTCTGAGCCAGGGGTAAGCAAACTGTTTGGACATTTCCCTGCTGCCCATCATCTCACCCCGCACTTCGCTAGGCCATAACGACTGTTCAGACAGCTGCGAGGTGGACGAGGTGGCCGGGTTTGCCGGGCTTGCAGACGCCTGATGGCCTCGGTGCTGTGCTGAGGCATGAGTGCCCGGCGATATGCATGCAATATTGTTCTTGGCTGCCGAGCCGACGGCAGCTGCAACACACCGTCTCGAGCCACTCGCAATCCTACTTGGCGGTGATCGGCCGCCACTACATGGATATCTCTTCATTTGCGATAGCACCCTCTTCCCTTTGCCCGCCTTTTGTGGGCTCGCCATTGTTTTGTGCTTCCTGGCAAGGATGGCCAGAGCCCAAGCCTGTATGTATGCTTCTGCCGTGTTCGTGTTCTCACACGACTCACACTACACCAAGGTCGCACAACATTTACATCAAGACGCTAGGGCCTTCTCGCCCTTCTCATTCGACAGTTGTCGGCGCCCGCATGCTACAGCTTGCTGGGGTCTGATGTTCTCGCCCGATACATTGCTGGGTATTCGCGGCCCTTTTTGGCTGTCCGCTCAGATCATGGCGAGGGAAATTTTGGGACCGCTTCTCTCAACAATCGATGCCCCGCCCTCTCCCCTCCATTCTCTTGGTATAAGATCACCAAAGATTCCTCACATTATTCTCTGCCTCTTTCTTAGAAGAGTCCATATCATCTTTCCTGAAAGGAGTTGATTGGTTTATCAGTTTGCTTCAGTGACTTGTGCACTGCACCACCTCTTCTTCCATAAATCATACAGCTGTCCAAGTCTTCTTGACACTGACACCACGATTACCTTGCCCCGGAGTCATTGCTACTGAGAACTTCCTCTGGTTTGATTTTATTTCTTTGAGAGGGTGCCCTGTTGCTCAATCCTATCTCTGCTGGAGAACTTCCTCTTGTTTGTTATCATTGCTTCTCGAGAAGCCCCAGACTGAGCTTGAACCTTGGTCCCTTGCTTCCTTTACGCATCATATCAATTTACCCAATCCAATCACTGGGACAATGTCTACCGGTTCCGGTGCACAGCAATCTTCTAACTCCCCGGCTTCTGTTGGAGGTCAACATGACAGTGCTTCCGTGGGACGCACGAAGAACACCACGTCCTGTGCTAGTTCGACTAATGATGCAAACGGCACTTCACATGCATCTGAGCCCTCATCGGTGCCCTCGCACCAAGGTTCAGCATTGCTTGCAGGGTACGTAACCTCACCTACCAGACACTCTTCAGATCCACGCCTCTGACTAACTGATTCTCCTAGCACTGAGTCTGCTGACAATGCCCACCCGTCTCAACCTCCTATCGGCCAAGAAGAGATGGAGGATCCCATTGGCAGGTTTTTGTCTGAGACTGATAGCCCGTTCGCCATGTTTCGTGACGCCAACGGTGCTCCTGTCACTGTTGGCCGTGCTGGACCATCTATGGCACAGACCATAGACAGTATCCTCAATCCTCCCAAGTAGGCTTACAGCATCGAGGCTGTACTGGATCTTTGTTGGCATGTTTTGGCACATATCTAACTGTCCGGAGTTGGTTCGTCCAACTGATTGTCTGGATCCTCAAGTTTGATCTTGTTCTGGAGGATAGAGAGGTATGCATTGAGTGGCTTATTGTTTTACTTTTTAACTGTTACGATGAAATGACTACTGAGAGGTTGGAGTTGGTATGGAGGGTTGGCTTTTCTTTTGCTTTGCATCGAGAAGCTCAGTGTTCTCATGGTGGTCTCTTGTCATTTATTACGCTGTTATTTACTATCTCTAAGTGATCTATTCTATCTTTATCTCTGATCTGACCAACTTGTAAACCCACGGTGGGCTGGCTTCTTTGAGTTGCTATCAAGGGAGGCGGCCTCGACCACTGATTTCTCCAACCATCACCACTAGATTGGCCGTTTCTCCTGTGACATAGCAATCCTTAGCATTCTCCTTTTCTTTGCTTGTGCGCGTCCATCTTCTTTAATTATTGAGCGCCTATGGTGAGGAGATGGGATAGCATATGCGACCATCATCTTCAGCATATGCGAGTATCATCGTCAGCATATGCGAGTCTCAACGTGGGCATATGCGAGTATGGACGTGAGCATATGCAAAGATCAATCGTAGCATATGCGAAGATAAAAGATGCTTCTGCCAGTGACAAGCCCATCTCCTCGGCTTTTAAAATTTCAGGACCTTTTGCTTCATACTCGACACCACCTGCATTCTTTTCGTACTGCTTCTGCGTCTGCTGTGAGTGATTCTTCCTGATTTACCCCCCGGGATGCACTCGAGCGCAGACTATGAGCATCCTGGCATTATTCTTACCTTACCATTGCCTACCTAAACTACTACTGCCCTCTCGTTTCAAGCGGCTCGGTTGTATATCTCCCATTGGAGGCCTGCCGTAGTCCCTGGATCATCAATACTGTCTTAGCTCTTGTTTTACAGGATCAATGGAGGAAATCTTTGGGTGGAATTTGTCAAGGGCACTTGAGGAGATTGCCGGCTGAATATGGGCTATTAATCCTATACACTGTGTTGCTTTGACCTCTATTTCTACCTAAGGTAGAGGACTCAATCTTCAGTGCTGGGCGCTGGCGTTTCATATGACTCTGACCTCAAGGCATTCCAAGTAGTTCACAGCGGATGAAGTTGGGTAGACAGCACAAATACTCGGTGGTATTGTTTAAATAACTCGTTGTGACTCTAGCGATTAGGAATTGGCGGAGGCATCATGTGTAGCTCGCGACCTAGAGCTCTAAGAACCATTCTCATACTTCAACCCATTTGCCTTGCGGACGGTCCCGTAGATCCCAGTGATGTCGCTCTTGTCCGGTTCGGCGATTTTCGCCAGCTTCTCCAGATATTCCCGACCGGTCGCCGCATTCTTCAGCTCTACACCGGCAGCGTGAGAGAGACAGATGAGGTGACTGGCGTCCTTGAGGCCATTCTGGGCCGAGAAATACGGTTCGTCCAGTTTCCAGTAATCTCCGCCCAGCATGCGGCCTGAATACACCGTGTATATCCCCCCATACATCATATCGACCAGTTGTTTGACAGTTGCGGGATCGACGCCAGCCTTCTCGGCCAGAGTGAACGACTCGGCAAGCTGCGTGACCATGTTGAGCGCGAACCCATTGCCGATGAGCTTGAACTTGGCAGCGCTGCTGTACGGCTTGTCCTCAAAGGCGATCTCTGCCTGTCCCATGATGCCCTTGATGAATGGGCGGACTCTCTCAATTGAAGACCTTGGGCCCGCCGTGACGAAGATGAGCGTGCCCTTCTCGGCCATTTGAGGTGGCCCGAAGACTATCATAAAGGTCAGCTGTTGCTTAGCATTCCCCCAATGGAACTACATACCCGGACTGCTGACGAACTCAGCCCCAGAATCCACCATCATCTTCCCAACCTTGTCGGTCGAGTCTGGATGCAGGGTTGAGCAGTCGACAAAGAGCTTGCCCTTGGTGTTGCCGCCATTGACAATCGATTCATATGTTTCGAACACGGCAGCATCGTTGCTCAGGCAAGTGAAGATGATGTCGGCGGAGCTGACACTTCCTTCCAGCGAGTCCGACACTGTCGCTTTTCCTGGCCCAAATTGGGCAACGAAATCTTCATATCGCTTCTTTGTACGGTTGTAGACGAGAAGAGGCTTATCAAGTGAACCCTTTTGAATGAGATTCAGACACATGCCCTAGAAGTTAGGTCTCAGCAGGAGAATGTACGTAGAGATAGCTTGAACGTGGTTCTTACCCGACCCATATTGCCGAGGCCGATCCACGAAAGTTGAGGAGCCATTCCCAAGGTTGTTGGTGATGTTTGTGTTATAGACATGGGGATGTGGTAAGTTTCCGATTGTTTGTGGTTGTTGATATCCTGGACCTCCATAGCATAGCGTCATCTTTAACCTCCTTTATATTAACTCTTTGGAACTGGCAGCTGATAGCTCTTGCCTCGAGAAGAGGTGGTGGCATAGTCAAAAGTGTGTGATGGTTATGGCTGTCGCAATGCCGCATGCTTTCCCTCTGGTTTCCGGCCGGAGTTCCTTCGCTCAATCCCGGGAACCCATCGTAATGTGACAAACCAGTCGCTTTTGATATGTCAACACATGCCGTAACTAGGAAGATTTGTGGGGAATGAAGGTGGCGGAACCCCGTGGAAGAGGATGTTATCGTGCTCGGCCTTTTGCATATCGCTGCTCGGTCGTCGGAGCATGAAAGACGCAGACGTGATCCCGAAAGAGGCCCATAAAAGCGACGGAAATCCGGCCGGGTGGTCCCACTCGAATCCTGCTTTGACAAGGGTACTGTGGCCATCAAGTCCGGAGCGATATTGCCTTTGCTATGAGTATTTAGGATGATGGCTTCTTCTCATTTGTTTGAAATAATGAGATGTTAATACATACCAGATCGTTTCAAGAGTGCTTGAAAGCTGTTCTTCAATATGGCTTCCAATGCTCCCGGTCAATGCTGCGTCACTGGCATGAAACATGAGTATGTCTCAAACTTCGCTCCTTACACTTCATTCTTCTAGTACTTCGCCGGCTGACTTGTCTAATATGCAGAGGCGAGCCGACTGGAAAAAGCTTAAAGATCGACGGTTATGATGCGTATCTGGCAACAGCTCATGGACCTAGAGCTCACGAGGGTGTCGCCCTGCTGCTTCTTACCGATGTCATCGGCATCTGGCAAAATAGCAAGCTGGTTGCCGACCAGTACGCGAGTTACGGCTACACGACTTTGATCATTGACATTTTCAATGGCGATGCCCTGACTCTCAATCGTGCGGACAATTTCGACTTCTTTGCGTGGCTCAAGGGAGGATCCACCGGCGACAACCCGCATACCAGCGATGCTATCGATCCCATCGTCAAGTCTGCAGTCAAATATCTGAAAGAGGCGAAAGGAGCCACGGCAATTGGGGCCGCTGGATATTGCTTCGGTGCCAAGGTAAGTTGAATTTGTCTAGCCCTCATGTGGCACTCCCGTCAGGTAGTTACCACTTGGCTGATACATAGCTAGTACGTCGTTCGACATTCTCCAGATATCAAAGTCGGATTCATCGCCCATCCATCTTTCGTGGAAGAAACAGAGTTGGAAAGTTTCGAGGGGCCCCTCTCCGTGGCTGCAGCTGAGAAAGACGACATCTTCTCTGCCGAGAAGCGGCATCTGAGCGAGCAGATTCTGGCTAAAAAGGGGCTTCCATACCAGATGAGTCTTTACAGTCAGGTCGAGCATGGCTTTGGACTGCGTGCTGATCACACCAAGAAGATCAGCCGTTTTGCCAAAGAGCAGGCGTTTTACCAAGCTATTGCATGGTTCGATGCGTGGCTAGTCTAGGTAGCTCATATCGGAGGAGTGGCCTTGCGGTTATTTAACCACTGGATGGAATTGTTGGCAAACGTGACCGGCACGGTTGTCACGGTTCAAAAGGGAGATAATGCATCATAGAACAACTAGTTGGAGCATTGTGCTTAAACGAGTGATAGAACTTTGAGTGATTAGGGTGAATGCTTTAGGCTGGTCGGATGGCGAAGGAAGCAGATAACTGCGCCTTCGCACTCGTTAGAATGCTTTCGCCGAACGGCCCGGTTGTCGTCAGCCATGCACGAATGTGACCCTCGCGGCCTGTGTGCTTTCCGTTTGCCCAGTGAATGAGATCTATACCCAGCAGGGGCTTGCCGCAGTATGTGTCCCAGCTCCGGTGGTGAAATGCCCAAGCCTCAGAAGAGACGGCTTCCCACACATGACTTGGGTAGGGGAGTGGCACCTCGGGAAAAGCATGGCACATGGTTGTCGAGAAGCCTTTGCGCGAATTTGACACGACATTCAGAGCATGTAAAGCAAAGAAGCTTCTGGGGGAAGTTGGTTAGGGCCTAGGATATCTTGAAAATGGGAGAGACTGTTGTTACCAACCTCCGTGTGCTCTCGTCCTGTATCCACTTCCTCCAGTTCTCAGGCTGCACGTTCTTCTCTGGTTCTAGACAGTGCATGCTATGCCGTAGTATATACTGCGTCGGAATTAGCGATACTGTCAGTTCTAGAAGCTGCCGTGAATGTATTACCTGAGTAAAAGTCATGGCGATGGTGTCCACAAGATCATTGACATAATGGTTTAGGCTGTAGATGCGCATCGCAGAATATATGACAACTGCCTGAAAAGCCGAGAGGAACTCGACATAGCTCAATTTCTCCCGCTGGATAGTAGAACGCTATGTGTCAGCATTCAAACTTAACAAGGAGTTCTTCTGATTTACCTTGGAGTAGAGTTGTTGCACTTCATGATTGACCATATCTAACACGACCTGTTCCGTGTCCACAGTCCTAGTGAGGTAGAACTGGGAGATGTTGGCGACAGTGTTCAAAACCTCGGCTCTCTGCCCTGCTTGGGCTTGTATGGAGTGGATAAGGGGTAGCCGATCTTTGCCGTACGACATTCCTTCAAAGATGTCTTTGAATATGTCATCAATAGTACTTAGTTCGTGCTCGGTAGTTATCGGTGTTTTGCAGAGTCGAACCCTAGATGATAGATGGCTAGATACAATTCCATCTTCGAACCGGCTTCCGGAGGGCGCGCTTTCTATGCCGGACACGATTTCAGGCGTGGCCAGAGTTTCGGGACTCAAGGCAGGGAGGAGAAGAATGTCTTGCAGGTTCGTCTCGTCAAGTCCGTATGTAGAACTGGTTGACTGTTCGCCGGAAATCAGCGGAGGCGGAAATGACTGCATGATTTTCCTTAATTAGCGGTGATTTAATGGCAGTTACTGGGGTTTGATGCTTAGTAGTTACCTGAGGCGCTTCACTCAATGCAATTGACCACGTTTCCTGCGGATACTCGCAAGGGAGTGATTTTATCACACATCTGCCACAACTCGGCATACCACGGTCGCATCGGGACTTTGCCCGAGCGCACGCTGAACAGGCCTTCTTCCGGGTACGAGGACGCATACGGCATCTCAGATAATGACGGGTAAAGGCCGTTTCTGCGCTCCAACGTTAGTCTCGGTCGCGTTCGGTGGAGCGGTGAGAGCAAGATCGCTCGGAATAGGGGAGCCTGTACGGGAACTAAAGGATCTGTTGCAAGCGCAATAGTAATCCGGTAATTGTGTATCCATGGTTGTTTGCCATCTTGGGGAAGAGAGTACTGAGTGTAAACTCTACCAACTGAGGACATTGCGAATTGAAAACTCCACATACTCCGTTGTCACTGTCGGAGTTCCGACAGCCCTCGCATCGGCGCGAGCAAAAACCACGGCAAATTTGTTCCACCCAGAACTGACCGCTACGATGACGTGAGCACCCATCGTTAGCGAGTCCGGTATGTTCACGGGGCCTGACGCTACGGCCTTGCTATTTCTCTTTCTTGTTGCTGCACGGTGTCGATCATCGGCACAGAGGTTTGAGAAGAGCACATAGGGCCAGCCTAATTTTTTTTGAGGACGTGTGCTTCAAAGCAGATGACCAACGCGACGCCGAGTTGGCGGGAAATCACTATCTGGTTGGTTTCTTTGCAGAGCCGAGATGTCGATTCCGCGGACGATTTCACGAAAGCTCGAGGAGAGCCCGGCTCGCTCTGGCGAGGACATGCTTGATCGGGAGAATATCGACATTCGAGGAGGTAAGAGGGATTCCAATGGCTAGTAAACGTACAAGTGCCATGGGCATGCCACTTCCGGGCTCTGTGATTTTACGCCAGGTTTTTGAAATAATCATGGAAGCGTGCGCAGAGAGGGTGTGTGAGTCAAGTTTCGGCAAGTACCTGTAGTGCAGGGTAATGGGATTTTCAACAAGTAAGGTAGGGCAGGAGCGAGGTGACCGCGCCTGCCGCAAGGCACTCATTCGGACAGGCCGAGAATCTGCCCGGTCGAAAGGACATGGTGCCTCCCTTGAATTTCCTCCTCCCTTGAAGCTTGCACACAACTCGCCCCGGCGGTACTATGTTGTTCAATGGTGACGCGTGAACCCTGGACTTCAGCATGATGAGCCTCTAGCTCGTATGAACGTACCAATGCTCAGGCGCGGGAGCCATCCCATCCGTGCGCTGTGTCGTTAGATTTCCTAGCCAAACTCCCTTGAGTAAGGTCGGGTGAACGCCTCATAGCCGGTGAAGAATGCTGAATTTTGGGGAATTGATAGTGCGATGATGCTGGGAACAGTATCAATTCGTCGATTTCGTAATGTTCTGCCCGCCCCTTTTTATCAGCAGTTGCTGCATAACCTACAGAACTCTCTCACGTACTACTTGCTAGGAAGATACTTACCACTTAATACTACTCTCTGGAATAGCTGCCCTATCTTCGTCATTCTCCGGCACAATTCCCATGACAGGTGCGCCTATTCTCTTATCGGGGTGTGGGTTACAATATTCAATGGCATGGCACCATCACAGATATCAGGTGAGGACTACATCATCGAATAATATCACAGTGCAGTTATCAGCTTCCATAACCGCCCAATCCGTAAGAAAGTTCATTTGGAGAAACAATGTTGTAAATTTTTCCTCGATAGATCTATTTACATGCTGCAAACGGAGAAAAAGGGACCTTGTTCACTCTGGATACCGCCCTAGTCATCTAGTAAGGTTCGCCCTGGATTTATTCCCTGTACCCGCGCAGAAAATCACCTGAATAGGGCAATATAAGCAAGTAGCGTCCCAGTTTTTTCTTGTCGCGTTATCAGCGGCTCAAAATGAAGCCGAGCTTACCGCCTTCAAATGCTCGAGTTCTGCCACTTACATATTACATATTGGAGACCTGCCCCGACACGATCAGTAAACCATTCAGTCTCAGAGTTCCATTCCATAATTTACGTTCAGGCTCAGACGCGGCACGATGAACCCACTGCGCTGGTTCCGCAGCGGTCGACCGCCTCTGCCGCCTGTCGATGGCGATACAATCTACTCGACGCATTTCATGGACAACAGGGGCTCTGACGACATCATCTGGACCACCACCTGGCAATTCAACGACGTGCTCGATGCCGATAAGCTACATGGCTCACTATGCCGCCTACTGGAGATTGGCGATTGGAGGAAGCTGGGTGGCCGCTTGAGACGAGGCTCCGGCCGCAAGTTGGAGCTGCATGCTCCTCCCAAGTTCACCCCTGAGCGACCGGCAGTCAACTACTCGCACGATGTCTTCGACGTCAAGATGGGAGAGCATCCTCTGGCGTCCAAGCTCCCCCAGCCAGCCAAAGGTCCACGCCTCCACTCATCTGTCGACACGCTGGAGAAGACCCGTCCGCTCATGTACCGGAAAGATGTGCAGGCCACAATGGAAGACTACTTCGTCAGCGATGATCCTGCCCTGTCCTTGCACATTGTATCCTTCGAGGACGGCACCATGGTTTCGTTGACCTGGTCGCACCATCTTTTCGACGCGATGGGTGTAAGGGCCGTTGTCAATGCCTGGTCGCTCGTGCTGGCTGGAAGGGAGGCAGAGGTTCCGGTTCTCAACGGAGTTCATGCTGATGTCCTGTACGAGGGCCCGGAGAAGGAGCCCCAAGAACAGCGACAGGAGTCTTTACTCGAACCCACCCGTCTGAGTGGTTTCCGCCTCCTGCTCTTCGCTTTTTATTACTTCTGGGACCAGGTATGGGGAAGTAAGTTGGAGATGAGGCTAATCTTCATACCCAAGAAGACGCTGGAGAATCTGCATACGTATGTCATTCACGATATAGCATCAGATTACGACAAGGATGGCGAGACGCCATGGGTCAGCGACAGTGACGCTCTCTTATCAGTATACACCAGAGCTGTGAGCGAGTCTCAACCAAAGCCCCGGCCAATTCTCCTGATGAACTATATGGATTTGCGTGGACGGTTCCCCGGTGTAAGCAAGGCAGAGGGGCTCTCCTATGTCCAAAACATGCTGGCGGAGTGTTTTACAACCATCTCGCCTTCTTTAGCTCACTCCTCGATGGGTGAAATTGCGTTGGCCTGCCGCAAGTCACTGCAACAGCAATCCGCCCCAGGTCAATTGGCCGCTCTGATGCGCATCATGCGGAAGTGCTGGGATTCCGGCGAGGACCCCATGATTCTTTCCGGGCCCCCGAATGGCGAGCTGCTGGTGTCGACGAACTGGGCCCGGGGTACCTTCTTCCACGTAGCTCGGTTCGGGCCCGCTGTTGTGAAGCAGGGGGAGAGCGACAGTACGAGGTCCAACCCCTTGGGGAGTCCTCGGTTCTATTATGCTCTGCCTCTGAACATGAAGAGGGGGGCAAACGCCGGTGTTAATTTGGGCAAAGATCACGATGGAAACATGTGGATAATGGGCAGTTTCAATGCAAAGGCCTGGGATTCTATCATGACACAACTTCAACAATATTGAGCACTGAACAAAAAGGGATCGGCGCGTGTATTATATCAACTATAGATAGGCGCAGTCTGTTGATTGGTGTGGCATCACTCAATGATCTCACGCCAATGGCCCTACTAGTTGGAATGATAGTAGTTATTGAGGGCAGAGAACAATAAAATTCCGTAGCTCCCAAAACTGTCTACGATACGGAAAAATGCCAAGCGCATATGTGCTTCTATCCCCTGCCTGCCTGTCACTGACTTGGCTAGACGATGGCCAGAGGTAGCTAAATCGCCTTGTCGCACATCATAAGCGTACGCTCCAGCTCCTCGGTAGTGATATGCTGCCCAGCCTCATTGATTATCACCATTGACAGATGAGAGTTGCCGATCAACGGCGGAGTTCTCATGGACTTTAGGAAAGAGACGACGGAAGAGTATCTGGAGTTGCATTTGGTAACGGCGTGCGGCTCGGAAGTATCTGTTCGGTTATTTTCTTCTGTTAGAGATAGAGGTATGGAAACCAATATGTCTGCTATGGTTTCACAACCTTCAGTAAAGTCTACTTCGCAACGGACGGTGATACGATCACGTCTGTTCGTGGAGGGCGGAAGACAGAAGAGGTAACGCAGAAGGTAGAGACTTGTTGCATGAGGCCCCTTGGGCGGCTTGTCAAAGATTCGAGCTGTTAGGGGCATTGGAGAAGAAAACTTGGGTGAAGTTCGAATGTTAAAGTTGCACAGGGGTTTGAAGGCTGGAGTTGTGAAGAGCTACAAGTAACTGTTGGACTTTGGCTGTTGTGGAATTACTGTCACCTAGGTAGTTTCAGTCAGGGAGAATGAATTAGATTGGATTTGGCCTAGACCTTGATGTGTGTTATTAAATGCGTACGATAATCAAGCTAGCCACCTATAAAATGCAATTTGCGGATGAACACAATAATGATTGTTACGATTCTGATAGTATTAGGAGTAAGATTTTGGCGGCAAAAAGATGGTGCGGGGTATCTTACAACGTGGGGAAAGGTATCACAAGAGTTTGGGCTCACGCGCTATTTTCATGTTCGCTTAAGCACTGAATGGCGTTCGCAATCTCTCATCATGGTTGATTTAGCCGGCAAGATTTCAGTTACATCTGAACAGGAACCCTTTAGTTGCCATGTATGCCGCTCTATCGTCGACAGTTTTAAAGGACTCAATGACGATGATCTTGAGCCAACCATTGGAGATATCAAGTCTATCCGTGCAGTACCTTGCCCGTACCATGCAGGCTTGCTCAAGAATGAGCTATGGAGGCTTGGCCCAGTTGAAGAATCTGACTCTGGAATACTAGTCTTGATGCGAGGACGTCGATCAAAAACAATATTCTTAACCTTGCATGGCGAAGAGACCCAGGATAGCGAAGATGAGTCTGGTGAAGACGATGAAGACGGTGGTTCGGATGCTGAAGAGTCAAGTGACGACGATGGTGATTCCGATGCTTATAATTCTACAGATCAACTTGCACTAGTGCATCGACAGGACATCCCGGATCATCAAGGCAAGGCAAGACTTCTTGACCCCGAATGGTTAGATGCCGATACCGTCCGTGGCTGGATTGAGACTTGTGAAAGAGATCACCCGAACTGCAGAGATTCAGAGCTTTGGCCTGGTGAGAACTCTATACGACCTAAATATCTCATTGATGTTATTGATAGCCGGCTCGTTCTCGGAGATCACGCAATAGGTGACTACGTCGCGCTGAGCTACGTCTGGGGTCAGACGAAGACGCTCCGCACAATGGCCAACACTCTCGGCCAACTCTCAGAGCCAGGGGCTTTCGGCGACGGGAGACTTAGAAAGCAGATGCCAAAGACTGTGAAGGACGCAATGGGTATCGTGGGCTGTCTTGGATTGAGATATCTCTGGGTTGATGCCTTGTGCATCGTTCAGGACGACAGCGAGCAGCTTCGTCTGGAACTTGGTCGGATGCCAGGCATTTATGCGTCTGCGTCCTTCACTCTCGTCGCCGCCAATGGCGCGGACGCCAGTCACGGCCTCCCGGGCTTTAAAGGCGTATCTTCCCCACGCAGCCTCCACCAAAAGACTGTGAAGCTGGCCGGATCGGAAACACTCGTCGTCACGCCACCAATCCCTCGATCGCGCGGATCAGCGTCATATCGAAAATTGCAGATTCCCTACCACCAGCGAGCGTGGACATTTCAAGAGTATCAGTTTGCCTCTCGCAAACTCGTTTTCCAAGGGCACACTGCCTTTTGGCGATGTTCTCAGGCCGAGTGGTGGGAAGATCATCACCAGGCGCCTGGGATGGATGCACCAGAAGTCCAGGAATCAGAAGCCATATTGAAGATCATAGCTCCGATGCTTTCCTTCCTCTCCAGTATGATCATGGAGTTTAATCAGAAGTCATTGTCATTTCCTGAAGATGCCGCCTCTGCTTTTACGGGGCTGCAGAATGTACTCCGGAATCGCGTGTTCCCAGATGGACTGTTATACGGGCTTCCAATCTTCTTTTTTGAGATGGCTCTTCTTTGGCGTCCTAGGAGTGATATATATCGGCGTGTTCCTACAAAGAAACAAGATTCAAATGAAGCAATCCCGAAGAGTCTCCCGTCGTGGTCTTGGCTCGGCTGGAGTGGCAATGTTGCATTTCCGGACGACTGCGAGTTTGCTGCATACAACGGTGGCAGTACTGACGAGAGAGAGGGATTCGTATCTCCGGTTACAGAATGGTACACAGTTCCATCGCCATCGTCTCGATATTCCGACAAGCAAGCACTTGTACCAGGATGGTATGCGTCGAAAAAGGAGGCGCAAACGGGGGATGGCCTCGTGCCTGAAGGGTGGGAGCGACAGAACTTCGATGAGGATCAATTGGAGCCAGGGGACAGAGAAGGCCTTCCTCGATCTACTCCCCGGTTCTCGTTCGAAATCGAATCTCTTGCAGCGGCATCGCGACAAAACAACCTTTTCCCTAGATTGCTTCATTGGTATCCTGTCCCTGTCGCTAGCAGCAGGTCGGGCGAAGCCACCGTCCGCCAGTCAGCATATATTTCGTGTCGTACTGAGCGAGCATTCCTGTTTGGCGGTTCTACGATAGATGGTACGGACCCCCCTAGGTTGCAGTTACTAGATGGGAAGGGAGTACTTGCCGGATACCTGCAACTGCACAACGAGGGTGAGCTCGAGCAATTCCAGGCCACAGAAACACCTGGAAAGCGTGTTGAGCTGGTATCTGTAGCCAAAGGCTACACAGGGAGGCTGAGTGGTGATCGCACGGTGCTAGAGAAAGAGGAGGATAGAAGTTTATGGTTTCGAGACTGCCTGTTCGTGCTTTGGGTCGAATGGGATAACGGCGTTGCGTTTCGAAGAGGATCCGGTGTCGTCTTGCTTGAAGGTTGGAACGAGGCATGTGGAAAGGATTTCTGTGACTTAGTTCTTGGCTAAATAGGTCTGCTCGATGCATTGACTAGGTAGAACGTTGTTTGTGATGTATTGCTGCAATTTCTTCCAGATTAGGAAGTCTGATTACCCTTTTGGGCCTTGGCACCTCTGGCACCCTGGCACTGCGCATGCGTGCAGGTGATGATTGATTGATTGATTGATACTGTTGCGTGCAGGTGGTGTTCAAGGAATTGAATGCACTGCAGCCCGGTGCCCCCAGGCCAACACGCCCGTGCCAAGTGCGTACCTACCTACCTCCAGGTCCACATCGGCGCGCAGCACGCACATGCTACGCACCTCTCGTAGCCATCAGTAATAAATGTGGGTGTCGACCGATGGGACGAATTGCGACTTCGTAGAGCAAGCGATTCTTGATCCGTAGGCTGCGGCCTGCACGACTGAAACTCGAATGCCGGGTTGCCGGTGAGAACATAATCAGGGAGCATCTAGACCGCCATATTGGTTGCATTTAATGATTGTCTCGGTAGAAGCCGGCCACAAGTAGACCTGAGTAAAAGCGCACAAGGTGGTACGCCGGTCCAATGCGCACTCCTAGCTGGGAAATTCAAGGCTAGCACGGCAGGGAGATCGCTTTCATATCGGCCAAAACTAAGCGACGGAAGCGAATGTAAAGAGAGAGAGAATTGATCTGGCTCTGTGTGGAGCTTGGTGGTACTCGTGTTTTAAAACATCTGTGTGTGTGGCGCTTGGTTCATCCCATCGAGCGTGTTTGAATGTGAGACAGTTCGGGCCTTCTGAGCAGCTCGAGCCAGCATGACTCAAATAAAAGTCAAGTCATGTCTCTTATCCAGGACCAAAGGCTCAGACTCCTTTGTTTTATAAGAGGATCGCCCTCCCCTTTTCTCATGGCCTCGCGGAAGACATCAAGAATTCTTCAAGATAGTCAAGATGAGGGTTCAAGCTTTCTTCATCGTCGCCTTTGCGGCCCTCGCTATTGCTGGAGCAGTTCCCGAACAGGGCGATGCCTTCATCAAGCAACGAACCCCCGAATCGAGCAAGTACTGCGGCGGCAAAGATGAACATTGCTCCGCCGACGACCAGTGTTGCAGCGTGAGTGAAGCGCGTCATATCTGAATGATGGTTAGATTGTGCTAATGAGATTCATGGTAGAAACAATGCACTTGGGTATGTGACATAGGTTTACTACCGGCGGGAACAAGTCCCTTCGCCGAACAATTACTGACCGTTTTGATAGCGCCCTGGGGACCCTCATAGGCGCTGTGTAAGTATTTCATGGATCAAAACCCTTATAAATACGTTAATAGGGTAAGCTGACGTAGAGCTATGATACAGGAGGGACATTGAGCTCGTACCGAGTAGTAAACTGGCTGGGGTGTGTTTGAAGTGTTTGGATTGGCGTAGGACAAACGAAGGAAGCCAGGTGAAGAGGTCACCTTTAAGTCATTCGACGCGCAGCTCGTCTTGACGGCAAGTGAGCCATCGGCATGAAGGTTTATAGAATTTTCTGTCGTATGACCGCAGCCTTGGGCTAGCGAAGCTTTTTTACTAACCTTTCGTATTCATTGTATTGACTTGTTGGGCCTGGCATCTCCTTTTGTTTTAACTTTCTATCGAACTCTCTCCGGTAAGCTGGCAGGACAGACTTCATCCTTGCTGGGCGAGTGAGTAGGATGCAAGGTGTAAAAAGAAGAGAAAAAGGACTCTAATAACTACTACAGTTAATAGAACAGAAAAGATTAAAACACAGTATCAAAATTGTACATATTACAGGTTAAATATAGGTACGATCGCTCGGCGCAACTAGAGTGTCGCAAGATTGCAACAGATCTCTTGCATGCGGGAGCGCGGCAATCCTACCTTCAGCCGATGTAGTCATTGGTGGCGCACCAGTCAATCCTGGCTCGTACAAGATGGGAAGCTGGTCCGGATCTTCGGCAGTGGAAACGCAAGCTAAGCAGCTGGTGATCCATCGTTCAGCTTACACCCGCTTATGCCCTGGCCAAGTGATGAAACGTGAAGATCCCACGTGCTTGAGCGTCACCCCAATTCGAACAGAAAGACATGTTTCTCCCGCAAGCCGTCCTTCCAGAATGCGTGATCAGCGTCTTAGTTCCTTGCGGACGGTGCCGTTTGAACCGGCAATTGTTCCACAAACTACACGCTTTTGGACTATATATCGCACACTCTTCCTCTCCCTTGGCCTGCCTGACTAAAGCGCCAATAAAATTGCAACATCTGAAACTAATCGTCTGCTTACACGGTAGCCCGGCACAATGAAGTCGTTCACAGTCCTCCTCCTAGCTACGCTTGCGGTCTGCAAGCCCACGGTGTACATGATCCGTCACGGTGAGAAGCCCGACGATGATGGTACCGGCTTGAGCACACAGGGGCAGCAGAGGGCACAATGCCTTCGCAGTGTATTCGGCGCGAGCTCTCAGTACAACATTGGATACATTTTGGCCCAGCAGTACAAGTCCGGTGAGTCAAAGCATCTCATAACCAAGGTTTGGACAACTCACTTACACCGTGTTCCAGATGGCAAGAGAGAGCGGCCATACGACACCGTACTACCCGTGGCCACTGATCTTGGGCTGACCGTCGATACCTCATGCGACCGGGACGACAGCAAGTGCGTCAAGAAGGCTGTGAAGAACTACAGCGGCAGTGGCAATATCCTCATCTGGTACGTCCTGAGTCTGATACCGACCAGCAGAATACGTCTGACCAACTCTCATCAGCTGGGAGCACAACGAACTCACTAGCATCGCCGAGGAACTTGGTGTCGATGATGCCGGCGACTACCCCGATGATCGGTTCGACCTGATCTGGACACTCCCTTCCCCTTATGACACTATCACATCGCAGACTTCTGAGCAGTGTCCTGGCCTTGATTCATAAGGTCAAGGTATATGGCTTCAGATTAATAATAAATAGAAGATACATAGCCTATGAAAAACGTCCAATGTGGTGCTAGTAGTTATATCTTGTCATAAGTGAGATACCTCGCTCAAACTACCCCTCTTAGAGTGGCACGTACTGTGAAGTTCCAAAGCAGGTCCGGAGCCCTTTTTTGCTCAAAATGCTGCCACTTGTATTTTTATCGCCTCATCAGAAAGTCAGAGCTCAAACTGTACCGCTCAACCCCAGGTCACAGATATCCTGCCCATGTGGGTATGGGGTGGTCAAGTGCCTCCAAGGCAACACACCCCCTAGTAACTCTACTACTGTATAGATGCTGAGGGCGGTCGCACGCATGATATAACATTCTCTGGCTTTGGTCATATCCAGAAGGTCGCCACGGGACTTTTCGTCCCGCTGCTTCTCCTGAGATTTTCCCTTTTTGGATCTCAAGTCGATGCATTAGAGCTGTCACTGACCTGACTTTGTCAATAAATTGATACCATGAACGCCCGTCTACAGCCAAGCCTACTGTTATCACCACATGAAAATGAGTTGATATTGTCGATTAATACCTACCTGTAATAAATCTAATTTTGTGCCAACAACCGGATCCCCATTTATGAACTATACCAACTACCAGCCGTTTTGTACCGGCCAATTGCCGTTGAAGTAACCAAGACGCAATTGCCTGTATATGACAAGGCCATTTGCCCGACTACGCTCGTTGTTAGAACCTCCGATGAGGCCATTACAGTCGGTGTGTCACTCCCTCCTCATCATCCGGGACGACGAATGGCCCATCCGGTTTGCGAGGCACGCTGGAGACGGAAATGACTTAGGGTGTGATACGCAAGTCCGCCTAAGTCGTATAGGCGATACCTAACAGGTACCCTGGCTACTAAAACAGGTAGGGAAGTACCTATATATTATTAATAGCTCTATATAACCTAACTCTTATAAATCCCTACCCCTTTTATTAGCTTAACTTACTACTTTTAAATATTTATTTAAAAAGGTCTTATAATAATAGTATTTTTAGTATTTTTAGTATTTAATATAGCTACCTTCTAATCTAATAATATATCTTAAGCCCCCTGGATAATTAATATATCTTAGAATAGTAAAATCTCCTTCTAATTTTATATATTTTAAATCTATTAGTCTAATAAGAAAGTCTTCTTATTACTAGAGCTACTTTTTAAAGTTTAGTATAATAGAAGATTTAATAATAGTAAGTACTAGTTTATAAAAATAGTTCTTATTTTCTTTATTAAGAAGTTTAAAAATAAATTCCCTTATAATAGTAGATAGTTAATAGTAACTATAGAATTTAAATATTATTATTTTTAAGATTATTAGTAAATATTCTATAATATTAAGTTTTAGAATAGTATAAAGTATAAAAAGAATATAGGAATATTAGTATTATTAGATAAGAATAAGTAAAAAGTAAAATAGATATAGCTATAGGTTAGAAATAAGATAATTTAGAGTAGTTTCTTTATCTTAGATAATCTTAACTTTAATAAATAGTATAAGATATTTATAAATAACCTTCTAGCCTGTTATTATATTACTAAAGCTAGTAATAATATAACTTTTAAAGAGATAATCTAGATAATATAAGAAGCTAATTCTCTAATAAGTAAGCTAGCTAATAATAATATAATTAATATATAAAAGAAGGAAATAACTAATAAAATTATTATTAATTCTAAGTAGGTTAAGGAGAATAATATAGAGGAGATCTTATAAGATTTATAACCTACTTTATTATTATAAATACTTATACTATTTTATATATAATCTTAAACTACTCTAACTTTATAATAAGATTTACTAGGAATAAGTAGAAATAATACTATTTCTCTTATAAGGAAAAGGAAAATATTATAAGCTAATCTAGATAGTAGCTTTAAGTAGTTAGTAATTATATTTAAAATACTATAACTTTAATTATATATAGTAATTATATTTTTAGTTTTACTTAATAAGCTATAAAAAACCCTAAAGAATTATTTTATATTTCTTAGTAAGAATAATCTATAGATAGTAATAAAAATAATAGAATAAATAAATTTAGAGCTAAAGAATATAATTTTATAGTTAAATTTACTATTAGAAAATTTAAAGAATTTATATATTAAAATAAAGTTTAATTCCTTATAGAGCTATAGCTTATAAAGCTATTTAGAAATTAAAATAGAATTAGGTTTAAAATAATTTTACTTTTTCTATTTATTAGCTAGCTTCTAATTTATTTTTTTATCTACTATAATATATATATACTTATAAATTATTCTACTAAACTAACTATTCTAAATTAGAAAAACTCTTATAATCTTTATCTTTATTTTCTCCTTTACTTTTTATCTTAATATATAAATTATATTACTCCTAGGTCTAATCTATAATAAGTTTCTATAGCTACTATATAGAGTAGCTGGAGATAATATAATTAGTATACTAATTTATATTTATAAATATCTATTTATTAACTATAGTAAATACTTCTATCTCTCTTTTTAAGATTTACTATAGTAAAATTCTATCTAATATAATAAAGTTATTTAGATCTATTATAATATATATAATTTTTATCTAATTAGAGAAGAGATACTTAGATATATTATATTAGATAACCTTCTACTTCTACTTATAATAACTAAATATTCTTTTAACCTAGCTCTATAACTAGATATAATAAAAATTAAAAAGCTCCTTAGTATTCTATAGCTATTTATTATAATTACTAAAGTTTTAGAGGTAATATATACTCTTAAAGAATATTATTATTCCCTAGCTTAGATTAAAATCTATATTTATAAGAAGGAAATAATTTAATAGGATATTAAGAGATTTTAAGTTTATATATAATAATAATATTAAGTTATAAACTAAGCTTTTAACTCTTACTAATATATATATAAATAGCCTATTAAAAGAGATAGTTATAAGTATATTTTATAATATATTATTCTTATATAATTAGAATCTCTTTTAGTTTATAAGTAGGATAAATATTAGAATATATATTTTATTAATAATTCTAATTATTCTATTAAATTATATAAACTTAGAGTTTAATTTAATTTTATTTAATAGGTAAGTTAAATCTAGCTACTTAATAAAGTAGCTATAAAGATATTTTATTAGATTAATAACTATATAGAAGATATAAAATATAGCTATTTAGCTAATTTTAAACCTATAGATTATATTTCTTTATAGCTTATTATATATATAGATCTAAAGGAATATTATAACCTTAAATTTAATTATCTAGAACCTTATTACTATTAGAGATATATTTATTCTTAGCTACTTATAAAGTAAATAGAAAATTATTTTTATTATTTAGAATATATAATAAAATTACTCTTCTAGTAAGGAAAGAAGATATAGTTTATATTTAGCTACCTTAGCTAGATTATTTTAATACTATTTCTTTACTTTCTTATCTTTAGAAAGCAGTTTATATAACTATTAAATAGGAAAGCTCTTATTATTTAAACTTTCCTTAAGTAAATTCTAAATAAACTAAACTAATATAAACTTATATTTATCTTCTTTATCTTTAATTAGTTACTTAAGAACCTAAAAAGAAAAATTAGAAGAGATTATTATTAGAAAGGCTATTTTAATACTATAGATAAGATTATAAGATTTATATAAAAGTTAAGTAGGCCTTTAGATAATATAAAATATATAATTAGCAGCCTATCTTCTTATATCTAAATAATATATATTAGGTAGTAGAAAAAATAGAATCCCTTAATAACTAAGCTTTTTATAGATATTAAAATAGTCCCTACTAGTAAGTTATATAAAAGTTAAGGGTATAATAAAATAATAGAGTAGTTATATAAAGTAGATAAATTTATATAAAGATCTTCTGCTAATTTAAGTAAGGTTAGTATTTTTTATAAATTTATACTATTAGGCTGTTATTAGGCAGACTTGCATATTACACCCTTAATTGAGGTGATCTCGGCTGGTACCAACCAAATCCTGGAATGTTACGAGGTGCTTATTATGCTTCGCCATCTTGCCAAGTGGGTAATATCAATAATGTACCCTTCGAGGAAGAAGCATAATTTACTGAATGGAAATATAATCAGTGCTATTTGGTTGCCATTCCATGTTTTCAGACGTTGAAACAAACACCATGACTCTAAGCCGAGTACAATTAGCAAGTAGCCTAGTTTACTAGCTTCTAGGCATCGGATCTCATGATGCATCAAGTCGTAAGCAAATAGATGGACTAGGGCCTAATCCAAGAGGCTTGTATCTACTCGTAGACTACTTGATACTTGGTCATCAGGATGCCTGAACTATGCAGTCTCTCCAGACTTTGCAGCTCCAACTTGCAGCAAGATCCGCCCAGACCCCCTTCCACCATCTTGAACCCATCCCCCAACAAGACGGGCATGACAGCCACATCAACTCCATCTAAAAGCTTAGCCTGCAGACATTCCGAAACAAGCCAGCCTCCTCCCATAAGCCATATCCCTTTCCCGTGCCTCTCCTTCAGCTGTTGGATTATATCGATATACCCCTCCCTCAAGATCGTGATGTTCGGGTGGTCTTGCTGCTTGAGTGTGCGACTAATCACAATGATTGCGCCTGGCCGTTTCTTTAGGCACGGATTTGGCTCGAGGGTAGACATAACGTCCCACGTTCGGCGGCCCATGACGTAGTAGTCGAAGCTTTCGTGGAGTTCGTCGAAGTCAATGGAGTCGTCCTGGACAATCCAAGAGGTAGATTCGTCTCGCGGGGCAATGAACCCATCGAGAGACTGGGCGACATTGTACCTCAGATGCATGGTAAATTAAAGCAGTGTTGAGTGACCGAGGGAACTGGTGGTGTATCACAGAGGTTTCTCAGACCTGATGCTTGAAAGTAACGGTTGCTGTCAAGTTAATATTGGTGCGTGAACAAATGCACGAGACGTATGCCAAGGCACCCTCATTTTCTCAGCCACACAGCCACACACCTTCACTTGCAGTGTCATTCCGTTCCATTAACTTGAAGTTCCGCGCCACAACCAGGAAGCTCTTTCCACTGTCCCCCACAGCCTCCTTCCCCTTCTCACTCCTTCCCCTTCTCTCCCCACTCCCCCGCCAGGATCAGGATCTCTCCAGGTGATCCAAATCCTTCTCCACGACATATACCAATGTTCAAGAAAAGTCACTGTAAGTGTAATATGGCCAACTCGCGCGTGGCCCAAAGAATGTTTGCCTCTGGCTGTTTGGGTCGACCCGATTTTTTTTTTCTTACTGACGCAAATCACAAAGCCATTGCAACTGAGCGATGAGAGACCCGAGCCAAAAACATTGGCTTATTGGATATTATCAAGGGTAAGTCAACTCCAAAGCACGAAAGTTTCTATTCCTCGGCGGCCTACAGTCGACGTTGATGAAGAATCTGATCCCGCTCTTGAGCCAAAATCTTCCCCTCCACGCCTCAAGCACAGTACCTCTGATCATTTGAATACGCAATAGGGATCAAGAGGGGAGTCGTCCGAAAAGCTCGTCCCTCGTCGTGACGAGCGATCGCTGCGGACCTGACCTACCTTGTCACCGGATGAAACCATGAAACCACCACCCCATTGGTTTCGGCGCCTTCGTGTCGATGGAGGCCATAGCGAGCTGAGGCCGTCGATTCCGAACTGCAGAATACAGGACGTATATCACAACAGATTGTGGATGGAGCTTTACAGGACAGAGGTTCTAGAAAGGTCCAAAATCATCCCGCTGGCCTCACGTCATGGCACGGATATGAGTCCATTGCATCCATGAACTCGTCTTTGCCCCGAGCAGCCCAGAGAGGGCACGGGGGATGGGACAAACAATCACTGGTGGGCCGGGAACCCTTATGCTCCTACGATTTCTCCGTTCCTCATGCCGCCCATTCCCAACTACATGTAGGCAGAAGTCTAGCTTCCACGAAGAGACCTAGCTGTCTTCCGTCATGACGAGCGATCGCTGCGTGGTTGACCCGGCGAAACGACGTCTTCTATATTCTCGCGCAAGCAGTAACCTACTGGCACTTAACCACACGTTACTCAACAGTGCAGTGGCGATCGACAACAGGGAGTTCGGGTGAGAGAGTTCGAATAGTGATAGCGTGTGGTTAAGTGCCAGCATATTACTGCTTGCGCGAGAATATAGAAAAAGACAGCAATGAAAGATGCCAGACCCGACATCTCAACACAATCAATATGAAAAGACAAAAAAAGAGGCTTTACGAGCCCAAGGCTACAGTCATGCGGAAGGAAAACTCTGTGAATCTTCATCAAACGGAGAAACATGAAATCCTCAGGAATTCGATAGCATATCATCAACGATCGTAAGTACCCTTCATACACGTCATTTACTTATCCGGGCTAACAGCAGATGTGGCTACTGGAAAGCAAAAGGGGAGTTTACCCCATCAGCAAGAAATCGACAAGTCGATGCTATGCCCAGCATCTCATACGATTACGTATCATTAACGCTCCGAAACGGCCCTTCAGTTAGTGGAGTAAACCTGAACTCTGAGAGAAACGGCCGGTAGACAGGCTCGAATGCACACACGGCGCTATGGCCTGACGCCGAGTCCTTCCACCGTGGAGCTGAAGAAGGCTGCAGAAAAGAATGACTCGAACGCCGTCAATGGAACCGAGGGCGAGAGCGAGGGAGATGAAAAGGCCGGGACCGAAGAGCAGCCTCAGACCACGAATGGATACAGCAGCAATACAAGCATCGAAACGCCGGGAGATGAGCCTGCCCACATTCTCTGGAGCTCGAGGATAACTTCCCGATGGAAGGTAAATACGAATCGCAATTACAGTGTCTAACTTGTCGATACAAACAAGACCTGGTATCTGAAGCCGGGCACATTGCCCGGATGGGATGTTGATAACGATGGGAGCACCGTCGCCACCTGCGACTTTCATGTTGATCCCTTACGTCCAAACTGATCCCTTGGGCAAATCTCCTGATTTCGCACACCGCGAAGGAGCCTGCATGCTACGGAGGCATCATTTTCAGAGCAGGTATGTCTAAACCCCAAGCCGCCAGCCCACATTACAATTACAGATGATAGACCAAAACCGTTGACTCCAGGCGCTATGAAATAGATCGGGGCCCAGAAGCTATAGAAACTTGAGGCTCAGCTTCATTAGTTCAATTACGGAAGGGAGTTCGAGTATAAAGTTAGACAACCATAGAAGATGCGAGACCCGACATCTCAACACAATGAAAATAAGTTCAATCACAGCTCCATTCTAGCATCGCAAGGGAGAACCGAGCCATTATATGCCGTGCTAGATGACCTAAGGCAAATCACGACGCTGTTCAATACTGCCATCTGCGTTCAATGTGCAAGCTAAAGCTCTCGATCATTGGCTGAATAGGCTTGGTTTTACTATTTGCATTTAGTCATTCACATGTTCCTTCGGGTCGACAGGATTGTGGGTGATGATGGCTGTTGTCATTGAGCGCGAACTATTCTAAGCAGATAATCTCTCCAGTTTCATCAATAGATTACGCTATTTCTATTAAGTGCTCGGCCATGTAAGGGCCAAATTGGCCGCTCTATGACAGCCTATAAAGGATGTGCATGTTGGATGCGGTATGTGCAATCAATCCTCCAAGGCTTGTCTATGGCGGTGTCTCACCCTGTTTGTTGGCACGGGTGCAATGTCCCCAACTCAAACGCACACCGCTGTCAGCTGCATAGGGATGCCTCGGCTCTTGCCGCTTGACCTATATTTAGACCGTTAGACATCTGTGGTGTGCAAACGAACTGACTGATATGAGAAGGTTGGTTCAGTTCACTGTCGTGCTTACAAACTGAGACATAGTAAGAAGGATCCTATAAGAATCCTACCCGTCTCTGAACTCCCCAACAAACTTGCCAACAAACACAAAATGATTGCTAACAACATCTGCATTCAGCCTACCATCCAATAGCTTCCCCGTCTGATATTAAGGACGTAGCCGGTATGCCTATGATGAAATTTCACTCCTTCCAGTTATTTTGACACCGTTTTACTAAAGTCGCAGCTATTGCAGTCCTCAATAGCTACCAGTCGAATGATGTAGCGTATGAATTTACTGCAACAACATTTAAAAAGACCTCACGTCTCCCTTTCAGCGACCCATATCCTGATAGTACTCCTTTCATATAGGCCAGATCTTGGTAAGAACTTTTCTCGGTATTATTGTAAAACACTAACTTCAATAGAAATCATGAGCGCGTCACCAATGAAGCTAAAGTTTTAGAGCTAGTTTCTCAGCAAAAAACAATTCTTGTGCCGAAACTACTTGCGCATGGGGAGTATCCAGACGGCCGGCGATATTTGATCACGGAGTTTATCGAAGGCGTGACCCTGAACACGCTTCTAACGCACAATTGCTCAAGACTAGGGGATCAGAAACATACAAATCATACTCCATGCAAGACATGTTCAGACCAAGCCTATTCAAATGCGCTCAAGTTTATCGAGGATATTGTTCTACCGCAGCTTGCGAAATTACGATCCCGAGAAGGAGGTATTAATGGATTTGTTATGCCACCCTCTTGGTTTAGCCCCGATTGTGAGCCTCCATGGAAAGGCAAAAAGTCTTAGAAGACTCTCCCTTTAAATAAACCAGATTATATTTTTCAACACGGCGATATCACAGCTTATAATATTATCATGGATCTACAAACTCTTCAAGTCAAGTCCTTGATTGATTAGGAGTATGCTAGCTACTTCCCTCCAGGGATAGAAAGATGGCCTAGATCACTAGACATAGCTGCTTACAGAAGACGGGCTGGAAACCTGGCCCAGGTAATAGCAGACTTCCTTCTGGAGGAATATCTACAATACTATAAGAACTGGAGCAATAAGGAAGAATTACAAACATTGATTGAGTCTGGTGAGCTTCCACATCCGAGTCAGCTACATAGAGAAGAGGTGAAGAATTCAGGGGCAAATTTCACGGGCGCTACACATGAACAAGGCATTAGTCACCAGTAACTCACACGCGAGTATGCCAGGCTACTAATTCCCACCACCTCAATGTTGCCAGGTTCACTGTCATGTTACCAGGCTCACTGCAAGATGACCAGGTTCGATATTTAACCACAATATGATGAAATATAAAAACCATTACTATCTTATGTGCCCTTTCTTGAGCAGTAGTGGTTACTGAACTTCTTGGACGCTTCACTGGTAAGTGTAACTATCTATAATGCTGAGGTTCCTAGACTTTGGCAATACTCCATGATTTTTGACGCCGCATCAGCGGGTGCCAAACTTGTTGTGTCAATCAAGCATGACTGGTGATCTTCCGCTTCAAACTGGAAGATACTACATCTGCTTCTGAAGTCCCTTATCATGGTTGGGTCTGTCAACTTGGTCGTGCCCCCTTGTAACCGCTCATAGCTAGTGGCACGCGTTATGTTAACCTCACAGTCGCAGGTTAAATACACCGGTATGAACGGCCTCTTAGCGGCTTTTGCGGCAGCTTGATACTCTCTCGCTACACTCTCACCCAATTGGTTGGTGGTTTGGAAATCTATTGTGTATGAGTATTGGTTCTATATTGTGGAACAATAGCTTGCTTCCCTCACCTGTGAAGATTATTGTGTGTTCTGCCCAACCGGGGCTGGAAAGATATTTGTTGAAGGCTTTCTCGCGCTCCTTCTTGCGCTCAATTTGGTAGCATGGGTGGTCCCGGCTTAGTTTTACAAGATCGATAAGCTGATGGTTGTCGATAACGACTGACTTCGGAATGAGCGTTGCCAAAGCTTCGGCCACTGTAAGCTTGCCGGTGCCGGGGAAGGCATTTATCCAGATGATTGGGGCAGCAGCCATGACAATGAAGATCTTGGATACGATGTCTATCGCTTGAAAGTTAAGAACAATACGAATACTATTGTTTTGAGAGATCTTTGAGTCATGTTTTGTGATCGTGGGAAGTCATAAGATCTTGTGACTCATAGACTATGTTTGTGATGGAAAGAATTCTATTCTAGGGTTACATGACCACTTTTCCAAACACAAAGAACTTTCATACGCCACTTTTCACAAACCTTCTTCTAGCATTTTTTTCGTGACAATTGAATTATCGAGTACAAGGGACTGAAATAAAGAGTCAAGACAACTTGATGTGATGTGTGCTTAGTAATCACTATCGCGACAGTATCCAGCAAGAAGGCTCAGCCAGAAAAGAGCGGAATGTGGCTTCGCCCTCGCCCCAGACATGTACAAGGTCCGTACGCACGAGGGCCACAAAAGCCAGAATGGAAAGAAAGACCAGAATGGGAAGAAAGACTTGGGGCGCACCGGGGAACTCACAATGGTGGCGGAACTCCAAGCTGGTGGTGTGGCGGTCGCACGTACAAATATGGCTGGATAGCACACATATGTGGCTTGAAGGTGCTCAGCCACATGCCACATGCGAATCCGAGTGTTCGTGTTGGCTCGTCATGCCAGACGTCATCTGATGTGGCGGATTCAAGTTGCGTCAACCGGATGCTGCATTGATTGTAGGGAATAGGTACGACTGTGTGCAGCGCTAAATCAGGAATCGAACCCGCTGTATCTCACTCAATGCGCAAATTTTCAAGTCGTTTTCCCGGCTCGCTTCGGATGGACGACGAGAGAAGGTCATGGAGGAGGTCTGCATTTAATCCAGCAGGCTCGGGCATCGATGCACGAAATCCTGATCTTATCTGAGTGGCCCAACATGCAGGTCAATGCAGTTCTGCAGCAAATGTCACCCTAGACAGCGGGAACAGGTCCGTCCGTTGGGCATGGACTTGTGTCGCGTAGTGAGGGGGCCGTGATGCACCCATTGTGAGCCAGTCGCTTAGCTGAGTCAGAGCATTTTCGAGGTGGCCGTCGTGGCAGCGACCAGCAGCTGGCCAATGGCAAGCAAGAAACGACCCAAGCTCAGCGCCGGGCCCACCGTAGTCTGCCGGACCGCGCCTGAGGCCTAGCGCTCCCTCGGTAGCAGTTTAGGCTGCTGCTGCTAAAAACGTTGACCGCCCTACCTCACAGGCACCTCATGATCATCCAGCTCTGGCGCAGCCCCTAACTCTAGTGGTCTGGGAGCCTGAAGATCCACCGCGACTCCCACCTCCACCACCTTGGCCCCTGCGACTGGCTCCCCAGGCTCCCCTACAACACATCAATCACCCCACACAGACGCCAACTCACGGCGGCCATCTGGTGCTGGGCTGGGGCGGCTGTTCAATTTGCGCTGCCCTTCACTGTGGCTGGGAGGCTAGCGGCAGAAGACATCGCAACCCGAACCCTTCTTTCTCCTCCCTTCATCCAACAAATCATCCATCCTTCTCCATTGCTTCTGGCATTTCATTCACCACCGCATCGTCGCCCTTCCGCCTCCCGGGCTTTGCTTCATTTGCCAGCACTTCTCGCATTAACCGTCCGTCCCTGCGTCCATATCCACTCACCCCTCCGGAAGAGCTCAACGGAATTATCTCCACCTATCCTTGGGCAGCGTGCGCACATTCACTGACCCAGCAATCTCCACCCGAATTCCCAACGCTCGTCGAGCCGCCCGTACGTTACCCCGACCGTCGAGGAAAAAAGAAGAGGATAGCCCATCGCAGAGAGGGAGCACAACTCAGCACCGCCGTCCCCCATGGTTTAAAAATGCCCTCCAAAGAGCGGGAAACCGAGGCCGACGCTGAGGAACGCCCTCGTGAGAAGCATCGTCGCTCCAAGCACAAGGAACACAGGGATGACAAGGAGCGCTCTCACCGCTCCTCCAAGTCGAGCCGGCCGAAGCCCATCGAGGGCAGCGAGACACATTCACACGTGTCGTCGAGGCGACACCATCACCACCGCAAGCGAGACAAAGACAAGGACAAAGATGATGTGAGGATCCGGTCGACGTCCGGGAGCGATTTGTTCTCTGGCGTATCCACATCTCGCCTTTCGTTCCCGTACCCCTCGTTCAGCAAGGCACACAGCAAGGAGGCTGTCAGTCGCGAGGATGTGTCGACGCTGAGCCGCCACACCAATCCTTTTACTCCAGAACCGACAGATGTTGGCGACGAAGAAGCCAGGCGATCCAAATCCTCAGAGCTCCCTCGGAGGTCGTCCACAGTCTCCAAGAAATCCCCCCGACCCCCAACACCTCCCGATACCGATCTGTCTGCCGACAAGAAACATGACGAAGAAACTCCCAGGGAAGTGGATGGAATAAAGGAAGAAGATGAGCCCATCATCGAAGAGGAGGTCCTGCCCGAGGCTGAAGCTGCTGAACCAGGCCCGAAGCCGGAACCAGAACCGGAAGCAAGACCAGACCCTGAACCAGTATCAGAACTAGGCCCTGAGCCATCGGTGCTTTGCCCTCCTGAACCAACACCAGAACGCTCTACTCCAGAACGCTCTCCATCGAAACACGAAACCTCTCCCAACTCTCGACCTAAATCAAGGGCGTCGACTCTGTCACGATCGGCCTCGTTGCGAGACGAAAGGTCGAAACTCAGCCATAAATCCCGTACATCGAGCCAGGCAACCTACGTCAAGCACAAAGCACACGAGAAGATTCGCACAGACTCTCGAGCATCAAGCCTATCCCGCCGCTCGTCCAGGGGATCAAAGGGATCGCCATCCACACGAAGCGTACGGGACCGCGAGAGAGGCTCATCCCCATCCAGCCCGCGAGACTCGTCTCCAAGAACACCGACCCAATCGGCGGTACCATATACCCCTCACGTGTACGGCACAATCCATGGCGAAGCTTCTGCTACGCTCGTAAACGATGAAGTGACGTCCGAAATCCCATCTAAAACCGCCACGCCCGCCTCAGTCGTACCCAGTGCTCCTCCGCCGCCGCCTCCACCGCCTCCTCCTGCGATTGACATCCAAGACCTACCACGCGTAGACTACCTTTTGCAGAACGGAGGACTTGCATACCCAGCACCAAAGAATTTCCTCCAAGTCCTCCCTCGACAAAATGGCACCCGTCCTTCAAACCCACCACTCGCTGGCGCCGACACTCTCTTTGCCCCATTCTTCAACCTCCTCGACCAGTACCAGACCGTCCTCGGAAAGCAGGGGTCTATTGCTGTAGCCACTGGTCATCGGTCAGTGGCGCGACGTCTGCTAGACCGACTCGAGAATGTCTTCTCTCGAGACCTTCCTCCCCATGGTTGCTCGTGCGTCATGTGTGATAATCAGAGCCACCAGATTCACCACGGACTTACCTGGGGTGATGTCCTGGAATGGGTCAGCGGACGAATCGAGCTCCCCCAGTGGCCTCCATTTGACTTGGCCGAAATTGGCACCAAGGCCGCCGAGATTTCCGCCGAAGAGCCACTGCGTCCACGGTCGCCCGTGAAGATGGACCCTGATATTGATGAACAGTTCAGGGAGCATTACCTGCGCCAGTCGAAGAAGGTGCGGTCGGCAGTGGACAAATGGCTGACCAACACGGGAGAGACGCCCGTTCCCCCGTCACAGGACGTGGACGATGAGACGCTTACATTTGCAATCCTCACAAATCTGGACGCTGATAACCGACCGTTCTTCAATGCACTGCTTTCTGGATCAAGAGAGCTTCGTCCAGCCACGAGGGCCCCCACGCCAGCTCCCAAAACCCGCAACGACTTTTTGGTCAAGACCGGACTCTCACTGCAGCGGCTCTACAGACTTCCACAGGCACCGCGCGATGCCGAGTGCGCCTGTTACCTGATCAAGAACCCCCAAACCCACGACCTGCTGGTCACGATGGCAAACATCAACAATTCAGAGTGGGAGATTCTTACTTCGGGAAGATTTGACGGATTCTTGTGGTCCGGTGCTGATGCCGAGGACGCCGGCAGCCCCGCATTTGACTCGAGAAACACGACACCATTCTCAAGGCCGGCCTCGCGTGTGCCATCGTCAACAGGGCTCCGGTCCTTCTCGCCATACTCACGCGGCACCACCCCTGCATCATTCGTGAGCCTGTCCTCAGCCGGGACGATGGGTGGACGACACCCAGTGTCAAATGATGAGGAGATGGAGATGGCTGCGATTGCCGAGATTGAGCGAGAAATCTACACTGGCATGGAGTCTCTAGAGGATGCCTTTGAGAAGCTCCACCGCCGGGCCGAGATGGTGAGGACGGCGCTCCGCCAACGAGGCGCCGGGCTGATGCAAAACCTCCAGATGAGGAAACGCATCGACGTCCTTCCTCCCGGCTCCGGCAACTCGAACTCCTCGGGATACGAGCGACCCGGTTGGGCCACTGCTGGCAGTGAGTTCGACGTGAGCGACAGCGAGTGTGGAATTGACGACTTTGAGATCATGCCCGACGACTCGGCGAGTAACATCAGCAGCTCGCGACACCGACGACCCAAGAGAAGGACGGAGAGAAGAACTCCTGCTCCTATCGAGGAAGGGGACGAGGAGTAAGGGAGAGCTTTCCCGATACTCGATGGAGGATGGATTGGGAGGACTGTTTATAGCAAGCGGCATTTGGGGCTCTCACTGCTCCCCAGGCAATTGATTTCGCAGGACATACTTGGGATGGTTTCAATTACATGGCTTCTTTTATTTTATACGCAAGGACGCAAGCGAGGACCAACAGACTCGACGCAGCTTCATCAGAGTGGACCAATACCAGGTGGAGGAATTATTATGCTATCGGAATGATCGATGGTGGTGACGGACTTGATACCTCATTTATGAACACATGTTTCTGCTTCTCTTTCACCGCCACGGGGTCCCGAGCGTGTCTTGGCTCCCTCCCGCTTTCTGCTTTTTGTGCATTGACATTGATTTTTGGCTTTAATACGATACCACTTTGTATTTTGGGTGCAGCTCACGAAAGCTTGGGATTGACGAGGGGAATGCGCTGGGTCACCTAATGGAATTACTACACCGCGTGCGCAGGGGAGGAGGAACCTGGCAGCTATAATGGGGTCAATTGAATTACAGAGCGAATGACAATTGCAGGCCTTGTGATTGGCACCCTTGAGTGATGTCCAGAGTGCAGAGCGGTGACGGAAATGACAGCAGAACTGAATGTCGTGATAAGACGAGCTGTCCCAGACCCAAAAACGGCGCTGCGCCCGCCGAGTTGGCCGCCTGCAGTTCTGCCGCTCTCTGCAGCGCTGCACAAACTGCCGCAATCACCGCCGACGAGGAAACGCCCCACCATCGTCGTCATCCTCGCCTCGACACGGAGCTGCAGGCATTCTGGCTTGTGCTTGCCTGTGCCTGTGCCGTGCCTGTTGGTCTCTTGGCCGTGCTGCTGCTGCTCGACCGCCCATTGCAGCCACCGCCAACGGCCACATCACCCATTGCTCTCTCCCCGTCCCTCATCTTGCTCCTCCACCAGGCTTTGCTCGCGTGCTCCCGGCAAGAGAAGGGGGGTTATTCCCCAGGCCGGCAAACCCTAACCAAGGTGTCTACACCGACGACCAGCCAGAGGCCAATTCCCGTTACCTTCGAATGCCGTAAACCGCCGTGTCCTCGAAGAAATACAATCCGCCCCCCCCCCTCTCTGTCTCTCCTCCTCGTCGCCCGGGCGCACCGCCGCCCCCGCGCCATGTCTCTTCGCGGCCACAACCGAAGCAACACCAGCAACCCGCCTCACGCCCACCAGCGCGCATCCTCAGTGCCGTCGTCGAGATCGCCCTGCCCTCCACTGCCCGTCGTCGCGTCCCTCACCCCCGCCGCCCTCGCCGCCGCCGAGCCGAAAATCCCCTCCTCCCCCTCCTCAGACGACCCCAACGCCCACGACGACGAAAAGTCCCGCTCCGCGACCGCCAACTCGGCCTCGCTCCTCCAGCCCCGCGTCGCCGTCGCCCTCAACGTCCCGCAGCCATGGCACCCGTGGCTCTTCACCCTCCGCCTCGCCTCCATACTCCCCGCCGTCTTCTGGGGCACCCCCGTCGCGCTGCGGCTGCTCCTCCTCGCGCTCGAGCTGGTCCTCGGCCCGCCCAACATCAGGACCAGCGAGGGCAGCGGCGGAGGCATCGCCCACCACCTGGCGTCGTACGGCGGTGGCGGTGACGGTGCCGAGGGGGGCGGGGAGGTGCTGCTGGTGCCCGTGACGGAGATGGCGCTGGCGTCCATCTGGTGCTTTGCGTGCGGGTACCTATCCTTCTTCTTCACCGACTGTCTCATGTCGAGGTGGTACGTTTCTGTCCCTGCGTTGCTTCGTCTCCTACGTTGCTACGTCTCCTACGTTTTCTTGTTTGGTTCGTGGGGGGCACGGAGGATCTACAAGCTGCAGATGGGATGCAGCGTTTCTGTTCTTTAGGGCTAACTCCTGTCTTCTACCATAGGCTCATCAACTACACACCGCAGGCCACAATGGTCCGCCTGCTCACCATCGCCGCCGTCAACGCCTACGTCACAATGACCGTCCTCTCCCTCGCGGGGGGCTTCCAGGACCTGCGACTCCTCCTCCCAGGCTGGATCGGCATCGCGACGGTATGTCTCACATCTCCCCCCCCCTCTCCTTGATAAGAACCAAGACAATTAACTGGATCTGATACGAGCCAGACCCTCACCGTCTGCTACCACATCACGCACCAGAAGATCAACATCCGCAAGGAGACGTCCACCTCCATCAACGTCTTCTCCATCGCCAGCTACATCACCATGGTCACCCTCCTCCTCCACATGCACCTGTACAAGCCCGACTACCCGCCCATGCCCATCGTGACCTGGGGGCGGGCCGCCTGGCAGCGCGTCCAGGACAGCGACCTCCTCTCCAAGCTGGCGGGCTCCGGTGCCAGCAGGAGCAGTAGCGAGTTATGACATTCCTCGATTTTCGCTTTTTTTCTCTTTTTCTTCCCCTCGACAAGAAGCGACGAAGCGACATAATGCAAAGTTTTGGGCGTCTTGGCGTTTCCTCGCATTTGCACTTTTACGAAAGCCACGGTGTTGTCGGGGTTCTCTTATTATTAGGATATATATAGCTATCGTTAGTTCCTGGGCGGCCGTTACATCCTTATTTGCTTCAAGTTTGTTGTTGAGATATGTTTGGGGCATGGCCTCTGCTACATAGGGTTGTCTCTTACATCCTATCACTAGGGTTGTGTATTACTTCGTATCACTGGGGCTGTCTTTTATTCTCCTGTTCTTCTCGAATCACGTCAGTATCTACGTAGGCGAGGCGCGTGGTGTACGGAGCTCTGGTGTTTTTTTTTTCAACGCGAATGCTTGATTGCACATTTCCTAGACTACCTGTGAAACATGCCCAGTATTGCAGAGAAAAAAAAAGTTTGCTATCATTGTGTCCCAGCAAGCCATAGTCACGAGGCCTTGCCCACGATATCCCAGCGCGATCAACCCGCCGAGATGCGTAAAAAGGGCCGAGCAGACAGGCAACCCATGTAACTTGATCCCGCTGCAAGAATGGTCAACACAATACCTGAAGGGGGTACGGGAGGCAATCCATCAGGGAAGTCTCGAATGGTTTCGGGGCCCGCCCTCTTTGCAAGAGGAACAGGGGACCCCTCAGTTCCCAAAGTTGTAAATCCCGATCATGTCCTGGCGCTGCGTTGTCCTCCCTGCCGCGCGGAAGGAGAACACCTGGGGGCTGCGGGCCAAGCGCAATGCTCTCGCTCTCTCTTCTCTGTGTGGATTCCCGTCGTCGGGGGTCCGTGCCCGACGAGAAGGGGGCACACACTACCTAGAGGAGGCTGCTGGCCGCCCGGCAGGACATGGCTGGTTTAGAAACCGTGGATCTTGATGGTCTTGCCATCAAGGCCCAAGCCCTCCTTCTTGTTCTCGAGGAACTCTTGAACGTCCTTTCGCTGATCTCCCTGAAGCTGGATGACCTCACCCATCTCAGAGTCGGTCACAATGGTGCCATTGCAAGCTGGGGTAGACGCGCGGCAGGTTAGCGTCTGTTTGTTTGTGTCGCGCGTGCGGTAGTGCCGTGGAGGCAAGGTTAGGACTTACCGAACTTCTTCTTGATGACTTTGAGGATTTTTTTCTGGTCGAACTTCTTGGGGAGGCCCTGGACCGTGGTCAAGGTCTTACGTCCATTGCGCTCTGGAGATGAAAAGTCAGTCGTGGCTCGAGGAGGATGTGGTACGGGGCGCCTTCGTCGAAAGAATCGGCTCGCGAGGGATCTAGGGGGGTGTACATACGTTGAATACGTATATGGATGTAATTCTGGGTCTGTTTGGTTTCGCCTGTGTCTTCGTCGGCCTCGGCGAAGGGATCTTGAAGCAAACGTGTTAGCAAAGGTACCAAGGCTTGATGTTTGGCTGCGGCGCGTGGCAGCCGATCCCAAGCTGGGTGCGAACACCTTGACTCATCGAGGGATGAGCTTGGGCTGTGGTGGTCACGCGGGACAACAGCTGTGACAAGCGCGGTGACATCACCAAATCCTTCCAGCAGAGCGAGGGATCCAGGCGCAACGTCGCGTCGCCAGCAGTCGGGGGCAGGCGGGGAGGGAAAACATACCGTAGGTCTTGAGATTTTCGATGGACATAAACTCGGAGTGCGCGGGGTGTCCTTGGGAAATGGGTTTTATTGATAGGGACGGGGGGATGTGGCAGCTGACGACGGCCTGGGGAAGAGGAAGCAGAGTTTGGATCGACGGCTTGGCGACGACTTGTGGTTCCGGGATGGATGCGGTAGAGAGTTCGGTTGGGGGAGAAGAGATGGGGACTCTTGTATATATATTAGTTGGCGGAAAGCTGGGGCGAGACACACGAGGTGGCGGGAATTTGGTTGTTAGGTCAGGATTGTGAGTGTGAGAAGTGGAGGGTAGAGGGGTCGAAAGAAGGAGAAGGCAAGGGCAGGAGTCAGAACTCAGAAGGGGGGCGGGGCAGCCAGTCAGAATCAGAGACGCTTGAGGCGGGCAGCAGGTGAGACGGAAGTGCAGCACCAACTGTGACTGCTGCACGCAACACCGCTCGCAGTGGGCCGCCCTCCTGTACCTGCGGTGTACTAGGCCCTGGGCTGGGCACTGCCGGAGGCCAGTGGTGCGTGTGCCGGTGCTGGGGCTGGCCCTGCTCCAGGCTGGTGGCCCCTGGCAGCTGCCCGTGTCTGGCCAAGTCACTCGCCAGTCACTGCACTTCTCAGCCACGCACAGGCGGACGGTCCGGCCGAGGCCTGGTTTGTCAGGCCACCACACAAAATCGACCATGGTGGGGTGGTGTGAAAAAAAGCCGCCCACTGCCAGGGCCGGTTAGTCATCGGTATGAAGCCCCTGCGCTTGAATGAGGCTGTGCACGACAAATGCGACGGATGCAGTTTGGACCGCCAAAACGAAAGAATGCGCGCTCCAGGACGAACCTGCTCGGAACCTGGCCTAGGGAGAGATATCCGAGCGGGATCCCCGCTGCATGTCGTACCTTGATGATGGGCTGCACGCTTCAGACACACGCTGGACTCCTCGGATCCCGATCACGGTATCCCATTCAGTAGCGACGAGACGAGACGGCCCGTACCTTGCATTCGTTCGTGCCACCGCTCAATCTCCCATTCACTGCTCCCTCTCCATGCCTCACCCGCCTCTCCGGCTCGGCCATCTCTTTGACGACCGCCCCGTCCTTGACGCCCAACCGCATGGGCCTCCCGCTCACAGACCGACCATTGCACCACCACCGCGTCCAGAGAATAAGCCAACCACCAGCTCCCCACTACCCCCCTTCCCACGCCCCCTAGTGTCTCGTGACAGCTGTTTCGTCTTGTGAGGACCTTTGATTGCGAGATAACGCCCGCGTGAACCTGCAGATCAAGGTTCTTTTACCGAGAGCGCCAACTCTGGGCGGCGAATCAGCGCAGCCATCAGCCGAGCAGATGATTAGGCATTCACCCGCTGCCGGGGGGTCGATTGATAACTAACCAGCAGCTCCTGATTGAACCCTAATTGCATCTTCGCACGCATTTGTGGAGACCCCAGAGCCTGTTTGCGTCATGACCCAACATGGATCCTCATCCCGCCTGTCTCAGTAAATGAGGCTTGCTTACCCTATAGTTGTGCACATTCGCCCTGTCGACGTGAGAATCTGCTTCATTTCACGGTCCCAATCCTGTGAGGCGATTTTGTGTAGTGGCTTTGCTTTAAGTAATCTCGCAAATGTGTGAGAATTTGAAATACACACGCCCTGCAAATCAGTGAGGTGCACTTCCATGGCACTCAATTCTATTACTAACTCCACACGGGGCTCTTTCGAGATGTGCCAGTAAGTTTTGTCCGAGAAGTGAAAATGAGCTTTTATCCACATCTCACATCACTATACATCCTTTATACCATCATAATGAATTGAATTATTCATTTTTACTTTGATTCCATATTGATTTAGGGTTCCGATGGGCATAAGAGTTCTTCCAGAGACTCTCTAGACAAAGGCCACTGGGATGTCTCGCACTACCTAGAGCGTTTGAAAATAAGAAAGAGAACATTATCACACTGCTCGTTTTTAACTCGCGGATCTCTTGTCTCTATCTATAAGGACTGCAAGTCGAAAATCCCTAAAAAAAGCACTTGACTGCTGCTAGTGACTTAACTCTTGCCAGAGATGGCACTTGACGTTGAGCTTCGCAACCACTATGCCATAGTAATAGTGCGAACTCGCCTCATTTGACGACTGGCCGATAACTAACCAGCTAATATCAAATTATTACCTCTCTCGGGGTCATGATCATGTCTGCGCTGTAATGCTTTTGGGCTGGTTCCCACCCTGAGCCAGGATCATGTTGCGGTCTGATCACTACCCAACATCCCCCAACGATAATGTATGAGTTACAGAGAAAGCGCACTAGAAATCACACACTGAACGGGCACTAAAATTTGGGTTGTAGAAATGACAGATATACTGAAAGAAGGACGGTAGTTGCTACGGTGTAACGTGTGAGCCTCCAATTGGCTAGACGTCTGCTGTCAAGTGGACAACAAGGTAGAGAAGCGTTCGGGTATTAGTGCATATGGTGCGTAGTTGGACCCAATGTCACCAAAACGCGAGCGGGCAACTTCATTGGGCCGAAAGGCGTTCTGGCGCTTCCAATGTACAAAAGTGGCAGAGGAAGACCCGACCTCCTGCTCGCATCCTTCTTCCACAAGTTCTTTTCAATAATGCCATTTTCATAATACACTTTTAATAATACCCTTTGTGCCTTATCTGTATTCCTAGGTTGCTTTAACAAGACTTTTGAAAGTCTCCCTCAAGCACAATGAAACAAGATTCTGAAGCCAGCGTTTTGCTTTCCGAGGTGAAGAAGTTTCGCCGGCTTGCTAAGCACACGGCGATCATCGCGGTTGGCAGTCGCAAAGCCTTACAGGTCATTGACAAGAAGCATGGCCCGGTTGTTTTCAGACCACCCTGGCATGAAAGACTAGCGTTTTGGAAACGCACAGGTCAGTATTCTCAGAACCCACTGGAACGAGTGTATAGAACCAAGCTCATTTTTTTCTTAGACAACTTTGCCCCTTTCAAGTTCACTACCGTCGGCAACCTTCCAGATACAATTGAATCATTTGAATATTCCTGCAGAAAAGGGGGTTTCAAGAACATGTTGATTCTGGTCGCGGAGTCAATCAGCAGAATTACAGTCAATGTCGGGCCAGAGATTGAGAAACTCTGCATCGCACGGACGCCCTATTCAAGACTCCCACTCTTCGTCAGCAGCTCTTCCACGCTCGCTGATGTGGCGCTCCAGGAGTATCACGGCCAAGTCCCCGGCGGCCGAGAAGTCATCTGCGGCAAGGGTGTCAGACTGGAGGTCGACCCCGCGGGGAGTCTGGCCTGGCGCTTCGACCCAAGCTCGGTAAGAGGGGTGAGAGGAAGGGACATCCAAGACTCCCTGTGCGAGATGGAGAACTCGGGCAACAACCCGATTGGCTGGAAGAACTGGAAGCTGCCAGTCTCCTGCCTGATCAGCCTCCTGGGCGACGGCTTCGGCGGCTCAGCCAAGGTCACAGTGACTCCCAAGGGGTTCTGCCTGACCTACAAGACGCTCTCCATCTCCCCCAACTGGGTGTCGGGCTTTGGCACCGCTCTTGCTGCCTCCGGCGTCAACCTGCCCCTTGCCGGCGCCATCCTCCTGGCGGTGTACTTCATACCCTGGGACAGCTTCTTCCAGTGGCTGGGAAACACCCTGTGGACGTTGTGGAGCTGGCTGGTGGATTTCTGCTCGAAGCTCGTGATTCTCGCGGCTAACTTTCTGGATATTCAGCGCGGGAGCAAGCCAAGTACTAAGTCGCGAAGGCTTGCAGCGAGCTGATTTTTTTTGGACATAGGGGAAGCAGATTGTACATTATTTTCAGGGCAGCGCCCGAGCCTTCTGGGTTGAGGATGTAACACTTCTTTTTTAGGGAAATGATAATGATAGCCATATTGTAATTGAATTCAGTTTCCAGAGTACCGGAACTCCAGACCCATCAGATCATTTGAGTGACACCATGACAGGTTGCTAGTTTTAATGAGAGCTACCGCTTAAACGACCCGTAGCTTACAACAGATGGTAAGATAGAAATCAGCTGCAAGATAGAGTGCGTTAGTGTTCTTGACGAGGTAGTGATCATTCCTAAGTGTCGTAATGATCGGCCTTCATAGTTTCGGGCCAGCTGTGGATTACTGGCACGACTTTTATAGCACTGCCGCGGAGTTAGTTAAGGTAACTGCGGAAAGCAAGCACTCGACTACACCAGAAAGATCGACTCTCTTCGGAACACCATTAATTTGATTCCAAACCTATCGGAATCAGGAAATATGTTTGTTTGTTTGATCGGGGGCCTGTAAACTTCACCGAGGTGTTGGTTGGTTTGCTGAGATCGGATCCGATGACGCCAACTCGAGCCGGGTCGCTTCTGGATTTCGCCGTTTGTCCGGAAGCGCCTCCCAGTTGAACCCAAAATCCATGGCTCTATAAAAAGCTACACTAGATCCTACATGATGTCTCTAATTCCATGAAAGTCAATGTTTAGCTCTGGATTGTCTAATCACTAGTATTTGTTCCCAATTGACCTCCAAGTTCCCCCTCTCATCAAGCACCATGTCGTCCGAAGATCAGAACCTGCACAAAAAGCAATTCGAGACCGGCATCAAGGTCCGCCGGGAAGTCGTCGGAGACAGCTATGTCAATGGCGCATTAAACAGGGCGTCCACGGCCTTTGCGGCACCGATGCAGCACCTGGTGACGGAGTGGGCTTGGGGAAACGTCTGGACGCGGGAGGGGCTTGACCGAAAGCAAAGAAGCTTGCTCAGTATGTTTCAGATATATTCAATCATTCATTTCGTCTCTTCAGGTACTAATGGATTGCGACAGACCTCGGTATGTTGATTGCGCTCAAGAGCTGGCCGGAGGTGGGGGTTCACGTTCGCGGAGCTATCAACAATGGGCTGACGGAGCTGGAGATCCGGGAGGCCATATTGCAATCGGCCATTTACTGTGGCGCTCCCGCTGGATTAGAAGCCATGAAGGTTGCCTCTGCGGTGCTGGAAGACATGGCAGCCAAAGGGGAGTATGTGCCCACCTTGATAAACAAGGAGGAGAAGCTCAATTGAGCCGCCCCCCGAATGTGTTATGACTTGGATACGATCTTATTAATATCAATTGTCAAAATTATTGAAGATATTGCATATTAGCAATAATTGGCAAAAAACTAATTCAACCAATCCAAGCAGGATTGGCCGATTTAGGGAAAGGCGTCTCTGAACCGTAATCGGAACTCTGCACTTTACATTTCGTCCCCTGCGTCATACTGATCAGGCATGCCCTTTTTATAAAGGTTCCGCAGGAGGTTCGAACCTGAACCTAGTTCGTGTTGGGACAGTCGGGCGGTCAACGCAGTAGCTAGTTGCGTTAACGTGCTCGCTGTGCACCTTATGGTTACTGACTGGAGGACTTTTTGGGCCTTATAAGGCAACCGGCAAAGGGAACAGCCAATCTCGAAAACTACCAAACAAAATAATGTCGAAGATAAATAAAATTCACAGTTGACTCTGCGCTGATTTAATTATTTCTTATCCTCTCGGACTCGGGATTCGTATCAATATAGAGGCCCAGGGCATCCTCGAGCTCCTCACTTTCATCGTTGACTCCGGCTTCCGTCTTTAATTAGACAGTACGCTTCGTACGTGGCGAGACAATGCTCTTGAAGTGAATATGGGACAGGTACTCTAGCCAAAAATTTAGCTAGTTGATATGGGCTGCCATGTTGCACGTCAAGAATCAATCCTCACAGAGAGAACATAGACGTCCAACATGACACATAGCTCGTTCATTACCGAGATATCTAAAACTTTGCCTGATTGTTTCCATTTATCTCTTCGAGGCGGTGTCAAAACTCTTCCAAGCTTTTGAGCTACATGAAATAGAATGATTAGCAATGCCTTGTGCAAAGACCACCAGGGAATTACACACATCTTCGTCAACATAAACCATTATGGGTATTTTGGGGCCTTGCTCTTGGTAGCACACGGAATAATACACTGAGATTGAGTCCATATCTCTTCAGTTTCTCCATTCACTCAACAATGGACTTAATTCTGGTGTTATCCCCCTGCTCTAATGTGAGAGAAAGTTGGGCATGCCTTGTATTACTTAGACTAATTAGACGGTAGGTGTTTTAAAATAACCTGTGGTCTGTCATGTTTTGTAAGCAGCAAAGCCTTCAATGGTTGGACCCTTGAATTCTTGCTTGCCAGCATTAATAGTGGTACGGCCAGAGCTCTGAACCCAACCCTGGGCCGTGCTCTGATGAAAGTGATGATGGTTGACTCCAATGCCCCGGTAGATATCTGCAATAGGAAGTTGTAATGCTGTGCTATCTACTGGCTTTCGATAAGCTGAGCTGGAGAATTGGCCAGCCCTATATCTAAGAGAAGTCTTTATTGGTGGATTGCTGAAGAGAAATCCTCTCTTCCGTGGCACGAGGTTCAAATGTCGACAAACGGTTGTCTTGGCGTGCCGTAAAAGGCTAGCTTTGCGCAAAACGATGCACGATTGAGAGGCGATGACATGTTTGTCAGATCGGCTAGCGGAAAAGTGGATGACACTGGCTTGGTTAAGACTCGGAGCAGGCTGACTGTTACATTGGTATAAAATGGGTTGGTTAAAGTGCTTGGAATGGCGGACGCCGTCTGGTATAAGTAGGCATCATCGCCCCAAGAAGTGGCTATAGCTTCCTGTTCTATCATTCTGTGTCTTTGTCCCATCTTCACCTCACTTATAGCAACCATGCCTCAATTGATCTGGCTAGTAACCGCAACAACCTCCGGTTTAGGCGCTGCTCTCGTCCAGCATCTCGCATCAAGGGGCGAAAGGGTCATCGCAACGGGCCGCAAGGCAGAGGATCGCCTTGCCCACCTAAGATCGGAGAATGTGGCCGTGTTAGACCTTGATGTCACGGCATCTCGAGCTCAAATCGACGCTCAAATTGCTAAAGCTTGGCAAATTTGGGGGAGAATCGACGTTCTCTACAACAATGCTGGGGTCTCGGCTCCTAAGAGTATCGAAGAGGCAAGGTACGTATGGAGTTCTCGGCTTAACCAAACGTTGTGTTGACCAATTACAGCGACGACTGGGTCCGAAGCATCTTCGATGTGAACCTCTTCGGCGCGTTGCATGTTGCCCAGGCCATCTTGCCATACTTTCGGGAGCGGCAGAGTGGAACTGTCGCTTTTACCGGCGCAGGAGTTGGCTGGGGACCGCTCCCCTTCCTGACACACTACTCTGCGTCAAAGGCAGCCTTGGGTATATTCGTTGAAGGTTTGGCAAAGGAAGTCAGGCAGTTCGGCATCGACTGCATGATTATCGAACCCGGTGGGTTTCCATCTCAGCTCGGCGCACCGCGCGAAGGGTCGCTGGAGGGTTTCGGCACGTATAAGCCTTCGATCGAGGCATACAACCCTCTCTTTGCGGAGACCATGGGAGTCTTCGCATCCGATATAATGCCAAATATCCCGGGCGATATTAATAAACTGGTGGAACGCATCGTCGATATTGTCAAATCGGAGGGAATCTGCGCGGGCAGGCCGCGACCCTGGCGGGTCATTGTTGGTAGCGATGCTCTCAGACTGATACAGCAAAAGTGCAAAGAACAGTTAGAGCTTTCCGAATCATGGGAGGATGTGAGCCTGAGCACTGACCGTGATGGCCATGATCATGTAGCTAGTGGAGGAATGCTTCGCCTTACGTCGATTTTGCCGAAGGAAACATAGAGAAGCTTGACTAGGAAGATAGAGGCACCTGCAAAAGAGGGTAGAATCTTAATTCGATACAAATGTTTGTCAATCGGTAACGGGATGCATTGATTCTTTGCTTTCCCATCCGTCGTGCCGCCGAGAAGACGCTAAATGGAGCAAGCGTAAATTACGGAAGATCTTCTAGCGTTAACATTACGGTTGTTGCTGAATAATCACACCGTTCAGCTACCTGCGTCGGATTCACGGCCTGAGTGAACTATCGAATTGTTACCGTGTGATTGCAAATTAACAGCAGGCAAGAAAAAGGCGATGGTGAACCATGGACCTTCTCGCGCATGCACCCAATGCAAGAAACGCAGAAAGAAAGTAAGTGAATTTATGTTTCCCTCTATTTTAGACACTGTTAATGCTCACCCATGTGCGTGCAGTGCGACCAAACACGCCCGTCATGCAGCCGCTGCGTGAAGTCTCGAAGAGTATGCCCCGGTTACGGAGATGATTCATCAGTGGTATTTCGCCATTACCACCCATTCAAGGACGCCACTTCCCTTGGTTTTGACCGCTGGTTCCCCGGAATTCCCTCAATCTGGGAAGATGCGGCAATTCAGATCTTTCTTGATACCCTGGTGGTTCCATCACAGAACCGGCAAAAATCCAGGGGGTTTCTTCATGGAATACAGTCATTATTGACTAGTGCGACGCCCGGCTCTGCCCTATTCTCCGCAGCCAAGGTCGTTGCCCTTTCTGCGATCTCAAACAGCACTAGGTCGCCTGGTCTCGTATCAGTGGTCCAGACACTATATGGCAGCGTTTTGAGGGATTTGACCTTGTCTCTACCCGGTGATGATTCTACCGTGCCAGTCGAAACGTTTCTTACAGCTATTTTATTGGGTCTTTATGAGGTATGGGATTGTTTCTTTCATGGATATACTATCACGTATTTCTAACAAGAACATCAGATCATCTCAAGTAGCCATGCGTCGCCTGCCAAGCATCTTGTCCACGTTCGAGGAATCGTATCTTTCATTCACAAAGGAGTCCACTTTTCAAACAAAGTTTCGAAAATACAGTCGCACTCACCGGGAAGTCCTCTGATCCTAAAAAGCGAAGGAGTAGGTAGACCATGGATTGGAAGGTTTGCTTTCATGACACCTCGCTGATTCGCCAATGACAGATGTATCGGAAAACGGTGCTGGGTGTTTTTTGCCCCCCGATAAATGACAGACCACGCCGATCTGTCGACCTCATCATCATCAAGCTTTCATCACTCACGGACCACATCCAGAGACTTCTACATCAGCCGTCGCCCTCCCTCGATGAACTGACCAAGATTCAAAGGAGCTTTCTTGATTTGGAGGACGAAATTTCTGGTTGGGATGGTGATCGCCCTCCCGAGTGGGCTCCTTCGCATGCTGGGTTTGGCTGGGCGAGCCGAGATCATGCAGAGCATTGCTCAGCCCCATACTGCTCTGCTGGGCCCGTGGAGGAATACCTTGATTGTGAGTAAAGGGGTATATGATTTATTGACATAAACCTCGCTGACATACACGTTGCAGATTACGTGGCGACTGCTTGGAATTCTTGGCGCTCGATTTACGTTCTATACCTCGATCACATGGCCAACCTTGCTAAAGCGATGGGACAAGAGGAGTGTATTCCTAGCTACGCCAAAAAGGCGCAAGAGCTCGTGCATGGTTTGAAAGCATCTATTCCATACTTTCTATCTCAAAGCCTACAGGGACATCTGCAACATCTTAACACTGGGCTGCCGCCAAACCATTCGAACCGAGTGATTAGGGGCCTCCTGCTGATGCACCCCCTGTACGTTGTGGCCAAATGCGAGATCGTCCTGGTTCCTGATAGAGAATACTTGATCCAAAACTTGAAGTGGATCGGTTCGAGTATGGGAGTAGGACAAGCGGCAATACTAGCCGATTATTTGCAGCTAGATGTCTTGGGAGCCAGAACAGGTCAAGCATCTGAGGTACCGCTGATGGATGTCCTGGAAGGGTACTACCTTCTTTCAGCTGCGATGATGCTTGACTTATCCTGATGTCATAACCTTCGGGAGTTGCTGTAATGGAAAAAGGAGCCCATACTCAGGGGCATCACATATCCCTATAAGCGATCATAAACACGCCTTATCTATTGGCGACTCAGACTCTCAGCTTCACCAGTTTCATATTATCTAACCAAGATGCAAGGACCCCAGAATTTTGGTATTATGAAGATGTATGGATATCGGCCAGAGACATTGAGTTCAAGCTAACAGGGTATAATATAAGTTATTTGGTACTAGAATTGGGGAGAACAATCTCCATTCGTGACAGAAATCCCACCGCTACGCCTCGATTGGGATTGAAAATTGCAAGGCGCCTCAAAGGCCGGGGGCTCTCTCTTCGTGGTCATAATTGATTTCTTTCGTTGCTTGATCTAAATATTCACATGAAGCATAACGATATTCATTGAACCACATTGTCTGTCGTAGTACTAGTAATGAGAATATTTCCCTGCCTGCTATTTGTCCGTGGTCTTTTTAACATATCTTTAAATCATCCATAACCTCAGTTGCCTGCTCTAAGTGTGCGTAGTCCATGCCCTTTTGAAAAGTCGCGCCAACTGCCTACCTAGCCAATTGGATGACATTCTTAATCTCGCGGCAGTTGAGCTTGTGCTCAAGCAGGAGCCTCATCATTTTCTGGATGTCACGGTAGTTGATCGTTTCACCCTTGAAAACTACGACCAAATTTTCATCTCCGGTATCACTAACTTCATTGTGGCGCTTCAGCAATTGGAACAAGTTTTTCTTTCATTCATTGTGTTGAGATGTCGGACCTGGCATCTTCTATTGCTGTTTTCAACTTTAAACTCAAATTCTCTTCCTAGACAAGTTTTTCCAGACTTCTTGTCGCCCTTCCTTATCAAGTGGTTTATGAAATATGGCGAGCGTCCCTGCTTGCAAGGTTCGCATGAGGTAGTCATCGAATTGCCTGGAGCCCTCGGCAACTACTTCGGATTGTTTCTAGCCTATGGAAGACTTGGGGTCTCCAGGTTGCATCTGAGAAACATCGTATTCAACCTCATCATGTCCTGGGGCTCATCAATCTTAATGACGTTGCCACTCATCTGGCGCATCTTATTGATCTTCTGCCCGCGCTTCCTTATGATGCCGTCCACCATTCCGTCCTGTTTTATTGGGTTTTCAATGCCTGGCCGTGTCCTGGGGTTCATTGATCTTGGTGACGCTGCCACTCATTTGGCGGAACTCATTGATCCTCCATAACCCTAACCCTAACCCTCTGCCTCTTGCGTGAAAAGAAAGAGCTTTGATGTGCCATGTTTTATGTCAGTCGCTTGATTTGGTGTCCTAACACCATTATGTCGTTGGGAATATAAATTTGCTGCTTGATCGGGCTACCGGGCATGCGGAAATAGCTTTGGTGTGCCATGTTTTATGTGAGTCGCTCGGGTTGGCGCCCACCGTAGCGCCCACCATGTCGTTGGGGATGTATATCTGCTGCGTGATTGGGCCACCAGGCATATCAGCTTGAATCTTACGCGAAAAGAGCTTTGGTGTGCCATGTTTTATGCCAGTCGCTTGATGGCGTCCACCTTGTCGTTGACAATGTATATCTGCTGCGTGATCGGGCCACCAGACATACCGGCCTGGATCAACGTTTCCACCACGAGGCCTTTCCAAGCCGAGTATCAAGAGGGAGTGTGCTTCGAGTTCGAGTTCGAGGGTTCAATTGCGTACGTGCACGGAAGAACCGGGAAGTAACATGTTGAGAAACAGTGGCTAATCCGGCTCTCGCCTGTTAGTTACTGTAATCACCTGCTTAAAAGAAGGGTAGATAGTGTGCAACTCACTGTTTTTTGGCAGCCCAATTTGGTGCCCTGGTCGACGTGTGAAAGTCAGATCAAGATCCCGTCCGCTCCCGCTTGGCCTGGCCTCAAGATGAAGAGATCTCGTGAAAGAGGCAAGAAGAGACACTGACCAAGATGGCCTATCAACGGACGTTCTGCCAACAAGCTCAAGCAGGGATCTGCACTAATAACCACCGGAGATTCATGCAAAAACAGATTCTAATACGGTTTCTTGGAGCTGATCTCTCGTTCCTCTACAAACACGTCAGCCTCGCCTAACAAGGTAACTGGGAGCATGTCTAAGCCAAGGTGCTTCTTGGGTGATGACGGAATAGCTTACCTGCTTTCCAAGTGCTTCCACGAGTGACGCGGGAAATAATATCCACGCAGAGAAGGTCACGACTCGTAAGCCCTCTAATCATGATCCAGAGGGTCGTTCGAGTGTCGTGCTCTGTTGGTCCAGATATTTTCTCGGTGGTTAAACAAGCGCAAGTACGCTTAAGAAAAGAACGGAGATAGGAGACATGTGGGATGCGGTTTATAAAGTTAAGGAGCGCGAAAAGGGTGGTCTGAAGGCGGACGTGTTGGGTGGCCGGAGGCTTGTTGTGAGTGCAATGGAAGGTCTAGGTGACAAAAAGCAGATGGCAGGTTTCCAGCGGTGGGATTGCAGTGATCACTGTCACGTGAAGAGGCTCTGGGAACCTGCAGCTCTCAGCCACTGGGAGATTCACTGGAGTATTGGGTGAGTGTGTAGCTGAAGGAGGCCCCTGAAGAAAGTGTGCCTGAGGACTACAAGTGTTATCTGGAAGGTACCACGTGACTGTAGTGGAAACCACCCAGTAGCGAGACCAGGGAGATATTTAGGGAATACAACAACGGCCAATGCCAGCCCATGAAGTATGACAGTCTGGTAGCAATCCAACTCGCCTCAACCCGTGGCTGGGTCACCTCGCCCCAGCCAGCCTCCTTCTGAGGTCGCTGATGATCATCTTTCCACCCCACCGCCTACGCAGACCACTTGCTTCTCCGGGGTTTTATCTGTCAATAATACTGGATCCAGTCTCAGAGCACTTGCTGCTGCTGTGCAAGACCAAAACGCGCATTCCTTGGACAAGTTAGTGACTCCTACTCGTGGTTTGCATCATCCTTCCAGGGTTTATCCTGCGCCGTACACGGTTCAGTCTGTTGGGAACCTAACTCTAACTGATCAGGCGGTATGCATAGCCCTCTCGCTCTAGGCCTCCGCAACGATCCTATTCCCGCTGAGGCTCAACTTCCACATCTACCGGAGATGCACCCGTAGCCTACCAAGCCCCTTAAGATAGACAACAATAAAGACACCTTGCGATTGCCTTCCTCCGTAGTGAATCCCCTGTAGGATCAAGCACCCTGACCTGGCTTGAAGATGGAAACTCTCCCTTCGTTGATGAACGGTTGGCCGCTATCAAGAACACGGCAGGGACATGCTGCTTGGATTCAAATAGGAACTTATGATGCAATGGGTTGGAAGGCTCTTGCGAGGAATTATGGACGAGAGCAAAGTCTTCGACGCGGTTGCTCACAATTCCTGCCCGATTTCGGTTGACCACCGCCAGTCGCTGGCAACGACTTCGGGGGTCATGGTGAAGAATATCTCTGCTGCTTGTTTCATGACGGCTGCATTACATGGCATGGGAGACTACTAGCGTAGCTTTTTTAGGCTCGCCCGACGGAAGACCTAAAGGAGATTGGTGAGCACATCCCGAGGATGTCACCTGGTTTGAAGCATGGCAAAATTCGCCTTGATGGTATGTATGAGAACTCTTGCAGGTATTGGCCTTGAATATCTTATGCTGACTACCAACAGGGCATCATCAATCATGGATGTCAATGTGGGCTTTATCACCACAGGTCAACACCTTGAATCGAGGATGTCCTAGACATGCTTCACCCCGGACTATCGTCAGAAAAGCCCTCAACTTGAATGGGTCGTTTACTCAAAGAGCATCGCCGCGGTCAACAGATTCAAAATGTCAGAAAGAACATCACTTAATGAAGGTTGCTAATGGGAATGAAAGTGTCGTTGGATTGTATAAATGTGTAGGTATTACCCCTCCATATGCCACTTATCACCAACTCGAAAGCCTTCAGGGAATGGATCTGTTGGGTGCAAAACGACCTGCTTATAGGCTGTGATCCACGCACTGCCAGTCACCGAAGGATAGACGGCATCGTACTTCCCAACCTTCGTAGTGCCGTGTACCCGCCCAATAAACTCCGATCCAATGATGCTGTTGTGGTAAAGAGGCTCTCCTTCAGCCAGCTCTCCCCTTGCGTGCAGAGCCGCCAACCGAGCGCAAGTACCTGTGCCACACGGGCTCCTATCAAGCCTTCCTGGTGCCACGACAACGGTGTTCACGGCGGTCTTGCCATCCCCATGGTCTCTGATGGGTTGTGTCCACTGGAAGACCGAGGCGCCGCGGATCTCAGGGTTCTCAGGGTGGATTGGGTCGGTCTGTTCCTGGACGGCCTTCAGAACACGCATCCCTAACTCGACCAGCTTGGCCCCATGCTTGCTCTCGATGGATAGCCCGCATGAAGCGGCATCGACCAAAGCATAAATCATACCACCGTAGACGATGTCAACCTTGACAGTGCCGAGACCGGGGACGGTGACCTCCTTGTCAATGTAGAATACGAATGCAGGGACGTTGTGGAAGCGGACGCTCTTGCACTTGCCATTCTCACATTGGGCATAGACTTCCACCAGGCCCGCTGGCGTATCAAACTTGCAGACGGTCTCGGGCTCATTCATCGGGATCATACCGGTCTCCAAAAGCGCCGTGGCAACACCCAAAGTGTTGGCGCCAGACATGGGAGGATACTCCTCATGCTCCATGATGACGAGGCCAATGTCCGCCTCTGGGTTGCAGGGGGGAAGGACGATATTGTGGCACATGGCAGAACAGCCACGGGGCTCGTTGAGGAGGAGGTTGCGCATCGAATCCTCCTTCTTCCACAGGTGCATCATCTTCTCGAACATGGTCTTTCCAGGGACATCGCGGACGCCGCCGGTAACAACATCGACGACTTCTCCGCCGCAGTGGACGCCGATGGTATTGAAGATTCTTGTTCCAGGCATACTTGTAGAAGCTGAATAACCGTACGAAGAACGGTGAGCGAGTTAGAGGGCGAGATGTTAGAACTGCCGGTAACCAAAATTGCTCCCCTTTCGCGGTATCAATGGGTTTATTATAGGTACGTTTTGATCTCCCCTCATACTATCTCATTCTAGTTTCCTAATAAGCATAGATATTGGCTTACTAGGTCGGCGACATTCCCGAGTGAAGACCATCGGTATCTCCACTAAGTTCGGCATCGTAAATTGTCGGTCGTCGGCTTGAGGGGCCGACATGATATCTACACCAATCATGCACCAGGATGAGAGCTTTCAAACAGAACTTGACATGAATGAGCATACTAAAGTCCTTAGGGGCTGTCAATGCGCCATCTCTAATCTACACATGTTCTTTATGTGATGAGTGTGTAGGAAGTTGCCTACCAACTAACCAAGATTAGCAGATTGACAGAGAATGTCCTCCCTTAACGAAAACAACTTATTGGTCACCATTGCAGATGGGGTTCAATTGAACATAGAGCTGGGACTTGGGTTAGGGTAACGGATATCCATTGTTTAGATACTGATTGTCTTAGTTAGAATACAAAGCTGGTAAGCGATGAGACTACCTGGAGCCGCAATCAATCAAACACAAAATACATAAGCACTTGAAGTTTGGAAAGACTTACATTCACATGAGTTTCAACGGACTTCGATTCCACGTTAAGCAACTATCGTTGTCAGGGGTTAGGCCGGCGCAACTAAGGCTTAGGGTTCAAAGTTGTGGAATCGGGGATGGCTCCGGGCTGGGACCCTGCAATGTCAAACAACCAAAAGGCGAAGGCTCAGCATTTTAAGCAGTTGAGATGATCTGCCGGTAGGGTAGCGGCATAATGTTCCCAAAGCACGATGCGATGTGGGCAAAGAGCAAACAACCATGCTCTATCATGGATGAACGAAGCCTGCTTTATCCTTGCGCACCGAAAGGACCCACGTCGGCCCGGCGTTCGGTGCGGAGGGGATGTGGATTGCCGTGATGGGTCATGGATAACTTCCGATGCTTTGTCTTGATGAGGAAATGGAATCACGCTTGTGGAACCAGGGTGTTGGGGACCGAATGTCAAGTTTGCCAGCCCAATCTCATCGATGACCCCTTATTCGCAAAGCCGTGCCATGATTTGCTGCTTAGGCTTAACATGTTCGTTGCTCTGTTGGAGCTCTGGACCATGCTTCTGGCATAACGGTATCACCGGTACTATTTGCAGAAGCGCCATGATACTTGACGACCTTTGCTCCTCGTCGGGTGGGATTGGAGATCTGGACCGAAGCTAAAAATCTATCACAGTGATTAGCAAACTTCTATCCAAAAGTTGTATGTAAGGATGCAAGGGGTTGATTGTTGGACAGGCAAACACCGGGGTTATTAATCAAGAGCAGCAAGACAGGCGATTGTTGATGCTTTCTCGAGTACGATAGGGTAGGGAGTTGCTTGGCGCGGTTTCCATACTTTTGGTAATATTGGATGAAGTTCTGGTCAAAGATGTGAGAGACAGTTTCGTCTCTGCCAGACTATGGGTACTGATGTATTCATCTGAAGGAGGTGGAGGGGGCCGAGGCTCAAGAACTACGTCCGGCAGAACGTCGAGTCAGCTCACCGCCTACCGTCACCGCCTGCCAACAATCCATCCTCAACTTCAATGATAGCAAGTTATGCCGGTATTCTTCGCTCCCTCCGGTAGCCCGTGGAAGCCGCAAATACGAAATCGAGCAATCAACATGGCTTATGTACTGAGAACGTCAGAACGACATCAGCACAGGAGCAGGTCTCGTTGTTGATACTCCCCCAATTCACAATTCGCACTAACTATCAGATAGTCTACAGCTCGTTTGAAGCAGTACTCGAATCCCTCAACCCTGCCAAACGTCCGACTTCGAGATACCTCGCGCCCTACTGATTGAGGACGACCGTGACCACCGAGTAGGCTGGGATAGAAACGACTGCAGTACCGCCGCTCAGGGATACCGATTGAGATGCGATATTGTTTCCAGTGTTATTGTTCACGATCCAGCCTGCAGCTTTAGTTGGGGTGTATCCATCGATCCTCAGCGAGGCGCTCTGAGCACTGCCACCTGTGTTGGTGAAGACTGCGACAACAGATCCGTTGGTATTTCTGAGAGCAGCCCAGATTACATTCGTGACCGTCCCTGTGGTGCTGAGTCTCCGTGCCCCCGGACGCACGTATCTTGACCACATAGCAAACGCCCAGAGGCGACCGCTGGGAGTCATGTTCGTTCCATCGCTCGCCACGAGGTATGAAGAGGCCTGAAATTGGTTCACCTCGACGCCCTGCCAGTAGATGTAAGCTGACAAGTTTCCAGTGACAATCCCGGTCGCTATCCTCTTGGCCCACGTCAGACCTTCGCAAAGTCCGCCGTTTGAATACCAAGTCGTACACCAGGCCGAGTTCAGATCAGCTGCTTCTGTGACCCAGACGGGGAGGCCGTTGGTGTTAATGGTTCCGTCTACGTCGCTCCCATAGGTGTGGGATGTGATGACGCCGAGCTGGCCTTGCACACCAGACGAAAGAAGGTCCGTTGTTATCGTCCGCTGAGAAGACCACCCCACGGCATCACAGCACGCGATCTGCACAGAACTTAGTCCATTACTGTTGAGCGTATTCCGAAGAGTCGGAATAAATGAGGCCGCCTCCTTTCCATTCGACAGCATTGAGGAGTAGGATGTTCTATGGACTGCTTGTTAGTCAGGGGTCGTCATTTGGCATACGCGACAGGACTTACGTGTAGTCAGGTTCATTGAGGAAGCCCAAGTGTGTTATGGTAATTCCCTCTTGCTGATAGTATTTGACATACTGTGCTAACATGTTTGCAAACGCTTGTCGCCAGTCACCACTAGAACACGTACGTCCGGTGACGCCGCACAGATATCCTCCGCCAGTCTCCAAGCCGTTTGTCTTCATGAACCCGGGCGCGGACCACGCGTCCGCGTAAAATGTCTCCACGCCATAAGACTGGGCTGCTTTGCTGAACCATACCTGGCCACGATCGACCCCATCCCAAGAGTATGACGGCTGGCAAGTTGGGCAGCCCGGACTCTTAGGCAGGATACTGTCCGAAGCAACTGTTCCAGAACCGACTCGATTTCGTACAATTGTCAGTCCTGCTCCAGTGGTCGTACTGAAGAGATAATCCAGGCCTTTTTGCCGTGGAGTAGGGCTCATGTTATAGAATTCCTGAGCTCTCCCGAAGGCCTGAGAGACACCAAAGCCAGTGATTGTTTGTAATGTGTTGCTGTAAGACGCGGTCAGGCTGGTCTGGCAACTAACGCCAGCGGCCAAGAGAGCTGCATTAGCCACAAGCTGAAAGGAAGTCAGATGCATAGTTAAGGATCGGAAACACTGTGGTTTCTCTTGTGCAAGCATAACAAGAATGCTAATGCAATTAGAAATTTGCTCAAAAAAGCATGGGCTGCGAGCTTTTTTTAACCTCACCGCGAAACGCGTCCGTATTCGCTTCACGGATTAGACCACGAGGGGTACCACCCCGCGAAATTAGAGAATTTCGGAGTGAAATGCTCCATTTTCACGTTCAACATGGCTCCGGCCGGCTCAGTCGGCAAATGGACCATCTCCAGATTCCCGCGCAATTACCCTGATTCGGCTAGAACATCAACTGTACGACTCAGATATTCAGCCGTATGTGACATAATTCAGCCTGAACATGCAGCTTGCCGTGGCCCATGTTCACGCGCAGATGATAACGATGGTTCACTCTAGCAAACACACCCCCGACACAAGCTTTCACGCACCCCCGATCCGTCGATGGCTAAGACGCATTCCATACTGATGCCCTGAGGGATACCTTGAAGATTCCCTTGACATCGTGGAACTTGTCAGAGATGTGAGTAAAATCAAATTAGCTACAATAGTTTGTCCTTTGAGAAAGAGAGAAAGATCTAGCTTTCACTCTTGGATAAACTGAGGACGCCAGTCTCTTGAGTAGCTTAACGTAACTGTGCAATAAGCAGGTCTTCAACATGGTGTCTGTTTATCAAAGCCATACCAGTCTCCTCTGCCCACTGGCACACAAACAAGGAACAGTGAACAGTGACTGTGGTTGCCTTCAAGGTGATAGGACAGGCAGCACAGAGACACGTGACCCCCCTTGGGCCAAGTCTCTACGCGTTAACGAAAAGAAATCCCAACCCCAATTTGAACATCAACACGCACTCGCTTCATCAACCACTTGAGCTACATCAACCACTTGAGTGACATCACTTGCTACCCTGCCCCTTTTTCCCGTATCAGCCCGTTTGGTTCTCCATTTCCTGATCTTCCAGTCTCGCCAACTCATCATCCGACTCCGTTATAAGATCCTACATGACATACCCGGAGACGATCTCATCACGAAGTCTTATCCAGAAGCACCCAAAGCAGCCGCCATGGAATAGTCATCCGATTTGATGGACAAGATGACGTTGGAGGAGCCAGACCGCTTGTCCTCCAAGTTGGATACCATGCATATTGTCACGACGACCGGCAAAGCTAAAGAGAAGACGAAGGGCAAAGCATGTGAGACATGCACCGTCACTAAGATCGAAGAAGAAAACCCAGACGAGGACGATGACGAAGTGAAGAAAATTCCAGTAAATGCGCGGGCCCTGAGGGTCTTCAAGACTCTCTTTTTCGACCCGGCAACAAGGACAACCCCTGGTGAAGTGTCGTAGAACGACTTTACCTATGCGTTGACTGGCCTATTAACGACCCATCATCTGCACAGATCTATTCGGAGGTTTACTAGGACCGACGGTACCCCTAACCACGTCACATTCCATCAACCGCACCCGAATCCAAAGATCCCATTCGTGAAAATGCGCCGCAACGGCCGCCTCCTCGACGAATCTTATGACTGGACAGGCGACATGTTTGTCCTCAAATAAGAAGGGTTATGGCGAAAGCGAATCGGGCGGGTCCTGCGCTTCGGTAAATTCTCAGGATCCTACGAAAGTGTACTTATTTGTGTGTATTTCTGTAGTCAGGTCAGGTTCCATCTTGGTTTTGATTCAGAAACTACTTGATAATTGGACATTTCCAAACAAGGTCATCCCATCTGTTAGGCACCACCGTAAGTCGAGCCTATATCTCCCCATTTGATCTTGCTGAAAGTTACTGCTGTGTCTGGTTGGGCCTGTCGGATCGAGTTCGGGGACCCTTCGGCGGCGCTGCACGGCCCAGATCCTGGTCCATCGAGCCAGTTCATATTCCCTCCGCTCTCGTCCCACCAAACGCTCATACAGAGTACCATACCGCGGTCCAGGGCCTGCCCCATGCCGGTTGTGCCGCCGAGATTCTTGAAGATATCGGCGCCCATGGCATCGCAGAATTCGTCGTCGATATAATTTACCTGGGGGAGGCTAGACTTATTGGCTGACGGGTTCTCGAAAATCGCCCCATCCTGCACGTAGAACCGATGGATGGCTTGGAGCTCGCCGGCGCTGTCAGTGGGAAACTGGGTGACCACTTTGAATGGGCGAGTAGTATCAACAATCATGCCAAGCCCGTAATAGTTGCCATTACCAACGTTGGCGGGATTGAAGTGGCAGCCGGGCTTGTCACATACTCCCGACTTGCCACACTCTGCGCCTTGACAAGCGTAGAGGCCGGTTATGTTGCATGTATGGGGCGCGAGATGGGTGGCTCTGGAGTTGGCCTCCCAGATGTCGAGCTCATTGCAGCATGCTCCAGACCCTTGGATGTTTGGCTGCCGTGCGTTAGTATCCCACTTGATACTCGTGCAAGTCTTGTAGGATGATGATCAAAGTTGACTCACCTCGCCATTGATAAACGGTGGGATGTAGCATTGAGCATCACAGTACCCAGTGCCAAATGCCGGGCCTGCCTGATTTATCTCGCTTCGCCCACCATCCTCCTCCATTTCAGAGAGGTAAAATGCACCATTCATTCCGCAAGGTAGCTTGGATACGTCTACATCGAAGCTAATCTCCTGGCCAAGAAGGTGTAGCATTTCGTAGTTCTCATCATGTTCGTCGAGCAAATATACCCGTGGACTGATCTTGGCCAGGGTGTCATCGTTGAGCATGTCAAGATATAGCCTGTCATCATCAGCCTTCACGCCCACTTTCGAGTAGTCTGAGATGCTCTCCATGACGCAGTTTGCTTGGCATGTGTCCACGTCAGGGCAGACGGTCGTGTTTGGAGGGCTGCCATTGGTACCGCAGCCCAGATTGGGCGCATCGACTTGGTACAGGGGGCGCTTGAGCGAATCGAGCACTATCGCTGTCCTTTGTGGGCTGCATCCACCGTCTTTGGTGCATTTCCAAGTTGTAAGCTTCGGGTGGTTCTCACAAGAAGGGCTCTTGACGTGCTGGGCGTAGGCAACATGAGCCGCTATAAGGCTCTGAATCAATAGAGAGCGCATGGCAAGCGAAACGGGATGTAACCTGATTTCAGTACCTATGGAGCTGTGATGGGGTGTGAAATGAAGAAACATCAGAGAGCTGGCAATCATTATACTCTCACCTGCCTTGTTTATACAAACGGCCTGCAGCTCATGGAAACATTTCCATCAGGGGCCCCCGACCCCAGACTCCACAATCATCCGCACAGTCCGGGGTTTGGCGGCATCGTTGTCTGCTGGGGACGAGATACAATCGGACCGGATATGCTGCTCTCGGCTCGGGGTAGATATTTTCGGCTTCGGGAGAAGTCTGATTCTAGGGTAGCCCCTTTTCCAAGTTCGCTCCACCACTACCATGTAGGTACACTAACTCTCCAGATCTTGCCAGGTTAAAGCTACGAATGACTTCGATGGTCCAAAATAACACAGAACTCATGGCAAGGGCTCGGAAATTTTTTTCACTCTCAGATTTTGAGTAGCTTACCTTGCCATTTCCGATCCCGACATCAATGCCAGCATGCCTCCACTACCGGGCTTTACAGACAATCCTCTCAAGACTCGCGCTGACGTAGTCCTTGCATCCAAGGCGCTCATTCGTCCTCTGTCCCAATTCACCTCTCCAGGCTGTGCCTACGTTCGGTTGCCTGTAACATCTGGTACGCTCTACGATGGCAGAGCTGCCAGGCTCGAGGGTTTTTCGCGCCCATTATGGGTGGCGGGGTCTCTGCTTGCAAGCGGTGATTGCGAGGAAGAGCTATTGTCAAGGCTTATTACAGGATTGAGCAACGGGACAGACCCTGGGCACGTTGAGTATTGGGGCGACATCGAAGACAACGACCAGCGCATGGTCGAGACTGAACCAATTGCCTTCACACTTCTCTCGAGCCCGCGGTATTTGCTCTGGGACCGACTAGAGGATCGCACCCGGTCTAATATTGCCCGGTGGTTTATCCAACTCAACGGGAAGCAGATGCCCCGCGTGAACTGGCTGTGGTTCCGCGTCTTTACCAACCTTGTGCTGCTAAAGCTGTGCAAAGTCGACGATCCGAGCGTGCGCAAGCAAATGGACATGGACTTGGAGGAACTCGATACATTCTATTTGCGAGACGGCTGGTCCAGCGACGGCTTGTGGAGAAGTCCCGAGAACGACGATGATGAATGGATGCTGTTTCAGCAAACAGGTCGCGTTCACAGTATCAAGCCCGATCGCTGCGTAGACTACTACTCGGGCAGCTTTGCAATACAATTCAGCCAGCTCCTTTACGTACGTCTAGCGGGAGACATTGATCCGCTGAGAACCTCACGCTACCAAAAGCAAGCCAACGAATTTGGCTCCCAGATTTGGAGATATTTTGACGAGCAAGGCAGGCAGACATCAAGTTGAAATCTATTTGAAGAGAAGTGCTTACATTTATTTCCAGGTGCACCGATTCCCTTTGGGCGGTCCATGATCTATCGCTTCTGCTGTGGAGCGTTTTTCGCTAGTCTCGCTGTAGCTGGAGGTTCGGACATGGCAACACCGTTGCGTAGACCTGGTGATGTGAAGGGATTCCTGCTTCGTCATTTAAGATGGTGGGCTCGTAACTCTTCAGACATTTTCCACTCGGATGGTACCTTGAACTTGGGTTGGCTTTACCCGTATGTGCCACTCCTATTACTAAATCACGACCATTTACTGACTTTCACAAGCAACATGTATCTGACAGAAGACTACAACTCGCCGCAATCTGTATACTGGGCATTAAAGTCCTTTGTAGCCATCATGCTACCATCAGATGAGCCATTTTGGGCCGACGACGAGCAATCATACCCTCAGCTTGATCCGAGTCAAATCGTGGCCTTGCTCTATGCCCCGCGGCAGGTACTTTGCAATCCTCCTCAGGGACATCATTTCCTCCTCTCCTCGGCTCAATTCACCTCGCTGTACTGGAAAGGTGCCGCTGCAAAGTACGGCAAGTTCGCCTACTCTTCCGCTTTTGGATTCTCCGTCCCGACTGGACAGGCAAAGCTCCAACAGCTGGCACCCGACAACATGCTTGCCCTGAGCAGGGACGGTATGCAGACCTGGGCTGTGAAGTGGAAATGTCGCGAGCCTACATTCGGAGTGTGCAAAGTCCACTCGGCTGCAAGCCACATGGCTGAGGAACTCCCAACGATGCAGGTCGTCTGGTATCCTTGGGAAGATCGCGGCGCCTCAGTCATGACGACGCTGATACCACCTTCGAGAAGATGGCCCGACTGGCACATTCGCGTGCATCGCATCCGAGTCGAAAAGGACGGTCTTGGGACCCTTTTTACCGCCGAGGGTGGATTTGCGATCAATCGCGAGCCGAAGAACTCCGGAAGATGGCTGCAGACAATCGACGCCAATCCTTCAGATGATGTTGGCTACAAACATGATTTGCAGGGGTACAGATCGGACGCTGACTCTGCCGTCGTCTTCTCCAACGCGAGAGCTTCGGGCATCACGGGTTTGGTCCTGGAGAGCCCAAGTACTGCCCATGTCAGACAGACAGCATCAGTGCTGAAGCCCGAGGCGAACACCAGCATCATGACGCCTCGGTCCCTTCTTCCATTAGTGCAACATGAAGTGACCGGTCTGAAACGGGGTGACGAGTTTGTCTTGTGTACGCGAGTCTTTGCCGCTGTTGATGACGCAGTTCAGCCGCGCAAACCTAACTGGCATCGGTGGAAATCCTGGCAAGATCGCCCAAGCACCGGGACAAGCCTGGGGGACTCGGGGGACTTTATTGAATTGCTGTGAGAAATACTCGCCAAGATTGGTGTGTAGCATATGCCTCTGCCGCGCGATGGGTACGTGAATATACTATCATTGTATTAGCGACTCACTCATCACGATTCCGGCATGTGAAATGCAGCTTTTACCACGCAAAAGAAAACAATTCAAAACTATCATTAGGCCATGAAGACTTCACTAAACTACCCACTTCCAGGAAGCTTCTAAATTAAGTCCAGTGTTTATTACACAGTCGCAGACTGGAAAATGCATGTAAGCAGCAAGCACACCTATTTTGCTGGAATTAGACTTTCACACCCGAGCGCAAGTTCAGGCTATCCATGTTCATTTCGTACTTGCCTTGTGAGATAGTTCGAAGGGTCTAGCTCATACGTTGAACAAAAAGTGGTCAAGACACAATTACTAACAGTAGTAACATGAAGTCAGGGAGCTGTACAGCTGCTGAAAAAAAAAGGGGGGGGATTCCCAAACACCACACATACACACACACAATTACTAACATCCCACCACAAAAGGACGTGCCAGTTCATGCCCATAAATCAGTGGACCGACATCAGCCTTGCACTTCCACGCAGTCTTTGAGGGCTTTTCACGCATGGCGGAAGAACGTGAGGCGCGGACCGGAGCAGTTATCGCCCGGTGGCAACTCCCCCGGGTCCGACGGGAGGAATGTCTGTATCGGGCGCAGGTGCTTGGCAGGAGATTGTAGTAGAAAAAGAGTGTGCAATGAATCATTTCCAAGATAATGCATCCTCATACATGACCGCTACTGTTCACTCTTGACCGATACTCGCTCAGCTGTCACTTGCATCGCTACCACGATCCCAACATGAGAAGCAGCAGCCCCGTTGAGCACAGCCTCCCACATAATGGCTCTCCAGATGCCGAGGAAATCATTTCCGCACAGAGCTCATGGAGTGTTCGGCTTTCAGAGCTGTACTCGGATAATCTCATTGCAAAGGTGCTTCGGACAGCCGCTGTTTATTTAGAAAACAACGTAAGTCTCCATTACTATGCATATGTAGGCATCTCGAGACTGGTATAAATTGTACTCACAGAAATGAAGGAGATACCTAGTCAATATCCAGAAATTGTGCCTCAAACCGGGGTCAACCAGGGGAAATGGGAGACTCGTGAGATTGATTTTTGGACGAGCGGCTTCTTCCCGGGTTGCATATACTCTGCTCTTGAGACTTGCATCGGACATCCTGGAAAATCTGGTCTGCATCATGGAGCAATCGATCCGCAGCTCATCATCAGAGAGCTTGCAGAAAGCGGCCGCCGATGGTCCGATCCCCTGAAGGGACAGGCTCTGCGGACAGACACTCACGACCTCGGGTTCGTGACTTTGCCGTCCATGAGGCCTCGGTGGGAGTTATTCCACGATCAGGATGCTCTCAAAACGATCATACAAGCCGCAAACAGTTTGGCGTCACGTTTTGATGACAGGGTCTCGGCAGTTCGATCTTGGGATACTTTTGACTGGCATGACAACGTCAAGATTACATGCCAGGAAGAGAACTTTCTCGTCATTATCGATTCCATGGCCAACATGGAACTACTCTTCTATGCTGCTGCGCAGTCGGGCGATGTGCGGCTGGCTAACATAGCCGTGGCGCATTCCCGCACCTTGATGAGCTCCCACCTCCGCAAAGAGACTTGCGCTCGAAAGGGTTATCAGGGAGAACTGTATAGTACTCCTCATCTTGTCAACTTTGACCCCGGGACTGGTCTGGTCAAGGAGGTCCGCACAGCCCAGGGGTACAGTGACAGCTCTACCTGGAGCCGAGGGCAGGCTTGGGGCGTCCTGGGTTACGCGCAAGCATACCAGTGGTCGGGCCATGGAGAGTTTCTAGACGCGGCATGTGGCCTAGCTGAATACTTTTTGTTCAAGCTGGAGACTGCCCCAGACTGTGTCGATAAAACTGTTACCAACGGGTCCGCTGAACCAAGGAAATCGGGCAGATACGTCCCGCTCTGGGACTTTGACGCTCCGATTGAGGATCTTGAGAATCCCCTCAGAGATGTCTCTGCTGGGCTAATTGCTGCTAACGGGATGGTCATCCTTGCACAATGCTTCTCAGCTCTCGGAGACCACCAACGCAACGCAAGATACTTGGACGCGGCACTCATTATAGTTGAAGATATCCTCAACTTTGCATTGGCTCGTGAAAAGGCCCATGTTGTGCACACAGATGTCGAGCCCTTCAAGATTAACATATCTGGTGTAGGAGAACGATTCGATGCCATCTTGAAGCATTCTACAGTGTGTTACAATGCATCCAGCTTTAGGAAGAATAAGGCACATGACCACGGGCTAGTCTACGCAGACTACTATCTTCTTACTTTGAAGAACCGCTTGTTACAGATGGGAATTATATAATAGGATAGTTAATCATACATGTTTCTTCTTCACCTCGGTGCTTCTTACTAAAATAAACCTGAACATGCGCTCGGGTGTGAAAGTCTAATTCCAGCATACACACGGCAGAGGAAGGACATATGCCAACATGTATTTCCATTTCCTTAACCAAAACTGATACAAGACAAATAGTTTACATCTGGGGGCCAGGCCATTGAGCTGAACCAAAGTTCCACTCTGCTTGAGCGATGCCCTCCCCCTGGCCAGCAGGATCCACGTCACAGATGCCTTCAAAGTTGAGATCGTCAAAATTGATGATGCGATCCATTCCTGTAAACTGCTCCCCAGAAAAGCTTTTTATGATACTTGACAGTTCGTCGGTTCCTCCAGATGCGGTGGACATTCTACAGTCGGGAACTTGTGATGGAGACAGCCAATCATTGCCAGGTCGCCCAGCATATGCCTCCTCAGAGACCTGTACGCTTTGATTTACCGAGGGCGGCTTAGCGGGTGAGGCAAATTGGCCGGGTTTACTTTGACCTGCAGCAAACAGACGGCTTCGCGGAGATGGATGCGCAGCCTCATGGCTGTCAGCGGCATGCGGAGAATGCAATGATCCGCTGTAGATCGTGCTGATGAATGTGGACGTTGGAGTCGAGCTCGCATGGAGTGATTGAAGTTTATCGAGTAGCTGGCCAGCAAGAGACGATGCTAGTTCGATTGAACTATTGCCGATCCACCTCTGTGCCATCTCTTGTAAACACTGGACCAGAGACCAGAAATGCGGGCTGAGATCCTGAGAGTAAAACCGGTGATGAACTTTTCCCTCTGAAATTAGCTCCTAGTTTCACAAGTTCACGCTGCTTCCAAATCTAGCTTACCGAGCAGGATCTTGGCACTCGCAAAGACGCAGAATGCCCAATGCGGAGACAAAGGTCGGCAAGTTGAGGAATGCCTCAGGTAGTTTCGCGTAATGTTGGATGTCTCGACTGCCGCGGAATGACAGGTTTCGGCGCTGTAGAAATTGGGTAGCGGGATACCCTTCAACGTCGAGTTTGGGTAGCCAATCTTCTGGTGCAGCATGATCATGGATGTATTATGCGTGACATGTGCCAAGGACATATTCGGATCCAGGATATTGGAAGTCTCGGGCGGCGGGACATTCGGATCTTTCCATTTTGGAGGGAGTAGTGTTTTCCATCTGTCAGGGTTAGATATTGATTTGATTCAACGCCTAGGAAGTCAGGCACGTACCGGACCAGGCGGAAGTCAAGCTCCTTGAATCTTGTCAACCAGCTAAACACTTCTTGGCGGTTACCAACGTCGACGCTTTGCCGAAGAAAGTATTCATTGACCTGGTAGAGTGATTCAAGGGACTCTACAAAGTATGCGAAAGCGCCTGTATTGCTAGTGTTCAGATCTGGTGTCGACTGGCTCGCATCGCCTGGGGAGACATTTTCCCCATCATTTGAAGGCTCGGTCGGCTGCTTCGAGCTCACGGAATGCGCAGGGAGGTACGCCACCGAGTTTGAAATCTTGGTGGCAGACTTGTCCCAGATACTAAAGTATGGAGTCACTCGAGGGGCGTTTTCGTTCCAAAAGGTGCCGCATACGGGTAGTCTACGACTTGAGTTGTCTGTGGTGAGAGCCACTTTCCAGCTACGTGGCATGTTAGCTGACCACTTCGTCTGACATATATGTAGCGCAAAAGCTTACCCCGTAGTGATGGAACATATTCTAAACAGTCTCAGTAAGAACAGAAAGAAACTAACGGTCAGGTAGCCTCGATTCAAACGCACCTGTCAAGAATAAAGATGTTCCAAAAAACGCGCCGAGTCTCCTCCTCTTCTGCCCAGCTTTGCGGCAGAGCCTGCGGACAGGGGGTGAAGAAGGACTCTGTAAGCGCCTTCACTTCCGACTGTTCCACGCAAATGCCGAGGAACTCTGCCATTCTCGTCAAGGCAGCAATAATTGGCCACGCTTTTGTGAGGCTACCGTCGCCCAGCTATGAATTGTTAGTTGGTATCGTGACCCCCCATCTACTACTATATTACTTACGTATCTAAAGGCTAGAATAGCGAGTGCTTGCAGATTCTTAAGTTGTAGACTTTGGTTCGCTGTCAGCAGGACGTGGTCACAAGCGATCTGAAACCTGTCCATCGACATCTCGACGGGACCTTCCCGCTGATCATCATAGCGTGAAGCTCCTAGCATTATCGCATGCAAGACAATGTCATTGTCGAGCTCGCTATGATTACCTATAACTTTACTTTGAAACATTGAACGATGAATCATTGGAATCCATGGGTGGAAGTTGGAGAAGTATGCCTCAAGGAGGCTTTCAACATCTTCTTGGGAATCTAGAGTGGCGGTCAATGCAAGGGTTGAGGGTCCTGTCGGAACAACTGCCGAGGACTCAACCACTTTTTGTCGCTTGACGCTCCTAGTTTCAGGCTCAAGTGACGAAGATCTCTTCGCGACTGCGGCTTCGGTGAGAACAGATATGGTTCGGGACAACTCTGATATTGTGGACGACAGTGTCTTGGTCTCCAATGTCAGTGCAGTGAGTGCCGATGTGTCATTGTCAGAACGTTCAACTGCAGCAGCATTTACGGTGGTTTGATCAGGGCTTTCATTTGACACAGGGATGTCCCGATCTATTATTTGGCGCTCGAGAGAATCTACAGATGTCAATATTCCTCACTTGGCAGGTCATCAACACAAGCGGAGCCTTACCAATGCGTTTTGTGAGCTTCTCAAGGGTTCCCCGCTTCAGCCCTGGTTTATTCTTCAGAGAATCGTAGATGCATGATAAATCTATATGCGAGAAATGTCAGAAGCGCTGTGCCAGGACTCAAGGGCCAAAGCCCAACACGTGATTAGCATACCAAGTCGTTGGCAATTCGTGCATGAAGGAATCTCGCGTGAGCACTTGAGCTTGCGCGCCCGGCAACCGGCGCACGATGGCAGGTCTCGGGACTCGGTAACTCCAGTCGACTCCATTCAGCCAGTGTCTCAAGTTGCTATAGCACGATCCCGTTGGCAAACAGTACGGCTTGCCCCCAGACATGCGTCGGGCAATGTAAATATCCCTCCGAACTCGATGCGATGACCCCGGACATTGACGGAAAACTTGGCCCACCTCTCCAGGATTTGCTCCTGGGGGAAAATCAGCACTAGCTCAGGTTGAGTGAAGAGTGAAGAGGTGACTGGGTTCCCCGCAGCCATGAGTCGTTGCCATCAGGCCGGTTCGGGTCGGCGCAGTAACAGTCCGAGAGTTACCCGCGTCCGAAACTACCGGTGAAGGGCGCCAACGTTTGGGTCTATTCTCAATGGTGCCAGTTACAAACACCGCGTGTGAAGGCAAATCCTTTATCAGTCATGAGATGCAGCAAGCCAGATCAATCACTTGCTTCAAGTGCTCTTCCTTTGCGAAACTGGTAAACCAAAACTGTGCCATCACGACCAGCCAACATGGGCAACTCTACGACTCTTGCTGGACCTAAAGGTCAAGATGAACACCTCAATATTCGACATGCAGATGCTCCCGACTTGGACAGAGTCATTTGGTACAAGGAGCCTCAGCTGAGGAAGCTCTACTGTCTTTGCATCTTCCTGCTAGTCGCATCGGCCACAACCGGGTACGACGGAATGATGGTCAACACGTCCCAGCAGATGGATAAGTGGAAGGAGTTCTTCCCTCAGTATGCCGATGCCAACAAGCTCGGTATTCTGATCAACATGTACAACATCGGGTCGGTGACTTCCTTCCTGGTCGTTCCATATATGGCGGACTACCTCGGCCGAAAGATTACGATTGCTATCGGTTGCGTCCTCATGATTTTGGGCGCGTTTGTCGGTGCTTTCAGCACCAGCTACGGAAGTAAGTTCCAATCATCTCCCTCGTCGTCATCTCTAAGTCGATAACTGATTGAGTCCTCTTCACCTTTTGTTAGTGTATATTTCTGGCCGTTTTGTTCTCGGCTTTGGCAATTCTTTTGCACAAATGTGCTCTCCGCTGCTTCTGACAGAAATCTGCCACCCCCAGCATCGTGGGCCCCTTACGACAGTATATAACTGCTTGTGGAGCTTGGGCTCACTGTGTAAGTAAAGACCGTTTTGTCACTGTTGACGGACTAACGATACTGGGAACGGTGCTGACTGCAAATCCTAGGTGTATCCTGCATCGGATGTGGTACTTCGTCAATCAACAGTGAGTGGTCGTGGAGGTCAATTACTCTTATCCAAGCCATGCCATCCGTCATACAGCTTTGTGGCATCTGGTGGCTTCCGGAATCCCCGCGATGGCTCGTAAGCCGGGACAGAGCCGAGGAAGCGCTTCAGATGTTAACCAAGTACCACGGTGCCGGGGACGTCGACAACGTCACGGTGCAGCTTCAGTACCGCGAGATGAAAGACGCAATCCAGAACCGAAAAGAGAAAAATGCGGCATATCTAGATTTCTTCAAGACTCGCGGCAACCGATGGAGATTGGCCATTATCATATCCCTGGGTGTCATATCCCAGTATTCAGGCAATGCTCTGTTCTCAAACTACATTGATATCGTTTATGTGGGGGCTGGTATTACGGAACAGAATCAGAAACTTGCTGTATGTTGAATCATCTTCTAAAATCCAGAATCGATATCTAATGGTCCATACAGCTCTCGGCTGGCAAGACAATCATGGATTTGCTTGTTGCCGTGAGCACAGCACTTCTTGTCGACCAATGGGGGCGACGGCCGTTGTTCCTGCTGGGAACCGCAGGCATGTTTGCATCCTTTGCTCTCTGGACCGTTCTCGGTGCCGTCTACGAGAATTCCAGCCAAACACTAGCAAACGGCACTCAGGTATACACAAACAAGGCAGCAGGCACTGGCCAAATTGCCTTTGTCTGGCTGTTTAGCCTGTTCTACCATGTAGGCTTCGCTGGCCTGCTCGTATCATATGCCCTGGAAATCCTCCCTTTCCATCTCCGAGCCAAGGGTATGATGATTATGAATATCACTGTGCAAGCCATCCTTGCCCTTGGAAAGTGAGTAATCCGTACCACCGCTGTGATAGAGCACACGCTAACAAATATCAGTCAAACCAACAAGCTGGCATGGAATAACATGCCCAATCACTGGAACCTGATGTTGTTCTATACGCTATGGGATTTCTGTGAATTTCTATTTGTGTACTTTGTATATGTTGAAACCAAAGGGCCTACTCTCGAAGAAATAGCCATCATCTTTGACGGTGACGATGCTATTGCTCGGGTGGATGTGGAGCAATTGGGAAAAGAGGTGGAGCTTCAGGTTCAGCACAAAGAACTCAGTGCTTAAGAGCTTCTCAGGTTTAAGGTTGTAATACTCAGTCCTAGCAGTACTTTGTAGGCCACATATACCGACCCGGCTAGGATAGTGTTGACTAGGATACCCCCTTAAACGAAGCCTCCTCTTACCCTTTGTAATACAGAATCTACCAGGTGATGGTTCACTCTTCTAACTCCCCCATGTGCATCATCACAGTCTCACTGCCTTGGCCTCATTAATGAGTGTAATGTATTTCGAGACCGCTTGATTCGAGACTTTCCGTTCGGGGCAGGGTGTCAGGAGGATAGTGGGCCAACCAATCGGCCATCTTTAGTCCGGAGACGAATATACACAATCGTCACCAATGCCGCTTAGCCAATTATTGTGGTGGGTAGGATTTACTCTCGGCGTTTCACGGTCATACTTTGCGGGGTAGCCCTGGTCCAATCTCCCCGTGGGGTATCAAGGGTACGCTAGAAGACGAGGTAAAACGTGCCAGCTTCGTGGCGAGTGACGGCAATGAGTTGGTTCTTGCTGTGGCAAGTTTCTTAGCAAGGAGCGAGACTTCTGTCGTTTTCCGAAAGCAGATGTGCCGAAGCCGGTGGACTGTAAATATATAAATGCATCAAATGACCGTTTGTTCATCATGTGCCTTCAGTATACTTCCATCTCATCATATCGATCTCAGCTACTACAAAGTGTTAAGACAACATGAAGTCATTTTTGATCCTCACATTGTCGTGCGCATGGCTCGGTCACGGCCAAAGCCTTTGCGATCAATTTGCATATCATTCCCAGGACGTCTGGTACTTGAACAACAACGAATGGGGGGCGAGTGCTGGTACTGGCACTCAGTGTACCTACGTTGACAGCGTCAACAGCGGGGGAGTCTCTTGGCATACTGACTGGACCTGGGCTGGAGGCTCGGGATCGGTGAAGAGTTACCCATACTCTGGTCGCAGTCTCCCCACTAAGAAGCTGGTTGCCAACATTGGCAGTATCCCGACAGTTGCCGAGTGGAGATATGAGGGACAGAATCTCCGTTGCAACATTGCATATGATATTTTTACAGCAGCTGACCCGAACCATTCCACAAGCAGCGGAGACTACGAGCTCATGATCTGGTAAGAGCCCACATCATACCTACCTATCCAAGACTATCACTCACCAGAGGTTATAAACCAGGCTTGGGAATCTTGGTCCAGTCACTCCCATTGGCGGTACCCCAATCGCAACGGCGAATGTTGGTGGAAGGACTTGGAGCCTTTACAGCGGCTTGAACGGAAGCATGCGAGTCTATACCTTTGTCGCGACCAACCAGATCAGTTCTTTCAATGCAGACATTAAGCCATTTTTCAATTACCTCGTCAACAATCATGGTTTCCCAGCCAGTTCGCAATATCTACTGAGTGAGTCACTCTAAACTCAAATTCGAGCATGCATTCTCTGACTTCAACGATAGCTTTGCAATTTGGAACCGAGGCATTTACGGGAGACAATGCCCGATTTATTGTTGGCCACTGGTCAGGGTCTGTTAACTAAATAAGACACTGCTTGGATGGACGGCTATGATAAGAGCCTTTTAAGGGGGGCTCTTATAAAAGAAAATTCACTTTATTAAACTCTCTTAGGATGCTGATACTTTGTTCATGGAAGTGATTGCTGCCCCAACTGCAAATGTAATAGTTTCCCGATTCTGTCCTGCTTCAATATGTTCTTCTCTTCTTACTATACAATAAATAAACGAATAGAGCTAGACTGTTCATTTGCATCATTTCGACATATTGATCTCATCAATTCCTGCCGTCGGACGTTGGTGTGGAATCCATGTATAGGGTAGGGCTGAACTGCTGGGTGTTCGACTTGATTTTTTCTGGCTTGAACAAATCAAGAATATTTGGGGCATCACTGCGGCATTCGCAATAAGGGAGACAAGCGTTCAATACCTTACCTAAAGTAGTCAAGCATCATCTAAAGTAGTCAAGCATTACCTAAAGGAGTCAAGTGTGCTGGAGACAGGTACAGGGGTAAGGAGGTGCTAGCGTGTGGGTGCTCACCGTGCCTACTTCTGATTGGCTGCACAACAAACTGACCTTCCTTTGCTCGTACCCGCGAGCCTCAAAACAAATCATCCATAATTACATTGCATCCCTTTGTCAACCAGACTGTTCAAAAAAACGCCTCGCTTTCCTTCCCAAAGTAACAAAACGGAGATTGACCGATCTGAACGATTTTCCTCACGGTGAGTGGATCGAGAGAATTTCAATGGCCGGTCCAATTGAAGCCTGCATTGGCGTTATGGGTGTTGACGCAGAAAACATGGACACATCAGAACGCGGGCTCGTCGGCGACTCCACCGGCGTAGGCTTGGGGTTCATCGTGAGGCTAGTCACCTCCTTGACGCTTCGCTGGATCTGCTGGAAGGCCCTCATCGTCTCGGGCGGGAACGCCACCACGGGGTGGGACGACTTGATGAGCGCGCCGAGCTGCGTCCAGGCCTCGACGTATTCGTAGCAGATGGGTCCGAACCTGCCGTTGAGGCAATCACCGCTCAAGGCAGGGAGGTGCTTTTCCAGGCTGCTGGCCTGCTCGATCATCCGAGAGCATGACGTGTAGAGAAGCTGGTAGGTGTCGATCATGTGTGGCCTTGGCTCCTGCGTGAGTATCTCAGAGAGACTCCCCCTTATTTGCTGATTGAGGCTTGGTAGAGTGTCGAGAACAAGCCGGAATGACCGCTGCAAAACTGTCTGGACAAGGTCGACATACTCCCATTCACGGCGGCGATCAGAGACAGCGTCTGGCTCTGTCTCCGACTCTGGAGGCGTGACGGTCAGTGGTTTTGGTGGTCGAGATGTGACGTGCCGCGGGCTTTGACGAATACCAAGCCCCATTTGTGCCTTTAACGAACGATTTGGCCGGACCGTTCTCTTATAGTCAGAGGCCTCGCTCTGAAAATATGGCATGAACTCTCCACGGAAACTCATAACGCTGCTATACATGAGACTGATGAGATTCCGAACGAACCGTGGGTCACCTCTGTCGACCAACCTGTCCAGATTGGTCACGACTTGAGAGCAGACGGCCATATAATTATTAATAAGATCAGCGCATGTATGTCCAATGATATTCCTGTCCGCTTCTTCCAGTCCTTGCTGACTCAGTACCGAATGCTTTTGGATCAGTTGCCCAAGAATATTAAGATCGAAAGTTGCCTTCTCGATAGTCAACTCTAGAGCTGATCGCCTATTTGGTACGTCCGAAGCGAGACTAGCGAGAGCTTGGAGCGGTAGATGAAGTTGGTTAATAGACAAATATAGGGTCCGAGCCATGCCGAGCAACGGCTCGCCCGCCAATGGGGGAGACGGCTGCATGGCCAATGCCCCTAAGATGCTTCTTTTCCCGGAATTGGCAATATCTGATGTCCTCTCCTGGTAGGCGGGTCGATGAGGCTCAGCGCCAAAACTAACTCTACGAGGGCGCTCGACCGTCATTGGAGACTGCAGCTGATTCCAGAGCGGGCGTTTGATTCGAGGACTCGGGTAAATACTGCCTGTTTGGATACTCAAACCCCTTGCGGCTCTTTGTGGTGACTCTCCACCCTCAGTAATGGTGGGCGGGATGAGACACGGACTTCGAGGGGCAATGCTCTGCTGAGAGAAGGCTTTCGAGTGGAGGGCGATCGGCGATGGGGGCGGGTTTGAGGGTTGGGAGTGGCTCTCGCGAACCTTTACTGGGAAGCGACCCGGTCGGCTGGACCTAGACGGATGCTTCGGCTGGTCTGTTATTGGACTCGGCGGATATCTCAACTCCCCCAGCGGATGGATTATAGTGGTACTTGGGTTGCTATCTTTCAAATACTGCTTTATCCGAGTGGTTACGGCAATCTCAGCCAAATTCGCCGGCTCAGATGCCATCTTGGTCGACGATTGACGCGAAGTCAAGATCCGTCTCAGCTTCTGGTTCAGCGGATTCCCTTCCACCTTCAAGACTTGGAGTAGCGTCATATCGGCGATGGAGGCAGGGAATTCCTGCAGGAAATTCTCCCTTATGGCTAGGACTCTGAGCGAAGTGAGCTTTGAGATATCCTCAGGAAGCACCTGAATCTTGTTGACACTCAAGTCGAGAATCTCTAGGCGTGGCAACAAAAATATCTGGATCGACATCAGCACAAGTCCGTTTGTAAGTGGCCCATCTAAACTAATACTTACCACTGGAGGAAATGACTTGATGCAGTTATCCCGGGCATTTAGGTATCGTAATGACGAGAAGGTCGAGAGCCTCAGAGGGATATTCGACAACATATTCTCAGTGAGCGCCAGTCTGTTCTCAAAAGCGTTGGTCAAGTCGAGGCTCTAGCATTTTGGCGGAGGAAGCATACCTTTGGATATCCCGCGGGACAACCTTGATGATGCTGTCGGTGAGGGCCCCAATCTTCTTGCCGCTGAGATTGATGGTCATACCATTATTGATGTCTGTGTCGAGAGTAGGCTCCTTTTCCGCGTGCTGCTGAGTTTCGACCGCCTTCCTCACAGCCTCCACCGCCAATTCAAATGCCTGATCGTCGGATACGGGGACCGATCTGCTCCCAAGAACATTGAAGGACGGACGATGATTCAGTCTGGGTTTGCTGGTCCAGGGGAACTGTCGCCTACCGGACCGAAGAGAGACGGGACTCCCCGGATCCATGGCTGACGGTTTCATCTCCGGATATCTTGAAGCCTCCTAGGGCTGCGGAGGAGAAGATGAGAACTTCTGCGCGCGACCGGAGCAGCCACCAGGACATTTCCCTCGGGTGTAGCCGGTGCCTGAGCTGGTTGGGTGACTCGGGTGATGTGACGGGCAGCACCAACCACTCACACGATGAGTAACGTAACAGCAAGACAATGCAATTGATCAGTGAATCCGGCAACGTCGGGCACCGCCTGAGTCCATTCACACACGGCATCGCATTGACCTCGATTTTAGGTGAGGCATGAAAAAGCACAAGCGGAGTGAAACGGCCTATGACATACTACCCATCTTATTAGGGGAACGCAAGGGCCTACCAAGGGGCTGACAGCGCCAGCAACCAACATCCGAGGGGCCGATTGGCATGCAGGGATGCCCCCAACAGAGGAGCGCGCACTGTCCTCTGTCAGCATCGCGAACGGGCCATCGTGTGAACTCGTGTTGGTGAACTACGTAAAGCCATCGGCCAGGGGGCTTGAAACACAGTTTCAGCTTTACCCATCAGCGCCCAATTGCAGGCTCTGGCGTACCACAAGCTCCCTTTTGAGGACCCCATCAGCCCACAAACGACCGTTGCATTGAACTCGGGATCTGGGGATCTACACGGCTGCGTCTAAGGTGCATTTAGGGAAAATGCTACGCTGAAGGTTCGTTGGGCAGAACCGCCCTTGTCCATGGTTCCCTGTCAGTGTCACTGTCTTGGCAAACTTTGTGACGGACGATTCCATTGGGCCTCTTATCGCCGAACCGGTACATCACCAACAGGTGCTTCCATTGTTTGCGAACGACAATTCACCCGAGCCAACGCAGTTTTCTTTTTGTCTCCTTTCCTGGCCCTATACATGGATTCCACCCAAAATTCCAACCAACAGGCAGGAAGGGATGAGATCAATATGTTGAAATGGTGCAAATGAACATATTTATTGTATAGCAATAAGAGAAGAAAATATTGAAATTGGACAGAATTGTGAACCTATGGCATTTGCAGTTGGGGCAGCAATTTCTCCCGTATACACATCAGTAGGTAAGTACATATCAAAAGTAAAATGTATTATGCTGTAATAAATTACGGGAAACCCTTAACAAAGCCGATCAAAAACGGTTGCCATTCTCGGAGTAACAATCCATCTCAAAACTGAATGAAGGATCTTCTGGTCCAAAGGTCTAGGCGGGGCTTGCACTTTCGGAGCTTGAGGCGGTGCTTGGCCTTCCCCCTTCTCTCGCTTCTTCGTCCATCCGGACTTGAGCAGACATGATCTCTATGAGAGTCTTGTTCTTCAACTTAATCTCGTGGAACTCTGTCGACCTAACCAGCTCGGCGATGTGAGCCACAGCTCCATCAATCATGATCTGCCACATGCTTTCGTCGATAACCCAATCTTCGGCATTCTTGAGAAGGGTTAGGAAACTAGCCGTATCCCAACTGTGGTTGATGAATCTCTCGGCGCGACTGTCTCATGGTCTGAAACAGCATCAGGCAGGCCCTCCTCAGCAGGTTGACCTTGGTTGGCATGGCCTTGGCCCAGAGGTTGGAAACGGCTGCCTCCCCAAAGAGGTGGGCCGGCTGGAATAGTCGATATTGGTCTCTCACGAGTAACCTCTCCTTTGATTGCAATAGGGTCATCGCTATTGTCCAGATCGTCATCAATGACAACTACCATACCATCATCCGGGGCTACAGTAACGTTATCTGGAACATAGTTGGCAGGCCCAGGGACAGGAAGGTTGACAGGACCAAGGCTAGGAGGGTTGACAGGCTGAATGCCATGATGGTTGGTAGGCTCAGGGCCAGGAAGGTTGACAGACTGAAGATTCTGATTGTTGGTAGGATGAAGGCCAGGATTGATGACGGATTGAGGGCCAGGATGGTTGGCAGTCTCAGGGCCAGGATGATTGACGATCTCAGGGCCAGGAGGGTTGGCAGTCTGGAGGCCAGCAGTCTGATGTCCCATGGCAGTCGACGGTCCAGGGGTGCCGGCAGGACTAGCGGTCGCTGAAGAGGCGACAGATGGCCGAGAGCGCCTGGATCCCATAGTAGTCGGCGGCGATGTTCAGGTTGATCTCTGCTTCCAGACATCCTGAGAAAGGGTAGTTCGCGTCTCAGAATCGGCTCTTACGAGATTCGTCCCGGAGTGTCTCCAACGATGGCCGTGTTCCAGCCAAGCCAGGAGATGAAGAGTAGTCCCCAATATACAGAAACTGAACGAGACGACCCATGGTTGCGACGTCGAAGGTGGAAGAGATACGACCTGTTTGGGCCTCCTAGTCAAAATTAGATTAGTTTCTATCCCTTTTTTTCACGAGAGCCTACCGGTAGAAAGGGCCGTCGGCAAATGGCTTACAATGTATAGGCCGTCAAGGGCGGTTGCGATGACTGGCGACTTTGTGCAGGCGATCGCTTTGTGGAGCTTCCATTCAGCTCCGTTGCAAGTCAGAACGAAGTCACTGTACTTGCCCGATTGCAGCAGATCGAGGAATTGCTGCTGGTATGTCTGAAGATCTGCCATGTTGGTGGTTGATCTTATTCGCAACTTAGGCGCCGGTGTCTATTTCAGTCCGTGATTAGCAAAAGAATCTTAGGGGGATTGTAACATCTCAGCTTGAGAGAAAAGGTGAGGATTAAGTAATTGTGAGTAAAGGGAAGATGAGGGCAAAGAGAAGATGAGGGCAAAGAGAAGATGAGGGCAAAGAGACGATGAGGGCAAAGAGAAGATGAGGGCAAAGGAAAGGTGAGTGTGAATACCTACTTGGTGTTGGTCGAAAAAGAAAAGCGCCTATAATGGAGGATGATAAGACTGGCAAAGAAGAAGTGGCTGAAAGTGGAAGCAAGGAAAAGCCTATGAAAGATGGAATAATGAAATATCGACGAGATGAAGAAGTCGTAAAAGTGCGGCGTTGGCTAATGATTGAAGAGTAGAAACAATCGCGTGGAAAAGGTAAACAGAGAAGAGAGGAGCGTGTCTCCATGAAGAGGGGGGCGAAGTGACTGAGGGGAGTGCCTCATGGCTAGCGGGGAGTGGGCTGCAAGTTTGGTTACCACATCAAGTTCCTCAACACCACAGTAGTACGATGATCAAGCGATGTTCTCCACGCTAAGAAGCTTCTATAGTTGACATAGATCACGTTACTGTGGTATTATACAGCAGAATGCGTCGGCTCAGGTGGCTCAGACTGCTCTCCCCGACAAGGAGACACCGCCGTCCAGCATGCCAACTTCTCACCAGGCAAAAACCCACCAACCGACGTGAAACCTTTATAAACCATGAGAATGACGCAACTACCAGCCAATGACAGCTCAGTGGTGTAGTTGGTAGATTGCCGCGTTGGGGGTATTGCTTGAACATACTTAAGCCCCTTTCGTGCCGCGTGTCTACCGACGAAGCCACTGGGTTCGAGGCCCTTCTTTTGCTTTTCTTTTGTTTTTTTGTTGCCTGCGTATAATTTAACACCCTGAAGGTATATGAATTAATATTCTTGTGCCTGCTATCGCCAATGACTACCAGTGGCCTGGTTGTTAAGCATGTCATGATCCTTATCCTTCCCCTTCCCCTTCCCCTTCCCCTTTCCTCCTTCACTGGGTCATGAATTGCTTGCCGCCTGGTCGCTGGTTCGAGGCACCTCTTTTTTTCCTTTTCATTTTTTTGGATGTTGTTCTGGTGTTGATGTTGAGGAGTGACGCGGTCGTGCGCTGAGGAAGTCCAAGCACGCGTCCCCACAGCCCGCCCCCTTCCACCTCCCCTTGTTCCGTGCGTTTCCTCCCCGTGCTGGCCTTCTGTAACAATCTCGATACCTGTTGACGATAGTTCGATTCCATTTTTTGGTGTTTTCCTTCCATCACTCCGCCCCTGCAGCCCCACCACATGAAGTTTTCTTTCAATATAGTCTTGCACCCCTCATCAAAGCCATCTCATCCACCACTACCTACTCTACATACATTCGCATCCCCAGTTCGATGATGCAACTTCTTTGCAGGTTTTTATTTTATATCATGTCAACATACTCACGCATTCCAACAGTCAAGCATACTGGGATCTATTTCCATCCTGAACGACTTGAACTCCAGCGCGGAAAATCTGACACCTCTATCTCTCAGAGTTGAGTCTCTTTGTCGATATCAAATAGAAGCTTGAAGTAACTTGATACTAGCATCTCCATGTATGCACATCTTCGCTCCATAACGCGAGTACGTCCGTTATTCTCTCCGCGTCAGGGAATTCGTACAACCCGCGTGACGATGCTGATCTGATCGACTACTCATCTGCATCCCATCAACGCCCTTTATGCCGACCAAAGCAGCGAGCTCGATATCACACGTCACTCGCAAAACATAGTTGCGGCAATGCCTACACATTATTGTGCAATAGATGGCAAAAAAAGCCAAACACAGAGCACAAGGTGAGCAGCATCGCCAAGGCCAGTTGCAGCGCCGTCATCAGCATTCACTTAGTTCCTACTAGCAAGCTAAAAATTACATTAAGATTAGGTACCAGACCCAATTCATAACAATGGCTGGTGCTCTTTTCTCGACCTACATGTCCGTTACAGCCTCATCGTTTATTGGACCACCACCTCCGCAAACCGTGTAGTGCATGACTTGTGCCGTGGCCAGCGCCAAGCACACCCTCAACGAATTTACAAGTCGATTTCTTTCCCACCAAACTCACCCAAAGAATGCACGCTTTTTGTTCAAGGGCCTGCTGATGCGGCGAAGGTGGGTTTATATCTCCAAGAGGCATCAGAGCTAATCAGCAGATCCGAACCGAACGTTGGGCTGACCTTGCATACCGCGCAATCGACCATCGCCACTTGCAACCACCTTTTGATGAGACCACCTCGTGATTCTGAACGTCATCCTCCGATTTGGAAACACAACAGGTAATAGGTTGAGTTAGAAGTCTGGTGATAGCGAGTTGTGCGTTCATGATGCTCCAAGACTTCCTCCTGTCTGACATATCCCTGCAGGACGAAAGTAGCACCTCGGACTTGTCTGAACTCTCACTTATCAGAAGATCCGGCAAGTGGATTCTGTTCGTGAGTTACCCCAGGGCCCAACCCATCCAATCGAGGAACTGGAAATACTGACGAAACGGTCAATTCCTGTCACCAGATCAATAACCCTCAGGGTGCCGACAGCGTGAGGAGTACAAGTGCCTATCCACCTATCGAGGTTAACCTGGAGCAAGCCCTCCTCCCCGCCAACTCCTCTAGCACTTGGAGGGTGCGAAATTTCGGATGCGGTAAGCGGGAGTTTCCACTGAGCAGCTGACAAATTTCGCAAGTCGCACCATCCGTGTCTGTGGCTCGTCTTTGGTTAACGATTAGTCGGAGCAAATCGTCGGTTTTGTTCAAGGTGTGGAACTGCTAGACCGTGGTCGGGTGAGCCTCGAGGCTTTGAAGATTCGCTCTTTCGAGGAACATCTACAGTGGTGTGTCGCAGTTAAAGGTAATGTCGAACATCTTGTATCCTATGCTGACTCCATGAAAGCCGGTCTAGAGTCTCCACACTCGTAACCCTGCCCTCAGGGGTTGCCTGAAATTCGGTTCGTTTACAGCCAGCCATTATATGCGCAGATTGGACTAGGTGAGTAGATGTTGCATGAGGCTCAGAAGTCTGCAAATTACAAACCGCTCGCAGAATTCCTCCGACGAATTTACTCGATATCAGAGTTGCCTCTTTCCGTTTGGCTCTGGGCCATTGGTCAAGTCCCGACAACCCGGTAGTGGGATCCTTGAACCCAGCATCAATCTCGCCGTATGCAGGGTCCATGCTAGATAAAAAAAAACCGTTCGGAGCAATTCCATTCCATTGATTGTCCCTACCAGGTACAGTTACGTAACTCGGTGGAACACTTGGACCGTGGTCGAGGCGGAACTCCGCTAGGGGCGATTCTTGGGTCAGCAATGGAGAAGCAAGGGTCAAACAACGACTTCGCTATCTATGCGTATAAGAAGCTGAGGTATTCTCTAAAGCAAGTGAGTATGACTCTCATCGCCATTTCTCAACGCCTGACTCCCAATAAGTCAAGAACTGATCCGTCGCCAACCAGCTACAGCCATGTGTTCCCTCCCGTCTGTTATTCTGCTCCCGGGCTCTTTTGTCAGGGCGGAGCTCTATTTCCCACTGAGAGATGCCGTGCAAGCCAGAGGTATCGATATGCATGTCCCTGAGCTTCTCACGGTCCGACAGGGGCCCAATGACACCCGGACGCCCCCTTCAATGTACGATGATGCGGCCATGATTGTCAGCGAGGTTGAGAAGCTAGCGGACGTTGGCAAAGACGTCATTGTTGTGTCTCACTCTTACTCCGGCATTCCATTGACACAGGCTGGTGGGAGCCTGAGCAAGAAAAAGAGGCGGGCTAGGGGGAAGAAAGGTGGTCTCGTCGGATTGGGGTACATCACATCCATGGTCCCTGCCTTGGGGGAGTCTGCTCTACAGATCAGCGCCGGATTCCCCACCGAGTCTCAACCTCAGGTTACGATAGACGTAAGTAATTTTGTGCATATTTCAATACTCATGCCACCAAAAAGCTGGAGCGATGAACTAACCGGTAGTAGGATCAAGGATGGATGACACAGGCAAACCTCACTCGATCTGCGGAGACTGCCTTGAACAACCTACCTCTGAGCGAAGCACTGGTTTGGGTCCAAAAGTTTTCACAGCACTCGGCCCAAAGTTTTGCAGACAACGCGACTCAGCTGGCCTACGCGGACCCCCAGATACCCATTTCTTACTTGCTGTGTGAAAATGACCTTACGATTCCACCCGAGAACCAGCTGCTTGGAATCCAGATGATGGAGGAGGTCAGGGGCAAGCCTGTTAAGATTACCAGGATCCCTGGTGATCATGGAGCAATGATATCTGAGAAGGACAAAGTTGCCGATTGGATCGTGGGTCTTGCGGGAAACTCCAAGTAGCCCGGCCGTTTTCATAGACATCACAGGCTGAGTTTTCTTCCATTCTCTGCAAAAGTAGATAGCTCGGAGCTACACTGTAACGCCTCCTTGACAATAGACTTCATTTGGCACACCAAGATAAAAAAAGAGGCCCCTCATGCACCATACTCCAATCCCATTAATTATTGTCATCGACTGTTGTCTTATTGTCATTGGCGCGGGCGTTAGCCGTGCCGTGTGGCGGCTTGTTCTTGACATCGACGAGAGACTTCTCGAACAATTTCGTAACACCCTGTGAATCAAGGAGATGGATGAGGTGCTTGTAGTTTATACATACTTAGGCACGTATAGCAAAGTGTACCTAGACTTAAGGTTCGCGCTTGACGCCCAGCGAGAGAATCAGTGGCAAGGCCAATGACAGCCACAAGCATGTGGATTTCCCCTCAACCAAAGATCAGGGGAAAAAGATAAATTGATAAGTACAGTAAAATAATGAGACTTCTCAGTGTGGATTTCGGACACTTTGGCACAGTACATGTAGACAAACGACTTTGGGCGGGTTACTTTGGGGAGCCTCAAGGTACATCTCCCACCGGAAGGCCGAAACTTTCTCCGGCTCCGCGAACAAACATTGAACCTTCCTCCTTTTTTCCCGCCACAATGGAAGAGAGTTCGAGTATAAACTCAAGCAACGTACATTGGAAAATGCCAGACTCGACATCTAAACGCAATAAATACCCTCCACAACCATCCACCAACACACAAATAACAAAGGCAATATGAACAACAATATGAAATATATTCTGTTGAAAGGTTGGCCACCTGCTGCCAAAGAATTTGCGATACGACCCGATGCTGTCTATTGCCAGCGACACGACGCTCAGCAACCCGACGAGCTGTTCACCAAGGCTAGGACCTGGCTGGAGGCCATTCAGAACGCACCACTCAACGAACTGCAGGATGTGGTCACAAAGGAAATCCAAGACGCTATGGTCCGAGCCATTTTCGGCAGCAACCAAATCGAGAGAGCAGGGTTGAACTTGCACATCACCATCCACCTGTGTCGAATGATTCTAAATGGCGAAGATGTGGGCGCAATTTCCGAAGGCGACCTTGACTGTCAATCCACGCTTCTTGATCTCTATCGTCGAGACCCCTCCCTTCAAAAATTGCGTATAAAGGATGTCCTAAGGAGCCGCAACGAGGTTGTCCAACACTGCAAAGCCTTCATATTCCTGATCGAACAGTTCGTTTTCGAGAAGAAGCATTTGACGGAAAGTTTAATCCAAGAGGCTCATCGAATATTGGTAGAAGGAGTTCCAATTACAGACTGCGACGGCCCAGACGTTCAACCCAAAGAGTATGGAGGAGTTTATAGGACGGTGGTTGTAGGAGCCGGCACTACAAACTTCACAGTCCCGAAGTTTGTCCCTGCCAAGATGAAGAAGATGTGCGAAGATCTCAAAGACGAACTAGAGGCCGCCGAGGAGAACAAGGTCATCGACCCCATCTCTACTGCGGCGAAGTACTCCCTGGAGTTTGTTCAGATCCACCCCTTTATGGATGGCAATGGGCGGGTGTGCCGCCTTATTCTCAATGTTATTCTCTGCCGCTATGCGGGAGTTATTGTCCCGATTGGGGAGGAAGAAGCGGAAAGAGAAGAGTACATGCAAATCAAGCGGGATTCAAGTGAGAAAATGGAGGGGCATGGGGAATATGCAACTTTCATTCTCATCCGAGCGACGCGACGAATTCGGGAGATGAAGAAGAAACTCTCCGGCAAGACACCCAAACATTAAGCTGCTTATTCTTGAAGCTGGGACCGTCACTGCCAGCTTATTGAGTGCTAATAATACATACTTCAAAATAATACGGTATATATTGTCACTTTATTTCATTTTTTGCTCCTGAATTTCTCGACTTATCTTAGAAATGAGTCCATATTTCTAACCACTCTTACATTAGATGTCTCACTTCTCTTGTCACCCACTTGCCTCAATCCTCGAACAATCTATACTCTGATCACCTCGTTGATCATTCAACCTCATGGAAGATGGAAGCTCACGGTTGTCGTCTATTTTCGCTATAATGGCGCTATACCCGGCCACGTCCGGCCAGCCGGTACTGGCGCAAACACAACCGGATCATGGTTGTCATGTTGGGCACACAGCATTCCCCATATTCTACTATAACGAGTTAGCAAACGGTGGCAGCTAAACTTTACGGCATCGACTTGAGCCAACGTGGTGAAAATATACGGCGTCCACCGGCTGCGAATGACGATTATGGATGCATCTAGCCCCTGCAATGCTACGCTCCTACGTGCTTGGTATTCATCCCTCTCGGTATGGAGCCCGGTGACATTCTTTTATCTCTGGCTTTGAGGACTTTTCTCCCCTCCTCATGATCTAATCTACACCCATATGTCAATGCAGGTGGAGCGATGTTCGACCCACCAACCCACATGTCGATGATGTCGTGCTTATTGAGCTGGGCCAAGCCAATGGTCTAGTGCGAGGAGAAATGATGAATTCCAGTGTGACGATTGCGTGCTTCAGGTGCCATGCGATTCCGGCCACGGGAATGGTGAAACCTCGCATATAATTAATGGGCAGTGACAATCTCGAGATATTACCCCTCCCCCTCGCTGTTCTTTCCATTCATCTGTCTATCAGCTTTGTGTATATTGTTCCTCATCTATATTGAAAAGTATTCTTATCCTTCACAATGTCGCCAGCTGTTCTGCTCCCACAGAACACCCCAATCAAGGCCAAGACGTCGGTCGGAAACGTAAGCCTCGACGTTTTCCCAGACGGCATCAAGACTGCTGGCCAGCACCCGCCTATTTACGAAAAGCTCTACCCATACAGTGCCTTCCCTAAACACATTGACGCTCCTACGAAATGGAACCCGGAGGACTATGAGAACAACCCTGAGAGATGGGTTCATCGGTTCACCGAAGCCGAGCTTGAGGAACTGAGCACGGCTGCCGATAAGTTCATTGCTGCTGGCACCCCGCTCACCGGCATCACCAAGGAGAACTTCCCTCTCCCCGGATTGGCACCACTGCTCGCCACCACGAGAGACCACCTACTCAACGGAAAGGGCTTCAACCTATTCAAGGGGATCCCTGTTGCCGAATGGGGAAATCACAAGTCTGCTGTCGCTTACGTCGGTCTGGGTGCATACATTGGCTACGCAGTCAGCCAAAACGGCCGAGGTACGTGACGATTCGACATTCTCAAAACCAACCAAAAGAGTTCCAAGCATAGAACAAATCTAACATACAGACAGGACACATTTTGGGGCACGTAAAGGATCTTGGGGAGGACAGCACTGCCATTCACAAAGTGCGCATCTACAGAACCAATGCTCGCCAATTCTTCCACGCCGACCCCTGCGACATTGTCGGCCTCCTCTGTATCACCAGAGCTCAATCCGGTGGCGAGAGTGACGTCGCTTCTATTCACAACGTCTGGAACATTCTCCAAGCAGAGCGACCGGATATTGCTGAACTGCTCACCCAGCCAGTCTGGTACTTTGACCGCAAGGGCGAGGTTTCCACAGACATCGACGAGGACCCATACATTCGCACTGCTGTCTTCTACCTCGAGACCCCTGACCCGAACAACCCGGACCGTGAGCAGCGCGTGTACTGCAAGTGGGATCCTTACTTCGTGCGCAGCCTGACACGGTTCTCCGACGCCGGAGTTATCCCCCCTCTCTCTCCGGAGCAGCAGGAGGCTATCAAGGTCCTGGAGGATACCTGTCAGAGGGTCAGGCTGCACATGATCCTCGAAGTCGGCGACATCCAGTTTGTTAGCAACAGCCACACTCTGCACGCGAGAACCGAGTATACCGATTTCCCTCCCGAGAGCGGCAAGCCTAAGCGTCACTTGATGCGTCTCTGGCTCTCTACTCCCGTGAGCGAGGGTGGTTGGTCTCTACCATTCTGGGATGCGAACGAGAAGAAGCGAAGTGGAATCCAGGTGAATGATACACCTCCTGTGGCTCGTCTTGATGCGGATTAAATAGGTTTTGTGCATGGCGAGATGGTAAAAACGGCTTGCGAGAGTGCTTTAGGAGGAAGTTGAAAGGAGACGTGTATATTCGTACCTCCCAAGCCGGTCATCATGAAGGATTAGACCATCCATCCCTTTCTACCTACTGTACCTATGGAATGTTAATGGAGGTAAAGAAAATGAGGAGCAACTATATGTTCTGAGGATGATCAAAATTCTATCTCCTCTTTCGTGAGTTAAATCTCTCGTTTCTACATTGTATGTTCTAAGGTAGCAAGGATGATTAACATACAAGCTAGTTAAATTGTAAAGCTTCACCACTCAATTAATTCCTGTGCTCATCATCTCTGCTGAATTATCGCTTGGTTTCTATGTTTATTGAGCTATGACGTCAAGTGGAAATAATCTGTGAGGTAGGTACCCAGTGCTTCAGTGGCAGGAAGTAGGCGAGGGATGTTGCCTGATAATTCAGGTTGAGGAAAGGCAGGATGGCACAACTCGGGCAGGTGCGAAGCACGGATAATCATCTGAATGATTTCTGAGAAGCCTCCCACCAACACCTTTTATTTCATTCATCGCAATTTGACTCTCTACTGCCAATATCGATTTTTCATCCCATGAGAAACATGCTGCAACAGCACAAAGACGAATTTTCCAGGCTCGAGCCTGTAGACACCACAAGTCACTTGTGACCACCCTCATTGGAAAAGTTGTTCCCTTGGATCTAACTCGTAACCGCACACCGAGATGCACCTGAGGTCGAACACAATGTACGAACTCTTTATTTGAGGTCGTCAGCGAAAGTCAGCACGGTCTCGCCGCCCGTTCTATCTTTTGGGATTACATATCACCTACGTTACCAACCAAGGCAGCGAGACACGGCTCCTCACGGCTGTGCACGCTAGGAACATCCCTACTATGAGCACATTTCATCACTCTATGGTCGACAGTCGACGGCTACGGCACCCTGAAAAGAGGTAAAAGATTTGTCTTTCTCTACAGATTTCGAAACCGGCTAATGTATCCTAGCTCAACCTGACACGTGGGCCTCGACTCACTCGATTCGCCAGCTGGCAACTCCTTTCAAAAAGCAGATAAAACAATCACCTCTGAGAGTCGTTTGAAGTTGGAAGGACCTCAGTGTGGGTTGTTTTTGAACACTTGTCAACACAAAGCAGGGCCTGGAATTCCAGCTGTACGGTTGAGAGTTGGAGAACAAAGCAAAAACAACAATGGGAGAATCCAGACCCCGGCATCTCAACACAACACAATGAATACGAAATGTTTCAAAGCAAGATCTTCTACCTTTAGACTGCAGACACGCATAGGGCCAAACAGAGGACACAATTTCCGTTGGGGTGAGCCGCTCGTCAAATCATTATTTATTCCGCCCTCTTTCACCTCGCCTCACACCCCGAGGCCTACAAGTCTCCCAGAGGGGTGAGAGCGTCCGAGCATGAAGTTTTAAAACAATGAAGATGCCAACAACGACATCTCAACATAATGAATACGAAAGTTTCCAAAAGGCCATTGCTAGCCCCAAACTGCAGTCATGAGGAAGGAAAAGTCTTTGAACCTTCATACCGATGACTCACTTGCTGTCAGGACGATCCGCTCGTTGAATGACTACTTAAGCTAGCCTCTTTCATCTGACTACAAGTCTCCCAACAGCAGCGCCTACACGTGAGCCCCCTACTTTCAATTATGCATGTACGTGAGAGTTGCATTTTACTAATAAATATCTAGTGTTTTTTGGCGAGGCCAAAATCGAGCACCTAGTGAGATTTTGAGTATAAACTAAGAACACAGCAAACGAACTAAGAGAGCCATACAGTTGTGCGGCAGCTACTAATACAAAGGAGAGGGGATTCCCAAAACACCAAGAATTTAACAGCTCAATACTATACCCAGTATCACAAAATATCCAAGAACACAGGAATAGAAGATGCCAGATCTGACATCTCAGCATAACGAATACAACAAGTTCAAAACAGCTTTACTAATAGAAACGATTGTTAGCCTTGAAAAACACAATGAAAGAGAACAAAGTGAGGGGCCCCGAGGTCTACGAGTCTCCCAACAGCAACACTATACATGTGAGCCCCCCCCCCCCCTCTGCCTTCACATGACGCATTTACGCGGGAGTTGCATGAGACTAATAAAACATTGCAGTGCTTTCCGCAAGGCCGGGATATATAGAGTAACCAATACTCCCACCTCACACCCCTGGCAAGCCAGAACAGCAATTCTGTAGGGCGCAAGCATTCCGCCTCGCCGAGCTTGACACCATACTCAGTATCACAACACGCTCAACTTCAGCAGCTACAAGGCTTGCGCCCGGCCGTACATAAGGTTCAATACCAACAATGGCTCACGAGGCACTTGTGACCATACCACATTGGAAAAGTTGTTTCTTTGGATCCAACTATAAAACTTCCTAAACCCATTCTTTCTTTTGTTGGGTTGTAGGGCTCTGGCATCTTCCATTGCTGTTGAACTTTATACTCTCAACGTACGTATGCCAAAGCACGGAGCCATGTGCTACCTATAAACCAGTCCTAACTGTAACTCTGAAATTCCTTCTCCAGACTATGAGACTCAGCGCAAGTTCAACTTGCCTCCATCGATCCGTATCCAGTTCACTTTGTTCGACTCTGGACGGGACCCCGTCAGGGTAAGTAACGATTCTATCCCGCACTATTAAAATGTGATGTGTTGTGATACTGGGTAAGGCATCAAATTGTTGTATTCTTGGTGTTTGGGAATTCCCTCTTCTTTTTTTCAGCAGCTGCTGTATAACTGCATATCTCTCTCAATTACTACTGGATTTCCTTCTCTTCAGTGAGTACCAATAGCCCCTTGGCTTCGGCAGCTGGCAACTCCATTAAAGGTCAGATAACAGCCACTCCTCTGACCCTGACGAACAGACCTCGGTCATGGCTTTTTTTTTCCTGGAATAATTCTGGAAACAAGAGTCCGGAACTCCAGCTTTTCCCCTTTCCAGTTGTTCAGTCGAGCTACTAGCTACAAGTCAAACCCTTACAAACTAGGGATCGCAGAGAATATCATTAATAGTGATTTAACCACCATGATGGAGACAGAACGGCGGGTGAGGGAGTTTCAGTACAATTTCAAATGAAGAAAAAAAGAAAAGAAAAAGAAAAAAAAAAAGAAAGGAAAAGAAAAGAAATGCCAGATGCCAGATCCGACATCTCAGCACAAGGAATAGGGGAAGATGGGAGGGATCTGTGGATTGACCAGCCAACCTCCACCCTTGCGCGAAATAGGGACAGATTCCCGTTCGCACGGAGGTATGGTGCATCAACCAGAGGCTGTTTTGGAACCAGCTCACGTTCTTTATTTATTACTACTGGGCTCACCCAGGCCTTCGCTCCCTCGGCTTGCAGTGTACGGCTCCGCCAAGCATCGAGTTGCAGCCTCTCAGCATTAGCAGCACGGAGCTCATCTTGGAGACCTGCTGCAGTTATGAGTCCGCAATCTCCACGCCTTCTCGCGGAGTCCCCCCAGCGCAACTGTACTCGAGACTGAACCTCTGGTCGCCCTGACACATGCGGTCCAGGATGAGGAGCTGGCCAGGTTGTAGAAAAAGAAAAGGCCAAATATCTGTCAGTCTCATAGCAATGGAATGCCCATGGCAGCAACTTCGATGCACTAGCTAACCAAGTCTATCATAGATCATTCATGGGAGAGAGAGTTTAATCATAAAGTTGAACAGCAATAGAAGATGTCAGACCCAATATTTCGACACAATGAATACGCATACATGACCCAAGAATTCCCAAGATGGGGTTTCGCTGATCAAATCAATATGTTCTGAAACCTGTCCTTGACCTAGAAGTAATCTTTGACTAAATAGTCAAGGATTCGTTGAATGGGTCGCTAAACGATGGATTAGAGAGGATATTTTGCTTTGAGGCTCACGGTTACGGAAGAGATTTCGAGTATTAAGTTACATTTACAACGATAACAGATACTAGACCTAGCCTGTGTTGCTCTACAAAGTTCTTCGTGGATACCGCATTTACCGTGTATCTCCCGCGCTCTGGGTGGCCGAGAGGACATGGGGACGTCAACTACTTCAGAACAACTGTTTCAGGGGACTGGGATGTAGACTGGCTGTTGCTGTGACAAGATAAAGATAGTGCTTACATGTCTTGGAACGATATTTCGACCCGGTTGAAGAAGTTAGTCTATAGTGGCACTGTGCTGTGGCTTGTGTGGGTTGCTTATTGCTGCTGCCAATAGTCATAACATACTTGCATGGATCAATAAATGACTCCAACCAATGCCCCTCTCCTTCCTTAGCTCCTTAGCACTGGCATCAAACGAACAGTGAAGTTGGCTCATTCGCACTGGAGTAAGCACAATTTCCCCCACCATCAGCAGCATCTCCACAGTCTCACCGTCATCCTGCTTTTTTCCTCTCGCCATCTTCAATGCCTTTACACACACCTTGTACACTAACAGACTTTCGACAAAATCAAAGGCTTGGATGCATTCGTCTTGATTATGATTGATCTGTTCCCAAATCTGGGGGCATTGGCTGCCGTCGCCACGGAAAACCGCTCCACCATCTTCACCGTCCTGCTCGGCGCGGTATGTCATCCTGTTCCAATCAAAATGTCTGGATTTGCAACGCTCACCATCCGCAGATCCCAGTCTACGCCACGCTTCGCTGCTTCTACCTACTGTATTTGCACCCTTTGTCGCGATTTCCCGGGCCTCGCCTTGCCGCTGTATCCAACACCTGGTATGCCTATCACTGGTACGTATTCTCCAGCCATCACACAGAGGCCCTCGGTTAACATACATCTTTCAGGCTTTCCGGGAAGTGGCCTTGGGCCATAGAGAATGCCTTGCGCGAGTACGGCGACGTCGTACGCATTGCGCCAAATGAACTCGTCTTTTTCACGCCCCGGGCATTTCACGGTAAGACGACTGCGCCACCACCGTCGTTCTGCCCTCTCATCATTAATCGATTATGGACAGATATCTACCAGTCTGCCCAGAAAGGACTTGAAACATTCGTCAAGTCCGACTTTCAGAACCGAGGCGATGATCTAGGGGGCGTGGTGTGGGAGGAGGACCCTGTGCGTCACCGAGCGGTGGCCAAGCAGCTCGCCCCTTTGTTCACTGCTCGCCACATACGATCCATGGAGCCCGTGATATCGAAACATATCGACTACTTCATCAAACGGCTTAGAGAAGTTGGTTCAGATGGGGTTGATATCTGTGAATGGAGCCACTGGTACAATATGGATCTTGCCGCAGACTTATCATGGAATGAGGAGACTCATCAGATGAGAGACGGTAAGTTCTCATGAAGCTTCGCCCGGTGCTTTTTACAATTACTAATAGGTTTCGTCACAGAAAAAAGATCTATTTATCTAAATGTTCTCCTCGGGTTCAACAAATTCGCCACCGTCATACAAGTCTTCAAGCGGTTCCCCCTCATAAAACCACTACAGTACTGCTTCCTGCCCATCAGCAAGATATCGAGCATCGCGCAGATCGAGGCGGCAGTGAAGAACGGTGTCCTGCAACGAATCGAGAGACGGGGCACACTCGAGCATCCCGATTACTTTGACTGCATCCTCCCTGGCGAGAAGCCGCTGCCAGCAGACAGGAAGGAAAGCTACTTGATTGGTTCTCTTGCGTTGCAGGTCATGTTTGCCAACTTCGGTGCACTTTCCGACTGGCTATACGGCACAATCTACTTACTGACGGATGATGAGGGGCAAGAATGCTACAAGGAACTGGTTGCCGAGATAAGGGGCGCATTTGAAAGCTTTGATGACATCAACGCAACAGCACTCACATCTCTACCCTACCTACAAGCATGCCTTGAGGAATCACTGCGCTTGATCCCTGGTGGTCTCCACACAGGATTGCCTCGTCTAAGCCCCGGCGCTACGGTTGACGGCCACTACGTTCCAAAAGGGGTATGTGCTGTGCGCAACTGACAACATTCTTCTAATCCTAACATCTCATCTAGACTCACGTTCAGTCGAGCATATTCGCTCAATCCCGTAGTCCACGATACTTTCACGAGGCGAAGAAGTTTCGACCTCAGCGATGGCTCCCTCCCACTCACAAACTGTACGACCCGGCCTTCAAGGACGATGTTCTGAGAGGGGCGTCTCCCTTTAGCTTGGGACCGCGGGCCTGCTCAGGTCGCGAGACTGGTTGGGTCCAGGGTCGGTTTATCGTCGCGAAACTCTTGTGGACCTTTGACATTGTCAGAGTGCCCGGCCAGGATATTGACTTCGACAGAGATTTCGTCCATTTTGGCTTTCTGGACAAGCCTGAGCTGAAGGTGAAATTTATTCCACGGTTTGATTAATCTTTTATGATGGGAAATGCCTCTCATTGTGTTATCTTTCAATGTATCTTTAGGGGCTAAGAGTTATCAATCTTGAAGCTATCTTCTATCAAGCTCGAACACCTCCACCTCCCTTTCCTCTCTGCATGTCATCAGGCTGCCGTACTCGTTCTTCTTGTTCAGGGCATACTTCCGTAGTGGCCTGGCCTTGGGCATGAGGAAATTCCACCGCTCAATTCCTCCCACTTTCAAGTGTCTGATGAGCCCAGATAGGAAGAACCAATGTACCAAGGCATGCCCTACATCTTTGAGGAAAGGGAGTATAAGATCCCGTTCATCTTTCGCCCCAATCGTTTAGAGGTCGTCGTGAGCCTCTATGCGGTGTGTTGGATGCACGCAAGCTGTGGGAAACCCTAGAAGATTCACCCGATACTCCCGGAGGCACTTCAGGTCGCAACTCGGAGGCCATCTCGTATGTATTGAGACCCCCTTCTTGTCTTCACCGTAAAAAGGCGAGCGTAAAATGAGAGTATGTTCAGCTTGGTCAATATCTTGTCCAATGTAGACAGATGACGATCTTCGATACGAGGAGACTTTCGGTGTGTAACTACTCGCGCTCGAGCACGGTGTTTTCTCAGTAGTATGTGTGTAGCGGGATATTATTGTGGCCGCTCTGGGTAGGCTGGCTTGGAGAAATTGTGTGCCCCAAGCCCAAATTTCGGACGTCATCCATCCACCAAGCCCATATCAGCAGCAAGGTACCGAGAAAACAGGAATACAGGGGTCGGAGTCTATTGGGAGGCTTCGCCATCGTGGGACTTTCTCTCTGACTTTCTCTCTCTCTTGGTTCAGTTTGGGGGTATCGGTCAGTTGACGCGGTCCCTGTTGAGGTTATGGTGAGAGGTGTTCCCGGTAGCGTCAATATATGGGCGGCACTTACCATTCGTAGTATTTGTACAATTTTTATGTGGTTTCGACGCTTTTTCTGGCGACCTTTTCTAGGTAGTGCGGAAGTGAAGCTGAAGTGGAGTGGAGTGGGAGAGCTTGGTGTGAAAAGCCGTTCTATTTCCCAGGAAGAAAGAAGGCCACCCAGGGAGAGAAAAAGAAAGAAACGAGCAGGAAGAATTTACTTGTCTTGGGAGGGGAGTATGGAGAGAAGCTACTCTTGAGGCTGGGGCGGTAGAGAAGGTGGGTGGAGATTCGCTATCTCGAGAAGAGGCAAAACGCCCGACAGCACAAGTAGATGGAACCAGACGACAAGATAATGAGGATGACGTGAAAATGCTTATTTCTTCTCATATTTGCTACTTCAAGATTTACAGTTATCTAGAAGTGAATTCAAGCCTTCAAGGAAGAAAAACGCGAGCATCTCCGCTCCAAAACACCACAACACCACGAAGCGACGTGACGAAGCCTCGGTGTCTTGAATCACAACACGCCACGCAGTCGTCTTTGAACACAAAACCAACATCACTTTGCGTGTAGAGACACCACATATCAAATCGTAATTTTATTTCTTCTTAATTTGGGACAGCCATCTCGTAATTCCATCATACCATCTAGACAAGCGGCTCACCATCCTTCTCACCTCACTCACGAACTGGGATCCCACGCAACGACTTCTTCCAAGGCCAGCGTCACTATGTCCCAAAGTCCCTCACCACAAAATCTCTCAATAGGAATAGAGCCCAAGCTTCTTCTTCACTATGACGGCAAGCCGCCAAGAGCAATGAAAAAAAACAAGCTGCGTCGCCTGGAGGCAGTGTAATACCAGGCACACAGTTTTAGGTCCAAAAATTTCTTCTACGAATACCACAACTATCTCCCCAAGACACCAATACATACCTTTTGGGGTGAAGAAGAAGAAAAGAAAAGCCAGATGCTTGGAAAGTTGGCGAGCATTTATACTTGCCTGAGGGCGGTGTGTAGAGGAGTGATTGGCAGAATTTCCTCCCCCAAATCAGTGATTGCTCAGATCACTGCTCAGATCAGTGATTTGGAAAATCACTGAATTTCCTGATTGGGCCTGACGTCAGTGATTTTTCAGATCGGTCCTTAGATCAGTGGTCTTCTCAGATCGGTGCCAGTGCCTCAGGTCAGTCATGTGCCTCCGCAGTCCTCTGAACCGTGCTCTCGTGCCCAGGCAGACCACTGCCTCCCCTTCTTGTCGTTCATTATTTAGGGGCCCTCGTATCATGGTGATCGTTGAGGCCTTCTAGCTTCGTAGTATTGCATGCCAGGTTTACACACAGGTGCTCTTTCGTCCCCAGCAATAACCACTCAATGTTGCCTTGGAGGTCTCGGGGCCCAGATTTTCTAGTGATATTCTTGCCAGCTTGCTTTTTTTCTATTGCTGTAAACTCAGTTCAAATGGCTCCGCAGATAGTCGCCAGCTCACATTGATTTTTATGAGCAATCTTGGCAAGGGCCTCCTTTTTTCAATCGTGTACCTTCTCCTCCATGTTATTGAACTTGATCTTCGATCGTTGCAGCATATCTTTGCCAAAGGAATCCATGAGGTGCTATCTTCTGCATTTTCTCGCACAATTATTTCACCAGGATGCATGGTAATCAACACCTCTCCTTAATCTATACACCTAACTCAAACCTTTCCATTCATCATCGACCTCGTATCAAGGTTTTGACAAGCTATGCAATTTCATCCATTACGTTGTCATGATGCTGAGCATGAACGCATCGCAACCTGCATTCTACCTACCCTATACCAATCAGCGCCTCATTCCTCACTCAGATAGTGTGGTTTCAGTAGGTACGCCTAGAAGCATAATAATTTGAGATAGATGATTCGGCGCCGTTCATGGATGTAATCTTTTATCAAAATGCGATGTGCCTACGTGACCAAGCGCTGACATGAAACATGGCAGACCCAAAACCTGCATCGTTTAGGCTGCATTTCAACACAATATCAAAACAATTAACTTGATAGCCAAAATAATACTAAGCTAAATGTTGTAGAAAAATATATAATTAATTCATTATCACCTATTTTTAGTATTAATAATGAATTGAGATCCTTGATTTGCGTGGACAGAGCTTTGTGTGCCATTTTTATGTCAGTCGCTTAGAAGTTTCTGGTAACAGAGTACAGGGTGGCTGCGGTTCACGTTCCGTACATATATTAAATGTTCACCAATCTCAAGATCTATTTCTGTGCGAGATCATAGTTCTCATACTTGTACTTGCTACCTTCGTGTTCATCAAGTAAACGTGTCTGACCAGCTCCGTAGATTCTCTCACGAATGGTGCCGCTTTCCCCTTGGGGAGTATAAATCCCCCTGCGACGGAGTTCTGGCACCAGTAAGTCGACCACATCCTCAAAGCTTCCCGGGCTGACAACATAGCCGACATTGAAGCCGTCCAAGTCAGCTATTTTGACCCACTCTTCGAGGAAGTCGGCAACTTGTTCGGGAGTTCCGACTGGAACAGGGCCGTTACCACCAATTGCCATGGCCTTGCCGATTGTCCGTGGTGTCCATGCAGGCACATCATCGCCGCGGTACTTCAAGCTGCTCACCAGTGACTGTATCCGACTGTCCACAGTCGAGTCTTCCGGCTTGATCTCCGTATCAAGGTCAAAGGTTGACAAGTCAATACCGGCATTGCCAGAGTAGAAAGCTAATCCAGCTTCAAAGCTGGCGTATTTGAGAGCCTTTTCATACTTGGCCTTCGCCTCTTCCTCCGTTTTGCCTAACACAGGCGTCACGATGGCAAAGACCTTTATGTTGCGAGGGTTGCGACCGAACTCGGCGGCCTTGGAGCGAAGCGCTGCAACACGAGGCGCAAGGATGTGTGGCGAGAGCCCGGAGAGCATCACACCCTCAGCATGCTTCGCCGCAAAAGCAATTCCCGCGCTATAAAATCACCAATTAGAAAACACTCATGTAAGCTCACGCCGGATATGGGGTTGCTAACGGTGAAGTCCCTGCTTGTAAGAGAAAGGGGGTTCTCTGTGGCGAGGGGTCGAGAATATGCGGCGCATTCAGGGTGAAGTTTTCGCTGTTGTGTTCAATCCACCGGACTCGGTCGGGATTTACATAGATTTCGTTCTCGGCGTCCTCTTTGAGTGCATCGTCTGCCCACGAACCTTCCCAAATTCTACATAAGCTGTTAGCGAGTTCCTCATCGTGATCTTAAGCATAGTAAAGAAGCGTACTTATAGAGAACTTTGAGATATTCGTCGGCGATTTCATAACGCTTGTCATGCTCTACGTAGGATAGGCCAACCTATTTGACTTGAGCAAGGCGCCGGAATAGAAATGGGGGACGACTTACAGCCTTGGATGCAGATGATTTGAACGAAGTGACGATATTCCAGCCGAATCTCCCCTTTGTCAAGTGATCAAGAGTCGAGAATCGCTTTGCAACAACAAAAGGAGATTCATAACTCGTGCTCGAGGTGATGATGAACCCAAGATTCTTGGTCACAGTTGCCATTGCAGTCACTGGCTAATATGCAGTTAGATCTCCGTTATGTCAACTTCATTCGGGAGCACGACATACGATAGAAGGATCTCCCATTGGGAACTGGACAGTTGACCTCAAGGTTGTCTCCGCACTTCCCTTGTAGACATCATGCTGGCCAAAGGTGTCGGCGATGACAAGCGCATTGATGTCACCTCGCTCGAGAACTCGGGCTAAGTTGGTCCAATAATCGAGATCTCTGCGCTTGGTCGAGGACTGATCATCATCTCTCCTCCATTGCCCGAAGGAGAGATGACTGGGGGTGAACATGTCGAATGCATTGAGAATGATGCGTCTCTTCGAAGACACATCGTGATTGGTGCCTTCACTCATGGTGACAGTCAGTGGTACCTTGCGGATCAGTAGTCAAGGTTCTCGCAATCTTGTGCGAAACTGACCAGCAGTTTCGTGAGGGGCAATATAATCCCAGACATCTAATGAACTAGACTGCCGACATCGGGTGGCCACAAATCCTGCATGGTGGGCTGGTTTCGATAGTCGAGCAGCTGGTCATGGTATAAGTAATGGCACAACCTGGAGCATCGATGGCGTAACCGCGGCCGACTGCTTCGCGCTCGCGTAGTGGCATGACTAACGTGTCACGCGTTTCGGGAGTTTTGGGTGCCAAGTAATGGACATTTGCGGTCCCGTAATTCCAGTCACTCACATTATTGTCCACCTGAAATTCGTCATTCTGATAGTGTCAAGTCGTGCATGCAGTACCGCACATTCAACCTGACGACACACGGTTAGACTTCACCCTTTCGCATGGTCCCCACAATGTGACTGACTATCGAAGTAAGCTTGTCTTCATGGATACCAGCTGAACAGCGACATGCTCTAGCCCAGACGAGTGGGGAGAAACTTATCGGGAGATTTTTGGAACAAGCTCACCCCTGACTGGATTGTCACTGGAGGTGTGTACGAAACTGTATGTACTGATGATATCTGATCATCCTAACTAACCCACCAACTCTCATGGTAGTCTCGCAGATCTATATTCCGATCAATCGCCTCAGCTCGAAGCCATGGTGTCAGATCCGTCTCGATATCATCTGGCCCGTCCGCAGCCAGCACATCTCTCCGCGTCCACCCATTTCCGAGCCAGGCAAACCTATTGCCCTGGCCATTGTGATACGTGAACTCGAAATCCTCCCATCTGGGGTCTTTCCGAACAATCGCTACATGGCCTGCACTGCCAGGCCAGATGCCTGTGATTCGACCACCTTTGATACCCCCGTTGTACCACGAGCTACAGTACTCGCTCATGACTGTTCTTGGGAAGAAGGCTTCACAATATGCCCTAAAGTCATCCGTGGCAGCTTGCGTGGGCGCCAGACTCCGGATGCCCTGTGTCACGGCTTTGCGCAGCACCTTGGCAATATAAGTGATCTGGATCTCTACCGAATGGCAAAGAGTGCCTGCAGGCCCTGTGGAGTTTGGCCCAACAATAGTGAGGAAATTAGGGAAGCCCGGTGCCGCAAGGCCTAGGTAGGAGTCTGGGAAGCCGGGAGAGCCCCCTGGACGCCATGCACTTTGGAGGTCGACACCATTGCAAATGACTGGGAATTGAGTACTGAACGTAATATCGTGGCCAGTGCTGCATACCACTGCATCAACCCCCCGGTGAATACCTGGGATATATGTTAGTCTCATCTCCTCCTTGCGCCGATCAAAGAAGCAACTTACCATCTACGGTGCGTATACCGGTTTCCGTGAATTCAGAGATTGGTTTTGTGACATATGAAACGTTTTCAGCAGTTAAGGCTTCCAAATACCCCGGGCCGGGCGTCAAGCGACGGCAATTTGGTGAGAATTCGGGCACAATTTCATCAATCAGCTCAGGCTTAGCAGCAAGTCGCCCTGCCATGAGCTTCCGGATGCTTTCCTCGGTGGCGGCATTCTTGTCACTGCCCTTGAATATACCACCAAACCGGCTGAAAAGCTTCCCCTCGAGCCCTTTCCGGAACTTCAGATAGTCTTCGGGGCTCTTCCGGGCCTGCTCGATCCCCTCAGCCACATAATCAGCCAGTGTCTCTCCGCCGATTGGGGCAGCGACCCAGGTCTTATTTCTCGCATAGTGGTCGAGATGCTTTGCCGCCTTCTGCAAGTGCGGCAGCACCTGAAGCCCTGACGCCCCGTTGCCAATGACGGCGATGCGCTTGTTGCTTGGATCGAAGTCTCGCTTCCAATCTGATGTATGGAAGATGTCGCCTTTGAAAATATCCATGCCGGGGTAATTGGGGAGCTTTGGATCACTAAAGTGGCCCGTAGCTGTGAGGACGAAGTTGGCCTCATCAATGAACTCTCCATCCTTGGTTTTCACACGAACGAGCCACTTCCCCTTTTCCTCAGACCATTCCGCGGATTTAACGCTATGCTCAAGACGAACAAATTTTCGCACCCCAAAATCGTCGGCAACTTTGTTCCAGTACTCATTGATCTCACCGCCTTGTGCATACGCCTCTGTCCATGATGTCGAGGGCGCGAATGTCGCCTGGTAAGCGTGAGCCGGGACGTCGCATCGGACGCCGGGATAGACGTTTGTGTGCCACACTCCGCCCTAGAGAAGAATACGGTTTCAGCCCGGGTAACCAATCGCATAGGTCTTTTAATGGGTAGCTTACAATGTCACTGTTTCTTTCATAAATGACAAGATCAAGCGCCGGCACTTTGGGAGGTAACAAAACTCCAGCGGTGATGCCACTGATCCCAGCCCCGATCACAACAACTCGCAAGCGTGGATATTCGTCAATAGGATGCTCCTCAAGGTCCAAGGGAGGCCAGACAGTTCTTGTGATTGGCACCTTCTCCTGTTCGCCACCCTTGGACTCTAGGTCCAGGTCAACGGTGCTTGCCGGTGCCATTGTGGAACGAACTGTAATTTCATGTGCTAACATTCAACGGCTGAGACAGGGAATAAGGCGGACTCACGAAGTTAATGAGTCTTTCTTAAGCCCGGAGCAGACTACTCATCTCACGGGGACGACCGAGTTGTCGGGTACCGACTCGAGCGCGCGCCCAGAAGCACGTAATCTGACACTATGGTTGCGACTGCGAATGGCAGGGTTCTGGACAATTTATGGAGGGACGATATCATGCAAAGATATCAGCGATATCGCATTGCCCATGAGTTCAAAGCCAATCAGACACATGCTCCTCTCAATCAAGAGTGATTACGAAGCATAACCTTTAAAACCGTGGAAATATCCGCAAGCCAGTCTTGTTAGCCACCTCGCCATCCGTCGTCGGAGAGAACTTCCCACCATTAGGACCCGCCCCGTTAGTTTCCTTTCCTTACTAGGAAGCTGGGCCAATCTAACCAGATGAGTTAATTGGGTGTGGGGAGACCTGAGAATAGGCAGGATGGCGACATGGTAAAGGAACGGGGTCAAAGTTTTCACTCACAATCACACCGTCTTGAATCTGATTTGACTACAAGGATGTTGATTAGACAAGAGTATGGTTTCGGGGGATCATTCCTTTGCGCAGCGGTGCTGGAATGCGGGAAAAGGGTTTCAGGGGCTAATATCGAATGAGAACGGTATAAAACGCCCACCTACCCTCCACTTCCCAGGGATGAATACACGAGTAAGGCGACAGTTGGCTAGTTGCACATATTGACTCGACATTGAAAGCTAACTATTAATTCAGCTACCTGGTGTACGAAGGCGTGCTCTGAACTATGCTCCGACCACGTGGGGGTTGGCGATGAGGTGATCGAAGGACCCTGTCTAGCGTCGTTGCATCAACTTACATATTTCACCTTGCATGTTGTCACACTTATTTTCTCGTTTTGGTTTCATGCGCAGAGTCGCTGAAAAAAGCAATCGTCAAGAACTCACCATGGCCACCGATACCAAGTCCCATGTTGTTGTGGCGTCTACCGCGACATCAATAGACCCAGAGAGCAATAATCCGGATCAAAAAGTATCAACATGGGAACGAATACGTGAGGTCATTTGGGATGGACGCCGCTCAAAGGAGGAGCGAAAGCTCGTCCAGAGACTGGACTTGTTCCTTCTGTGAGATCTATCGCTCATCGTTTCTCAATGCATGTGCTTACGTCAACTACAGGTCTTGGGCAACATTCGGATACTTTATCAGACTACTTGATTCGAGCAATATCAGTATGTTCAGCTGCCTGTTTAGCAAGAAATGAAAGAAATAATTTTAAATTGGAGTGTGCTGACTTGGACAGCCAATGCCTATGTCAGTGGAATGAAGGAAGACCTCGACATCAAGGGAAATGAGTACAACCTTCTCCAAACGTTCTTCACGTGTGGTTATCTGGTCGGCCAAATCCCTTCACAGATGCTACTAACCCGCAGTAAGTAGCTCAGCTATCTCGAAAGTCCCAAATGAACACTAACACGTGGGATCAAGTCCGCCCTTCCATATACCTACCCGCGGCAGAGCTTCTATGGACAATCATCACTTTCTGCTTTGCTAGCGTTCAAAATATACGGACCGTCTTCGCTCTTCGATTTATTCTCGGCATGCTGGAGAGTCCTTTTGCGGTCGGTGTTCTTACAATCATGGGCAGTTGGTATACTCCTCAAGGTAAGTGATAGACAAAGCCCCGCAGTTCTGCGACACATCATCATCTCTCCGCTAACATCTTTGGTCCTCACCAGAACTTTCAAAACGCATTGCCATTTTCTACTCCGCTAGTTATGCCGCCAGTATGTTCAGTGGCTACCTACAAGCGGCGATATACAGGGGCCTCGACGGCGTCGGGGGGCTTGCTGGCTGGAGGTGGCTCTTCATCTTCTGCGGTCTCATTTCAATTTGGGGTCCCCTATGGGGCTTCTATGCCGTTCCAGACAACCCTTACTCCTCAAAGGCGCGCTGGATGCCCGAAGAAGAAAAGAAGAAGCACGTGGAGCGCATGCAGAAGATCGAACGCCGGGAGCCTGAGCGCCTGACTTTGAAGAAGCTCAAGAAGATTGTTACCCACTGGCCGCTCTACGTGTTCATCTTTGCTCTCATGTAAGCCTTACACCTTGCTTGCGTTGCCGGTATTATACTCACCCAAGTTTCTAGATGCCATTGCGTCGTAACGCAGCCGTTGAACTACTTCTCAGTGTGGCTGAAGTCTCTGAACCAGTTCTCGGTCTATCAGATCAATCTTTTCCCCACTGCGGCTCAAGCCCTGGGCTTGGTGACCACACTTGCCTACTCGTGGCTCTCTGATGGTTTAAACAAACGCTGGCAGATACTTGTCATTCCCGCAGTATGTTATTAGCCCCAGAAACTTTAGCAGTTAGAAGACATCTTAACTAATATCGCAGACTATTAACTTTGTGGGCATGGTTATTGTTGCCGTTGGCCCTGGCTACGGTGCCACCTTCTTTGGATACCTGATCAACGCGGCATCATGGGGTTTCTGGCCCGTTCTCTACGTAAGACAGCTATGACTTCTTCCTCATCATTACTATAAGTCGGCTAACAATTCCTCAGGCCTGGGCAATTGAGCTTATGAGCGATGATATGGAGGAGCGTGCGATTGTCATCGGAGTTGCCCAAACGTTTGGACAAGCCTTCATTGCATGGGTTCCAGGTAAGCTCATATATATCCCCTTTCCGTTTATTAACACAGCTAACGTTTCATAGTTGTGATCCTCGACGTCGGAAAATACGCCCCCAAGTTCACGATGGGCTTCAGTGTCATGTGTGGGATTTCGGTGCTGCAGTTTGCCAGCATCTTCATCATCAAGTTTGTGAGCGAGCGCTACAGCGTAAAGAGAAAGCACGGGAATGAAACTCTCCCGGTGGACTCTGCAGAATCAGATGTTGATAAGCAGAGCAACTAGAAGCGGTTATCTTTGGAACTACTTTGTGTTAGATTCAGCATTCAACCACGGGTCAGCGAGTGTTCTCTTGTACTGGATTCCGACGCTTATGAATCCAGTAAGATACATAGGTTAGACATGTGCAGACTCTACTGCGGCTCCCGTGTCTAGGTTTGGTAAGGGAAAAAAACCAATCAACTGACATAAAATATAGCACGTGTTGAATTTCAACACAATATCGGAATAGTTAATCTAGTAATAAATTCTAAATCAAGATAAATATCACAGAATAATTCCTTACTGTCTTATTATTGTGTCTAGCAATTTGGTGCTTATTAGGGAGTGGGCTGGTAAATCACTTTTAGAAAGGCAAGTTTCAAGGGAGAATCGAAGACTCCTTTTCATGTCCGCAGTCTCACGCTATGTAAATTTCAGATTGCAAAGCTACCGCCCAGCCTTCTTTCCGGATCCCCTTCATTCTTAACATCTTCGATCTTAACACCTTCATTCTTCTGTTTGTTCGGAGACATCTTCTTTTTGAGGGCGTTCTCTCGAGCTTTTATGACCTGGCGCGAATGATTCACATCACGAGAGATGGCGCGCAGCCGGGCGAAAGCCTGATTCACGTTGCCCACTGCAGTACCAATAATCTTGCGAGCCGTCTGCAACTCGGCCATCTCCAATGCGGCGAGGGCCTCCTGACCACCAACCAGGTCTCGCCGGGCAGCAAATACCTTGGACACGGCGATCACGAGGGGTAAAAAGGCCCTGAGTTCAGAGTGCAGCCACGCCGCGTTCTCGTGCGTAATTGAGTTGTCCTTCCAGATAGCACGCATCGCTTCAGTATGGTACGGAAAGAGGGCGGCGCCTCCGACGTCCTTCACGCTGACCTGCCAGTTAATGTCAGGCATCCCACCCCCAAACGCCCAAAAGTCGTACTGCGCCGCCTCCGCAGCCGTCATTCTTTGCTTGGCGATCATGACAGGGTCGCGGCCCGAGTGAACTGCACGCTTGTATCCGGTGCGAACAGCCAGGCTGGCGCCCTCCTCCACAGCCTTGGAGAGAGCTCGTAGCTTAAGGGCGGTCGTCTGCGCATCGTCGGTCGGTTCGGGTGTGGGCAGGATGCTACCACCGGGCTGCGGACCGGCGTGGTAATCAATCTCCTCGCCAAACGTGTCCTTGAAAGATCGTTGCGCCATGGTAGAATGTTGGCGTTGTCGTAGAATAGTTTCGGGCCTGAAGTACCTGGCTAGTTTGGTATTGATGGTAGTTGGAGTCGAAAAAAGTTCCGGACTTGGTAGGAGAAATAATGTGGGCAGAGATTTAATAAATACTAAATTTCTTCGAGGGGAATAGATTCGCTTATTGTTCGCCGCCTTGGTATAAATAATCACAATCTACCAACAATAAAACCAACAATAAACCTTTATTGTTTTTGAAAGAAAAGGTGCAAGAAACAGCACCAGTTGCACCAGGTCCTAAAGAGCAGTATTCATAAACGATCTTCCTAGCAACCCCAAGCTTAATTACAGACTCTAACTCCCTGAATCATGCATGTAAATTTAGAAAGTAGCCTTCTCTAGCATCACTCAAACACCTTGTCGCGTCTCTCTAGGACGGACCTTTGTGCCAAGAGATCATAAATGCCATTAATATCCTTGAGAAGACTGTGATCGATGCTCTTAGGTTACGCCTGGATCGCAATCTGGTCCACCCCCACTATCTTCTCCGTAAGTATATCAAGGTTTGTTAACTTGAAAGCCCAAGATCATCGAGAGCACATTGCGTTTCCATTTGTTGCTGAAGTGATCTACTCGGCCCACTTTCGAAGCACCAAATGAAATAACAGTCGTAATGAAGCGGGCCGAGAGAAAGCTATACACACACATGCGACCCACAAGCACAACAGCAAAGGCATACAGCGACTATCGCGTTAAATAATAGTATCATCACCTGAATTTCGATTCACCGTCGGGATGCTTCCTCGTTGCGAGGGAAGAAAGGGGTTGAGAAGCAAGGGAGTCTTTGATGGGGAACATGACGATTTGTTATAGAATGGGTCCTTATTACGACCACCACCAGCTTCAATTAAACAGAGGCAACACAATCAGTCACAAGTTAGGTTCAAGCCTGTATAAAGTAAAACGCGTGTCAATTCGTCAGAAGGCGGCAGAGCTTGCCGTTATATGGGAGTTCTCCTTAATCTCCAAGCCTAGCCCGGCTTTTCAGGAATGAGCACCCAATTTCCTGCCTCAGTAATCTCTAAGTCTTGACTTCTCGAGTTCGTAGTAAGCCGGGAGCGCCCACTTCTGCATCCACTCCGACTTGATCACTTCGCTAATCGTTGAACGTGACTCTGGTGCGAACACAAGCATCGATCGAAACATTTCGAGGAGCGCTCGTTCCTCTTCTGAGTCAAACAACGGCATCTTCTCGGCGGCTCTGGACTGTTGCATGCTAATCTTGAACTTATCCTCGAGCGTCTCGATCTCGTCGTCTTCGTCTTTGATCGGTTCCCCAGCTTCCGTGAACCATTCTCCCCGTTTCTCCCAACGCTTCCACCAAGCCGGAAGTAGGGGCGTCAGTGTTTCGATCTGCTCGGCGGCGATAGCGTCCTCATCTTGGAAGAAGCTCTTGAAAAGCGGTCCATGGCCGAGAAGCTCCCACATGGAGCACGCGAGCGTCCAAATGTCGGATGGCAGGCCAAGGGGTTGGTTCGGTTCGAAGCGAGCCTCGGGTGCTCGTAGGAGCGTCGGTGTGCAGCACTCAAACTTCTTCTCCTTGTCCGGGTAAAAGGCCTCGCCAAAGTCCACAAGCATGACCTGGGCGTCGGGAAGAAGGATGTGTTCACTTTTGCTACCCAGCCAGACTGGCGGGATACCGTGGGTCGGAATGCCGGGCGGGAGCGGCTTTCCCTCGACGTGGACTACTTCCTCCCGCTTGGGCTGACCATAAAAGTCGTACAGATCCTTTTGGGTCATGTGGCTCATGTCAGATGTCATTCGAAGTGCTACGTTACCGAGATGCAGATCTGTTCACCGGTTAGTTAGGCAGGATAACATGAATGGGTAAGATAGGTACAGACCTCCGTGTGCTAGGCCATGCTCGTGTAGTGACGAGACAGCAAGAGCCATCTGTGCGGCCACAGCTCTCGCAACGTCAAGCTGGAAAAGCTTACAGTCAGATGCATTAAGGGCGTCTCCGACGGTCATCCGAGCCGGGATGGTCGTATAACATGGCTGCTTGCCGTTAGGGCCTTCCAGCGTGAATCGATCCAGAAGAGGGGGTAGGAATCGGCTCTTAGGAGCTACTTTCTCCAGAATGCTAGCCTCCTTAAAGCTCGCGTCTGCCGTTCCAATTTTGAGAGCTACATAGCGCCATTTGAGGATGTCATTCGCCAGCCAGACTGTTGAAAACGTTCCGTGGCCAAGTTTGTGAACGATGCGGTACCGATCATTATGTAAACTGTCATGGATGTTAACAGCATGATAACCTCCAGGTGAGTATCTTCCCATGCGTTCCACGCCTTTTATGGGTGCAATCTCCCAGCCTGGTGGGAAATCAGTTGCTTGAGAAGACAGGGTCCGTGTTGAGGGGATTCGAGACGCGTGTCGGAAGGTTAGGGGTGCTAAAGACGGAGGCCTCAGCAGAGAGGCTCTGAGCCTCGTGATGAAAAACATGGGGCTCATGCTTTTTGTTGATGTTGTTGCGTGGAAGGTTTGTTGCGTTTGAACAGTTTGTGAGCAGCGGTGTAATAACCGAAAGGGAAACCTCAGCCTGATTAGCCAGGCAACAACAATCTGGGCAGCTGGCCCCGAGCCATTAACGCCCACGTCTTACGCCGGATGACGTAGTGATCGGTATTAACATTCGTTATTTGCCTAGATGAACCATTCAATAGCCGAACGTTACATGAGTAGGTCTGTATTGTTTCCAGACATTGTATGTTTAGTCTCAAACCAAGTCCAGCCTCTTGAGTTCACGAATCTCTTGAAGACCCATATTCGTGGGCCGTACAAGCTCTCTTTAATGTAGCTTGCTTTTCCTTGCACTCTATACTGGTTTCCGGTGCATAAAATGCCCCTTGGTCAAGAATGACAAATTCCAAAGAGCTTGTACAAGCGAACACTAGAAAGATTGTATCATTGACTCCCTATCTCCAGAAACTCCTCATAAGACGGGCAGGTTTCATCTCTCCCTCATTGTTTTCTTTGTGGCAGATCTTCTCGATGACTGAGTGACTTCAATCCTCCAAGACATATGCCTCATCTTGAGTCCCAACGGTAGCATCCCAGAGACAGTCAACCCTACATGGCTACGGGTAGCTAATGTCACCTTGTCTCCCTTGCTGTTCCATCACCCTCTCACAATAATTCTGCGTATGTTACCTATGGGCAGAGTCATAGTTCTGCCCGAGCTAGGTAGTATAAGTTTCAATCTCCATATAGCTTCCCCAGACCTCACGTAGCTCATTGCAAGGGATGCAGTCCTATATCGTCCTCTTGATACAAGTGACCAACGCCAATGTTGATTAGTACACATTACCACTCCGTAGAAGCTTCTCTTTTCCTTTTTTAAGGATCGACCTTCCAGGGCGTTTAAGTGATGAGCCTGGCTTCTTCTTTGGTGCCTTTTTGGGACTGGCTGGTTTCTTCGGCGACGCAACTTGTTTCTTGGGTACTTCGCTTGGTTTCTTTTTGGCTGACCTGGCCTTCTTCGGTTTCTTGGCCGCTGTCTTCGGCGTCGCGTCCGGCTTCTTCGCAGCTGGGGCTGGATTCTTTGCCGCCGCAGATGCTTTCTTCGTTGATCTTCTTGCTTTCTTGTTTTTGATTCTTCGCTTTCTTCGCGTCATGCGACTGACACCTCCGCTCGTAGTCGACGAGGACGAAGAGACTCTTCGGGCCATCCGAGTAGAATCGGAGAACGACCGCCTTCTCACCTTTCGTTGTCGCCGGCGAGCCTTGACACGAACATAGTTGGTGACCGTCGGTTCTCTCTCTGTGACGCCACTTGTGTCGGCCTCTTCCTTATGCTGTGAAAAGACATCTCCACAACATAAAAGAATTGCTATGCCAGTCAATAACGAGCCCTTCATTTTGACTAAGGACGATATAGTTGTTTAAAGGCGTAGACTGAGTTGGAATATCGATTCGTGGTATCTGAAAAGGCCCAACGACTTCGAGCGGATGAGCAGCTAATACTCAATGCGAGCTATACCGATCGATCTACCGAGACTACATCAGGTAAGATGTTAGCATGATAGTCTCATGTGGGTAGCAGGTAGTATTTTTATGAAGCGATTTTATAAACGGAGTATAAATAGCAATGCACCCATTTTTTGTTGGCCGCCTGTCCTATTGGAGCCTCTTTGACGTACCTTAAAGTTGATCACAAGAATGACTCTTCGGCGAGGCCACTTACAGGGCGGTCTTCGATGGTGCACCAAGTGGGCGTGACAAAAATGTTGCGGCCTCTATACAAGCAATCTGAGAAAATTTTTGCCGTTAAGAATCGAAAGCACTGTCCGCAAACTCTACTCACAAATGTTGAGAGCGGAGTCGATGTGCGGGAGAGAAAGCGGCAGAGAGGAAATGTGCCTTCCCCAACCACGTGAAGTGGGGAGAATGACCTACCCTAGACCGTAGCTCTCACTCTCGCAAACGACAGTCACTTTGCACCACTCCCGTCACCCACGGCCAAACCTCTATTTAGGCAAGGAACTCTCGATATATCCCAGATACACCATGCAGCAACTCCGCAATATTACCCTAGTGCCTAATCCTACTCTTTCCTCGCCGGGTGAGGTTTATCAAAATCACGTTTAGACGAATCATATGCAAGGAATCCACACAGCATCTCTTGGATGCCGCAAATGTGCATCCCAACAGTCCCCTGCATGGTAAGCAATCGGCTAATACCCAATTGTATTGCTACCCCGCCACCGATTTTCCCCACCTCGGTCGTTCTCTTCGCCTTTCCATCAGCGTGTCGGCAAATCTACGATGTGTGATGTCGGGGCTCGAGGGACTCAGCCTTGCGGCTAACGTCATAGCAGTGATTGATCTATCTGCGAAAGTCATATCGTGGTGCTACCGATACTCCAAGGACGTCAAGAACGCCAGGGCCGATATCGAAAAACTCCAGCAAGAAACAAATAGACTCAAGATCGTGGCTGAAGATATTCGGAAACTCCTTGAAGGTCCGAGCGGTGCGAAATTAACGACAGTTAAACGACTATCCGCCGCAGCGGGCCAAGCACATTCAGTTCTTGATACAGTGGATAAGACTTTGAGCACTAAGAAGGGACTCAGGCGGTTCGGCCTTCGTGCGCTAAAGTGGCCATACGAAAGCAAAGATGTGGAGGGACTGCTACAAGAGCTTGTTCGCACACGCGAGATATTTCACCTCAGTCTACAGATCGATCAAACGTAGGTATCCCACTACCTTACCTAGAGATTTAGACGCGACAGCTAACATCAATATAGGAATATCATCATTAGTATTGACGAGAGAGCGAAACTGGATCGTATTCCCGTTGCTGAAGGAGCATCCTCGCATGCAGGCGACGAAGATGCAACGACATGCCTCCCGGACACTAGAGTGCAACTCAAACAAGACATTTGGGAGTGGGTGAATAGTGATACTGCCAAACCCATAATGTGGCTGAGCGGTAGTGCTGGCACAGGAAAATCGACCATCTCCCTGACGGTCTCCAGTGAATTTGAGAAGGCCGGCATCCTTGGCGCAACATTTTTCTTCAAGCGAACGCAAAAGGACCGATCTAATCTGTCCAAATTCGTTCCGACCCTTGCTGCCGACTTAGCAGTCAAGATCCCAGAGGCTTGTCAGCATATTCTGGATACAATCGAAAACCAGAGCGATATCTTCAAGAAGGTGATCGGGGATCAGCTAGACCAACTCATTATTGAACCTATCACCCAATGCCAGGCGATCCGTGGGCAGCGCCCCATTGTCATCATCATAGATGCCTTGGATGAATGCGAGAGAGAAGCAGACATTAGGTCCCTCATTCAGTTATTAACCAGATCCAAGATCGCTCAAGTGTCATATCTCAGAATCCTCCTAACGAGCAGGCCCGAGTTGCCTATCCGGCTGGGCTTTAGTCTAGCAGATTCTGAATCCTTCCAGTCTTTCACCTTACACGATATACCTGATGAAATCATTCGGAAAGATATCCATACTTTCCTCTTGTTCCACTTGAGCAAGATCAGAGTGGAGTACAATGCGTCCGACATTTCTTATGACCGGAAGTTGGGCCCGGATTGGCCAGGAAATGAAATGACCCAAACATTGCTTGGAATGTCGGTGCCTCTATTCATCTTTGCCGCCACTGTTTGTCGTTTCATCGGTGATCACGTATATGGACATCCAGATAAGCTGCTCAACGAGGTTCTCGATTTCGGAACAAAGAGCCAAGAATCCCAGCCTCAGCTCGACAAGACCTATTTCCCCGTAGTCAATCAACTGATAGCAGGGCGGTCACCCAAGCATCAACAACGAATTCTGCAACGATTCCGGTTGATTGTTGGGTCGATGATTCTCCTAGCTACGCCACTGTCGAAGCAAACACTTGCAAAGCTCTTGGGGATTGAAGATGACGGCATCGATCACCTTTTGGACGGCTTGCACTCTGTCATCAACGTCCCATCCGCACCAAAATCACCATTGAGGTTGTTCCATCTATCATTTCGAGATTTTCTTCTCGACCTCGATAAGAAAGACAGTCCATTTTGGGTAGACGAGACCAAAGCTCATGCACATCTTGCTTCAAGGAGTTTAATTACTCTGGATGAAACCCTGAAACAAAACATTTGCGGTATAGCCAATTGGACCACGCCTCGGAAGGACCTCAACTTAGAGCCCGCACAAATCGAGTCTTTTCTCTCTCCAGAAGTTCAGTATGCGTGTACCTACTGGGTGCATCATTTTGAAATGGCTGGCGCGGACCTTGTTGATGACGGGCAGGTTTTGTCCTTTATGAAGATTCATTTTCTGCATTGGCTAGAAGCTCTAAGTCTACTTGACCAAGCTCATGACTGCACTTCATACATCAAGACACTCCAAAGAATATCAAGTGTAAGTTCAAGACGATGAAAGGACTTATAGCCAATGCTTAATCTGTCTAACTTCTCTCGCTGTTAGCCAATACATGGAAAGGAGCTATTGAAGTTTCTCCACGACGCCGAATACTTCACCCTTGCGTATACAACTGCGATTGATACGTTTCCGCTACAAATTTACTGGTCACTGCTCGGGTTTACGCCTAAGCACAGCATATTTCGAAAGCTGTACACAAGGACGATGAGTGAGGGGTTCAATATTCACGCAGCAGGTGAAAGCGAATGGGGTTACTGTCTACAAACACTCAAGGCTACTCAAGCAAACCGTACGGAACACGTGGCATTCTCCCAAGACTCGGCATTGATCGCAACGAAAGATTCAGTTGGTGGTATCTGGGTTTGGAACACTGTCAACGGAGACCTTGTTGGGAACATTAAACCTCCTAATCATGCGGAATCCATTGCTCCACCTATAATTTCGCCAGATTCGTCATTCATCTGCTCAACTGCGCTCACACGGAGCCACGCCACCAACCAGGTTTGGAACATTATCACTGGGGAACAGGTTCTTAACACTTCACGTCTATCATCAATCGGTGGGGATCTAGGAACCTTTCCACCCCCTACCGTGTTCATCGAAAGACAATCAGAAAGTACCATGGGGATCTGGCGTGTGGAACAAGATTCCCCCCAGGTATTGGGCCTGGTCGAGACTCGAGATGTAGACAATCTCAAGTATACCTGCTCGGTCGATTTTAAATTCATTGCAATTTGTGCACATGACAAGAGAGAGCGTGAGACATGGACTCAAATCAGGAATCTCAACTCAGGCACTCTTGTTTCTGCGTGGCGGCTGGAAAGATTTCGGCGAGTCGAGTGCTTAAACTTCTCGCCTGATTCGGTATTACTAGCCGTATGTTCTCTTCGTTCTTCTAGACAGACAAGCCGTCTGGCCCTTTATGATGTTGACACTGGTAAGCCATTGGAAACATCGTTCTACGGAGTCCCGCCATATGTACTGTCAGTCGCGATCTCTCATGACTCGATATTGGTGGCTACCGGCTCTTTAAGCGGAGAGATTCATTTATGGCGTACGAAAACTGGCGATTGCGTACAGACTCTAGGTGGCTATAGTCACGGGGTTACAAGCGTTGTCTTTTCTCATGATTCCAGGTTGCTGGCATCAGCTTCCGAAAACAACACCGTACGCCTTTGGAGAGTCGCAGAGGCTGAAAATAACAGTCTTGGGGAACGGAAGCTCCATAAAACGACTTACGCAATAGCTCTCGATAAAACGGCTTACACAATAACGATTTCTCCAGATTTGAAGAAGATAGCCACCTTGGATGACGCTGGATTGTGTATGTGGAGCGCTGATACGGGTGACTGTATGTGGTCATATCAGTGTCGAATCAGTTCCAAGCTGCTGTTTTCCCCAAATTCAGCCTTCGTCCTCGTTCAAGAGAGTGAAAACCAATACAAAAAAGCCCGCAGAATTGTACTTTTGCATACAGATACGGGGAAGTTCGTACATCTTCAAGGTCAAACTCAGAAGAACCGAGAGGGAACTTTCTCCAATGATTCAGCGCTCATTGCATTTACGGACAACAACGATGGTTCGGCACCTTATATATGCATCTGTAGAACTACCACTGGAAACCGTGTCCAACGCTTTGAATGTTCAAAGGGCGATTGGGACGATTGGGGCAGTTTGACCTTCTCGCAAGACTCAAAACTGATTGCGGCGATTGGCAACGGCGTCCTTTGCACCTGGGACATCACAAGTGGCCAGTGCCTCCAACAAACAAGGCTGAAAATTTACGTTTACGAATCCTATCCTTCCATAACATTCTCTCCCAATTTGGATTGGGCTGCGGGTATCAGTTCAGAGAACGAGTTTCGGGTGTGGAACTGCGATACAGGCATGTTCATCCACGACGATTACGTTCCATCATTAGACCCCAAGACCTTTTACAGGAATTACACCATCATTTTCGTTCCAAATTCCAATTATGTCGTAGTCAGTTCCTTTACTGGCTTGATTTACGTCTGGGATTTCCAGACAGGCATCTGCATGGTTAGGACACAGGACCTTTACCCCCACCATGGAGCTGCGAGTTTTCAGCCAGAGAGTTCGAGGCTACTCGTTGGAACTGGAGCGGTTGAGTTGGTGAATTTGCCCCCTAATCCCTTATCATCCGCTCCGTCTTCTCCGTCTGTGGCGCTCTACGAGGCTATCAAGCCTCATCGCTCAGGCTATGGGATCAGCCTTGACTATAGCTGGATCACCTGGGATGATGATAATTTCTTCTACCTACCAGTGGGCTACCAGCCAGACAAACACGATGCAATTGTCGTGTCTGGGTCTGTAGTTTTCATCGGCTATCAAAGACTTAGAAAGACAGTTGTCTTCAAGTTCTCCTCTGCCAGAGGATGTAAGCCAGTGGCAGACATACGTTTTATCGATCATGGCACGTCGATCAGTAGATGAATGAGTGTACAATAAACGGATATAATGGGCTATACTAACCCAGATTCGTTCTAAAAGTCTAAATTTTGCTATATTACGGACTTTATTGGCTGAACTAAGAAATCAATGCTCCTAGTTTTTCTACCTAGGGCAACTAATACCCGGATATATCAAAGCATTCATCTAAGAATAAGTTTCCCTCATTCTGGGAGTCATGCTAGGCACAACTGATTTCGTTTTAAGCCCCATTATTCCTTCTTATTTACTCCCCATCCGGCATTCCTAATCAGCAGCAGAATCCCTGGTTCTAGTCACTCAGTAGGATATCGACAAGGGTGCGGGACAATGAGGCAGTTTGCGCGCATTGTACTACAAGCATCATCTGAGCTAATTTCTTGGCCCCAACTCCTCATCAGCAAAACTCTCCATCACCATGTCCATCGGATCAAAGTACCGCGCAGTCTTCATCAAAATCAAGGTCAGGAGCAGGCGTCGAAGTGGGTGCACGGATCCTTCTACGGGTCCCATACGCATCGTCAATATTACTTCACCCTCTCGTGTAAGAAGTTACGAAGAATGCCCACGTACTCGTATAGTTATGGTATAAGACGGCGAGCTTTCCTGTGGAACGATCCCAATCACTCGGACTAGTCCCACGCGCCAAGTGCTTTCGTTTACACCATGATACGGTCCCTTCAATTCCTGCCAGTGGCGCTCGCCGTCGTGGCTGGCGCCCAAGTTCCGACAAACAAGTTCATTGTTGAGTTTGCCGAAGTAGGCTCTCTCCATTATCCAAGTTGCTTCCCCTCTGACTGTAGAGCAGACCTCTCTCCTTCGAGCCGAGAACCACATTAACGCGACAGACGGCATCAACGTGGTCCAGACCTTTGAGTCGGACGTCTTCCGTGGAGCCAGCATAGAGCTCGACGGCGTGACCCCAGACGACGTCCTGGCCCTTTCCGAAGTCATAGCCATCTGGCCAAACGAGTCAGTAGAGCTTCTTGCGCCTGTCAAGCAACAGACAGCCGCCGACGAGAGCGCTGCCACTGAGAATGCCGCTTACTGGGCCACGGGCGTCGAAGAGCTGCACGAGCAGGGCGTCTATGGAGAGGGTGCCAAGATCGGTATCATCGATACAGGAATCTGGTACAACCACAACGCGCTCGGTGGTGCCTTTGGAAATGGTTCCACGGTCGTGGGCGGCTATGATTTTGTTGGTGACTCCGAATGGTCCCCCGGCCAGGCCAAGACTCCTGACGAGGACCCGATCGATCAACAAGGCCATGGTACGCACGTTGCTGGGATCATTGCTGGCAATTCATCGACGGGCTGGCTGGGTGTCGCCCCGCGAGCATCACTATATGCATACAAGATCTTTAGCACGGGCTCGACGACCGACACCGCCACCATCATTGAGGCTCTTCTCAGGGCATATGCCGATGATGTGGACATCATTACGGTGGGGATTAGCGGTGCGGGTGGCTTCGCGAACAACCCCTGGGCTATAGTTGCGACTAGACTTGTCAGCAAAGGGTTCATCATCACCATCGGCGCAGGAGACTCAGGGGATGATGGGCCATTCTTCATCGGCTCTGGAGGCTCCGGTGACGGCGTTCTTGCTGTTGCCAGCGCGCACGTCCAGGCTTCGAAGAACCAAACCCTTCCCAGCTCATTCACGTCATGGGGGGGCCTGTTCGACCTGAGCTCCAAGCCAGACATCACCGCCCCTGGAACGGACATCTTCAGCACATGGCTCGGCGAGAAGGATGGTGAGGGCTCCTTCGCCGTGCTGAGCGGGACAGCAATGGCAACGCCCTACGTCGCCGGTGTGGCGGCCCTGTGGGTGGGAAACTTCGGTAATAAGAAGAGTCACACAGCCTTATATGCCAAATACATCACCATGAGGATCATCAACTCCGGCAAGGCACTTCCGTGGCTGAACTACGATGGAACCGCCAACGCTGCCTTCAGAGCCCCTCCGCAGCAGGTCGGCTCAGGCCTTGTCAACGCTGCCCAAGTCATCGAGCAGGTCACCAGCTTGGCGTATACGCGATTTTCTCTCAATGATACCGACAATTTCCAGTCGAGCCAGGTGTTTACCATTGAAAACACCGCCCAGGTGCCTGTTGTCTTTACCTTCGAGCACTCGAGCTGGGCTGGCTTTGAGATCCTCACGGACGATGATCCTACGCAGCCAGAAAAGACACCTCGCATCCGAACCCGGGAGGAGCTTGAGCCTAAGCGCTTTGAGACCAGTGTGAAGCTGCCGGAGAGTGTTACGCTAGGTAAATACGAGACAAGGCAGATGGAGTAAGTTTGGAGACAATATCGTGGCATAGGCCGAGGCTAATATTGTCCAGATTCGTTTTCACGCCACCAGCCGGTCTTGACGCATCCAAACTGCCAGTCTACGGCGGTACTATTAGTGTCAAGTCGAACACTACTGACGTGTTAGTCGTGCCGTACCAGGGCGTTGGTTTCAGCTTGAGGGAGCAGTTCAGCAAGCACTTGTTTGCGGGCTCGTATCCTCAGCTTGGATCGGCATCAGCTAAGAATAAGACGAGGTCAGTGCTAAGAGCCATTAGAGTATTAACAAATTCTAACTCTTGTGCAGTTTCACGTTTGACTTGAGTGTGTCTGCGCAAGACTTCCCCAAGATTTTCTGGAGTCTAAACTGGGGAACCACAGAGCTTCGGTTGGATGTAAGTTAAGATCACACCTACCACAAAGGTCCCTTCACTCACCTTCGTATAAACAGATCTACGGTCCTGGCTTCTCTGCCGAGAGTGACTGGGTTTATCCCCCCGTCGTTGGCGAGAACAACTACATCGGCTCGGCTGCCCCTTGGATCAAAGCCAACAGCGTCGAGACATTCGACCCGTCCAAGGACGACAAGGAAGATACCTACACCTTTCCCTTGACCAACGTAAACAGGGACGCGGATAACTCCGTTAACAGCGTTTTCTGGCTAGGCAAGTTAGCCAACGGGACATACATCCAGCCAGGCACATACACGTGAGTTCGTATCTACCCAGAGATAATGGCATGTGACTGACTGTTTGGCAAGCATTCGCTTCGGGGCTTTGATCCCTTTCTCTGACCCTAAAAATCACGAGAGCTGGAGCACCTTGTCACAAGAAGTCCAAGTGGTCAAGAAATGCAAGCGCGCTGTCAACACTGCAAAGGAAGTCATGTTGAATTAATGTGTAAACTGTAGATCAGGGGGACAAGCTCTAGTGATCAGCACAGCTGCAAATACACCATTGGACAGACTGTAATATAGTAGAACTGCAACTTATATTGTGAAGCAAAGTGAACTGTAAAACTCGAATCTAACACTGCCTTGAACTCAAACCTCATAGCAAGTTATCCCCGACCTCATAGTAAGTCATTTGCGATGTGAAAAGCTGAGTAGTCCATACGACATCATTCCTGATCACCTGGGTCTGGATTGTGTCCCAGACGATGAGTAGAATTCCTTGATCCTTGACTTGTTCCTTGATTCCTTTTCATTTCCGTATCATCAACGCAGTTCATAACTTCATCCACTTTCAACTTTCCGATCCATTTAGTCTTGGATGTATCAAGATTCCGTCCTTCGGCCGTCCCCAAGATGTCGTTAGAGGAAACAAGTCAAACGCGAAACGTTAACATCGAATCGGTCGCTCCGCTAGTTCAGCGATCCAGAGTGACGAAAGGCAGCGAAGATGGGATGTCAAATACATTGTACTCTTCGGGGAATATCGGGTTATCCCAGTCAAAGGAACTGGACAGGTGGGCATAGACGTCGTCAAGATCTCTCTGGCCAAGCTGTACCCAGTACCCGCCGAGGTGGTTGTTGCGCCCTTTGCCGCTGGGGAGGGCTCTCCAGTGCCTCTCCTTCTCGGCGCCGAGGTGGACTTGCTGAACAACGGCCGCATTGTTCTCGAGTGCGACTCCTCTGAGCCGGGCGTACAGGTAGGAGGAGCATGCCAACGTAACCTCACGAGCGCCGGGACCGAGCCGATGGACCATCTCATCAAAAGGGGTGAGCATATTCTTCTCGATGATTTCAATGACTTTGGAAGTATCTTCCATGAATTCCCAGCTACGGCTCTTCAGCTCAACAGGGAAGACCTGTCCTTGGATGGCGACGTGGAGACGCTGGACACGTGGGAAGAAGACCGGCAAGGCTTCGAGAAACCTCTGAAAAGACTCAAGATCTCTGCAAGGCTCCTCAATAGGCAAGGAGTTACACAGGTACGGGTCGAAAGTCCAGATGAGCTCCAAGGACTTGATGCTGGACAGGCGCTGGGGGGGAAGAAGTTTGTCCAAATTGAGCAGCATGAGCTTGCTTGCCGAGTGAATGGTGTTGGTCGCGTAGAGGACCTCGATGCCCTCCTTGTAACTGCGGCACCTCATGTTAGCACAAGGATATGTCTACTTAGATTTAGGAATCAAGGGCGAACTCACGCTTGCCGGCAGCTGAGCAGCCAACCTATGGCGCCAATGTTGCAGCTCGCTTCGCCATCTTTCTCATGCCACATTTTGCAGATGTCACCCACGTCTGTTATCCCGAGGCCGCCATAGCGACAGAAGTCTTCAGACGGCTCCAGCTCCTCCCAGAATCGCTTCCCAGGTTCATCATCAGGCAAGTTGCGGTGGCAGACGGATCCCTGCCAGATCCACTGCTCCGGCTCTTTTAGACTTCGCATCAGATACTTATAACCTGGGTGTCCAGTCGTATAGACTCGCTTGCGGCCATGGACGAGTGCACCGACCTTGATGTTGTCACTCTTGGGTATTTCGACATCAGGCTTGTCCTGCCATAGATCCATGTGAACAGTGCGGCCGCCGAATGCCATGGTAAGAATCTTTGTTCGGATCTCGGGTGGAAGCTTTTGGAAGAAGGGACTCTGAGCTGTGGCTTGGATAGCAGAGTGGCGGAATTTCTCTTTGTTTGATGGTGTTGGTGTGAGCGGTCGCACTCTTGGGTCCAAGACCGGGAGAGCGTCATTGTCTCGCTTCTTGGCTTGGCCTTTGCCAAACAGCTTGAGAATGGACTTTATCATATTGTTAACTGATGGTTATTGAACAGGTCGATGGCTGTCGGGATGGTGTTTGATCTGGTTGGGTTGGTTTGTCTGAATGATATGCTTGATGATGTTTGTATGTAGGTAAGTGAAGGAAAGTGTAGACTGCTAAGTGGAAGGAGGAATAAACACGGAGGCAGAGCGAGCCAGTCACGGGAGCTGGTGCCAGCAGCTGATTGGCCCCTGTTGTGCCCAGGTTCTCAGCCTTTCCTCAGCCTTCACAGGCCGTTTCTCCGTTGCCTCAGGCTCAAAACTGGCAATAAGGATTGCCTGAAAATTACTGTTTCCTCACGAAGAAAAATGGACGGCCGTTTGGGAATGCATCTCTGGAAAATCTGGGAGAACAATTAGTTTTATACCGCTTGATGCATGATGCACCGGGGGACAATAGCTTGGGCGACTTCGGCTTACTCAGTTTACGACGATTCTGGTTTACTTTTGTGAATCATCTGAAGTGGCCTTTAAGTCTCACGAGGGAAGTATATGCAGACATGTTGTGCGGGACATTGTTATTTTATTACAGGTTTCCTTTCCCATTCTAAGTGACTACATGTATTTGGCCAATACCAAACCTCATCACTCCATACCTACGCTCCGAAGAAATTGAAATAAAATAAAAATCAGGTACCACTGTGTGTTAGTCAACGAGCCGCTGATAGACAAAGCGCCCAGCGTCCCGCCCGTTCAGTAAACTAGCTTGGTCTTACATATTATAAGTCGAACTTTTCACTTGTATGGCGATTCGTCTCTCCATAGGCGTTCCTAATCTCTCAACTGCGACTCGAAGCGGCTACCGAAGGTGCGGCTTTGACATAGGGAGTCTCGACAATCTTCTCGTGGATCTTGGAAGGGCGGGCATCGTCGCTATCGGCACCGGGGTTTGCTATCTAGGATAGTATTGTTAAATTATTTCTCTTGCTGAACAGTTACAGAATCCCCAGTCTCACCTCGTATTCCAAAGTCTTGATAAATCGATAGAATAGAACTACGATTACCGATCCGACGAAGGGCCCAACCCCTATTAGAAGACGTTAGCTTGGTTAAAATTCACAAATATTCACAATGGTCAGACTTACAGTAGATCCAGTGCTCTTCGTCGAACTTTCCGGCAATGGCACAAGGGCCAAAGCTTCGAGCGGGATTCAGGGAACCACCGGTAAACTAGGCACCCACGAGTTCCTCAATGAACAAAGGGTTGAGTTTGATATCCCATCTCTTCATCCATCGTACGACGCGTTCTAGGGGCATCCAAGGGGTCTCGAGAAAAGCTTTGGCTGTCATCGTAAACTTCGTCGTCTAACTCTTGGCTAGTGGTCCCGTATCGGCTGTTCAGGATTGAAGGCGGCGGACGGTAACCCCTGCGGGTTTTGTAACGGGCAGGAGTCTCTCCTCGCCAATGACGCTCGTAATTAGAGCTTTCTCGAGGCTCTACACCCATATAAGCCTCCCACTCATTACGAAATCGAGTAAACTTCTGTGACTTGGATGCTGAGTTGTTGAGGGGCGACGAGGGATCGATATCCGCAAAATGTCGATTAGTGAGGGTGGTGTAGGATGTTAGGCCAAAAGAAGGGCGAGTGCAGGCGTTCTCTTGGCTGTTTGAAGTTCGTATAGGAACAGTGGTGGCAGACTCTGGATCTTTGGGGCCTTCGAGCTCTCTTTGGATAGTTGGACTGACGGAAACTCTGCCTGGTTCGCCAGTAGCAGCAAACGGCGAGACACCAGTGGCAGGTGTGCTGCGAGAGGATCGGTACCCGAGAGGAGTATGTTGTTTTTGAAAGGGAGACACCGTGCGAATAAGATGGGAGGATAAGAAGAGAGATGTATAGATCACTGCAACGCCCGAAGAAAGCATCTGTTGGTATGCAAGGGAGAGTCAGGGTTTGTTGGTGAGGTCTAGCTGCCAACTGATCCATTAAGGCACCAGCAGCCGTTTCTTATATCTTGTTTTTTTATTCTCTTGTATCCATTCGCAGCACGCCATGTTCGATTAATGTTGTTGCTCGGTTGCTTCTCAGGCAACGACCGGAGTGGAGAGGGCAGTGGCTTCTGTGAGGATTCGTAGAGCGGGTCGATTCAACTTTCATTGAAGGGTCACGCAGCCTCGACATAACGTATAGTGTATGAAGAAGTAGCTGAGGCGTGGGGCCATATGATCGAAGCCAATATATCAAAGGGTCGTCTCGAGTGGACAGTAGAGGGCGCAATGGTAGCGGCAAAGGCCGTGAGAGTTAGAATAGGAGGCATTGTTTAAATCAAGCTCACCCCCTAAGCAGTTGAGTTTGCAAAGTAAGGGCAACGTGGTGAGCTGCGAGAAGGATTAGGATGATCCCAGAGAAAGTGTTCGTGATAGGGAGTGAATTCAGAGGGAATATCAAAATGAACTGCGGAAAGCACGCCGGTCGCCTGGATTAGGCGGGGACAGCCCTATATTACAGCGCTCTTAAGGCATCCACAGGCCCGTTTTAGCACGTCTCCCCTCTGAGATCAGCGGGAGAGACGACAACTGGGGCGATGACAGTTCCTCCTTCCTCCTGCTTGCTGCATGTTGTAACTTCTTCCTCGGTCCCTCACGACGGACCCAAACGACAACGCGAGTCCGGCAGCTGTCAATGCAGAAACCTGCAGTAGCACAGGGCCAAACGTCGAATTATGACCAAAGGACGAACACAATTTATCGAGCATGCTATCGACGAGCATCGTTTCATACCGCGGTATCAACGCTTCCAAACTCTAGCCAAGATTCACCCGTGAACTCCTTGAGCACGAACACCGAACCCTACCCAGAATATTGCTGCCCACCTGGCAGAACTCAGAAACTCCCAAAATAGGGCAGAGTACGTACAGGGGTTCCCCGGGTTGCACGATAAAAGTGTCGTGGCCGGAAGCTAATCTGCTTACAGTTGGTCATGGAACTGACCCTCTTCGTCTCAACTCAATGATCTTTTGCGATACCCGAGACCCATCCTTGTCTAGCGACAGAAAGCTCCAACGGCCCTCCAACGAACGGACAAAGATTTCTTCGTCCCTGTGGTGATGGTCAGGCGCGTATTTGAGGCCAGGACGGTGGTGGGCTTGGGCCGTTCGTCAGTCAGGGAGCCCCTTTTCCACCCTCGAGTGGCGTCTGCCGTGGCCGTGCCCCCAATTCTTCCTCGGCAACGGTTGAGTTAGGGAACCAAATCTCACAAGTTTGGGTGGGGAATTCATGCGCAAGTTTACATGACGACGTGAACTCTCTCAGGTATATCCCAACGTTTGCCTCTCTATCTGCTTCTCAAGCGGCGCCTTATCAGAAAAATACTAAGTCAACATCAAGGCCTTCGATCATGTGTGATGCTCATGGCAAAGAGCAGAGCTGATCAGTCCACAAACCCTGTTCGCCCAGACGAACTACATCAACTTGAGTTGGTCTCTAGCCAGAGGTGATACTTTCGGTGGCGGCCCAACATACACACTCTAAACATCACGCAACAGCCTCGATTTCGGATATTGCGCGCTTCAAATTGTGCAAGCGCAACCGTATCATGGAGACTCCACGCCCGCGGATCTCGGCATACTTGTCAAAACAACGCCCTCGCTGCCACTCTTCTCCTGAGACATCGATCCATCGCTTGAGAAGTCTCGATAGTTCAAGATCGCAAAGCACTCTGGCCCAGAGAAGGGCTATATTTGTATGGGATTCGCTGGAGGTATATTGGCTCAGATGAATAACCTTCCCATCTAGGCCTCTCGCTTTGACTCAGAGCTAGGGAGCCATTGTTTCTCCTGGCTAAGAAAGCCTGAAAGACAGAATCTATCGTTTAAGTTGATATATCCCCATGGTATACTTCTATCTCCATTCTAATAGCCCCTTATATGAGGAACAAAAAGAATCGATGAGGCTTAGCTAAATCACCTTGGTGCTAAATAGGATCAGCAAAGGGCATCGGCATTCCCGCCCAGCGCTCCCAGAAATACGTAAGTAGAAAATCTCAGCCTGTCTCGAGCGCAACGTACGCCTTTCTCAACATGTTTGGAGAGACATCGTACAGAACTATGCAAATAAAGCACGTCGTGGAGGAGCTTGATTCACGGATTGGCACATCTTGGGCTTTGGCTATGTAGGGTACTACAGGCGAACACTCACTTCAATCACCACCATCACAACACAATACTAGCACGAGAAGGGCTATAACCCAGATGCTGTCATTTATTTCAGTAATATATACTTTTCAACGACATCATGCAGTAAGCTTAGACAAAGTATCCCACAGTAAATAAGTGCGGTTAATAGTCTGGTGCCCAAAACGCACACTCCAGCAGAACCAAGTAGAACGAAGGCAGGAGAGGGCTTCCAGCGTATCTACTGTATCTCAATCTTGATTTATCCAGTATACAGGCACTGGCCCCATCTCTACGGGCTGGAGACACCCGGACGCGATTCATAGGCCAAGTCCACGTCATGAAACAGAAAAAGCGGGTGGACAAAAGAAACTGTGGTGCTTCACGCTTTGGATAAACTGAGCATCAACACACCGCCTCTCTTTTTCCAGCAGTGATTCTTTGTCCCTTGAAACATGAGTGGATTTTCCAAGAATCTATGAGTGTGTGTACGTGCAAGTGCGAATGTGTGTGCCGGGCTTGCACGACTGGCCACAAGGACCAACCAGGTACATGCTCGGTTACATTTCCGGGTCCATGAGGCTCTGCGGGCCCTCTAAAGGCGAAAATCTAGGATTAAATCTGAGATGAAATATCCCAGTGCTCCCCCTTCTTTTTCTACTAGATGCTTTAGTCCCAAAGGAACTTGGCCAGCATTCGAGCACTCAGGATTAGCTTAGTAGAAGGGCATAGCCATTGAATGAACAATTTGAGAATGGCTATCAATGTAGTGGTAAGGGCATCTCCAGGGAAATCCTGGGCAAGCAAGGCAGGTCTACGATTCAGCCAAATGCAGGCCACCACTTTGGGTCAGCTGCCTTTTGGGAGTGGTGCCTTTGTCACCTCACTTTTCAGCCCTCTGAACATCTGCGGTACACACAATGTCAAGTCCAAAGAGAATTTTTAGCATTTCTATTCTTTTTACAAATCCTTTTCGGTAAAGTTGTGAGATTATTCGGCTGATCTGGCCCTAGACAGACGATTATATCAATAAAGGAGATCAACCTGGGCCCGGCAACTCTTGAGATCACCACGTTCGGGCTCTTGTGCATGGTGGGGGTCTATGAGGTATGCACGATGCAAGTGCTTCTCGCAAACGGCGGCACAAGGTACCTTAGCTGCACGATGCCTAGGTGCCCGAGTCGGGGAGACGCTGTGTTACTTCAGATGCGAAAGATCCCCTGGTATTATATAATGCAGGCACGGAAGTACCTCTTTCATTAGTTTTTCTGCCCAAACTGCAGTCTTTTCGCTTGGCTGGCGCACGCCTTCCCCAATGGCTCTCGCCGTATTCTGTTAGGCAGTGACGATGGTCAATGACGACAAGCATGCAGGAGCTGTGATATAATAAGCAGTCACCTCATCTGATACCTGACATACTCTTTCCCTGCCTGCATATGTATAAAAGTCGCCTGCTTGGGGCTACTTCTCCTCCCAGTGACGTGCAAACGAACAGAGCCAAACACTCCACGAGCCGGAGAAACTCGCCCTCGAGTCAAATTGCCAAAGCAGCCCAGTCAACAAAGCAAACACGCAGACAAACATCCTCCATTAACTTGCCACTCTGATCCAGGGACAGACAGGTCAAGGGGGTGTTCGGCAGGTCCAAGCGCACAAGGGCCACTTTCAGTTCACTCGCCATCTAAAACACAGACGAATACGGAGGTTATTGTCCATCATACACGAACATAAACAAATAACTCGAACTACTAAACAGCTAGTCACATTGTGTGATCGAGGCAAGTGACTACCTTAGCACCGATCCTCTGTTGTTGGGCACTGCAGGGCTCAGGTAAGGCGCTGGCAGCCCCTATAGGACGGTCAAACATCCCCTATAGGACGGTCGAGTGCATACCTGCAGCCGTCAACGACGCCTACCCGCCTCCGCCCTCCCGCCAGGTGACCAGGTAGGGCAGCATATGGCCTACCTGTGGCGTTCTTCGTGCCTGAGGACATCCTTCTTCCTCCTACACACACAGGTTCTTCGCCTTTGTTGTTCTTCGCATCTCACACTCTTTCACTTTGAATCATCATCAAGATTCCTCGACTTCTTTGGTCGTAGAATCTTGATACAAAGCTCGTCTCCTCTCGAGGAGCTTCGTTGAAGCAAGCCATCTTCATTCCATAAATTCTCTCTGCATACCCCCGAGTTCACATCTCCAACCTTCCTTGTTTTCATCTTGCACCCAAACGCTGTCTCTACTCGCCGCGTTTTTCCATTCAAAGACAGTCTCCTCAGCAAAGCACTCTTCGTCCAAGATCTTGCATCTCCTTCTCCCCGCCGCGTTTTCCGTTCAGATATAGTCTCCTCAGGAAAGCACCCAGGCATTTCGTCGAAGATCATTCGCCCGCATCTCAACTCCGCATTTCTCCATTCAGAGAAAGTCTCAGCAGCAAACCACTCAGGCTTTTGTCCAAGGTCTTTCATCTCCTTGTCATCGCCTCGTTTTCCATACAGATAAAGCCTCCTCAACAGGCCACTCAGTCATTTCGTCTAAGATCATTCACCTACATCGAAAGTCTCCTCAACGGGCCACTCAGGCGTTTCATCCAAGATCTTTTACTTCCATCTCAACTCCGTGTGGAGTCATTTGTTGTCATCATGGATTCTTTGCCAACTTGCTACGGCAAGGGTAAGATTCTCACTCTCCAAGTTACAGCAGACCAAGAGCCATTCAACGTTGTCATCGAAGCTGCTCATGGCATTTGGTCACACTCTGTGAACCTCCTCGTCAAGGTTCTCGAAAATGATGCCAACATCGAGGTTACTGACAAGCTTGTCTTCCTCAAGCTTTACGACCGCCGTTTCTCACCGGCCTTTCGTGAGCGCTGGGATGTCAAGCCATGGACTCCTGCACTCGAGGAGGACCTCCATGCGTTCTCTCAAATCGGAGCGGCCAGTGAAGTTATCAACATCTGGCACGACAACCCCCACGCGGAGTATGATTTCTCTGCTCCCCCCTACCACAAGGAAGCCCTTCTCTCGGTGATCATGTCGGAGCATTGGGAGAAAGAAAACGACGCTTACCGCATCCTGAAAGCTCACCAGGGAAAGTTCATCCCCCGTATTATTACCAGCGTCACGATGCAGATTGGTCCCGTCAGCATGGTCGGCACCGAACCCATCCCACTTCTGGATGATCCTCTTGTTCTCGGGCAGTCCCCCGAGATGTTTGAAATCGACGGCTTCCTCATGGAATACTACCGAGGTTTTCCAGCTACTAAGATTGCCTGCCAAACCGACCCCGGCGACTGGAAGCATCTCAAGAACCGTGTCATCAGCACTGTTGACCACGTCATGAAGTCTGACATGATCCTCCACGAAGACATCCGGCCCAAGAACGTGGTCATCTCCTACGACAAAGACTGCCTTCGCAACTATCGGGTCATCATGACCGACTTCCGTTCCACCATGCTGCGCGAGAACGAGACCGACGAAGAGTGGGCTGAGATGAAGAAGCGGTACGATGAGAAGGGCATGATGCAGGCCAAGCTCGAGAATCCGCCTCGCCCCCGCCAGGAGGCCGATGGCTATCGCTCCTTCAATGCCTCCGCCTGGTGGAACTTTGATGACTACGACATCATGACCCAGGACTAAATGGGCCTGGAGGTCACCGAAACATGTCGAGGGAATCCGCCCTAGTTATTGTGTTGATTTTTTGGAACTACTCTGCTGCCGTATCGTTGAATCTTGTCGATCTCCACGCCTGTAATTGGTAGTCAGATAGTTAAGTAGTCAGATGAAATATGAAATCTCCCTTCTTTCATTCATTCATTGCAGGCCTTTCTCTGTGTTAAACGTCGTAAAAATCTTCCTTCCTTCTATCTAAAAGCCATACACACCGGCCAATGTCATCTAAACATGTCATCATGTTTTTTTTTTCAACTCTGCTACCTCATCGTCGACTTTGTCGAAGTTTTCCTGCTGTATTAGGTATTAGGTAGCCAGATCGTAGTCAAATGACTCAGAAAATCTCCACGCTTTCCTTCTTTCGTAAGCGTTTGACTATGCAATGCGTCCTAAAACTCATCCTTTCTTCCTATCTGTAAGTTTTTCCCCAAAATATGTCTTTCTTGTAGCTTTCACACAATACACCACCATACAGCAAGCAATTATTATGAGGTAATCAAACACAAATAACGCCAGTTTCCATAATATGTGTTTGAGCACCTCGCAATAATTTCTGTATAGTACCTATTCCAGTTGCTACTGTTACTCTTTGGAAAAACTAGTCTGGGTATATTGTGAGGAGAGTGTGATATTATTTCGAGTTCAGAAATGATGCTCCCAGTTCCGCTCGACATGATTTCAGATCGACGCCATCTCCGCCATATAGTTGTTTACTGACCCAAGGCTGGCTAATAAAAAACAAAAAATCATTCTGTCGGAGGTATAAATGAAGAAATTGAACATCATTCTCTCGGGAGTCCAGACTCCAATGGTTTTATCCAGGCCATGCACAAGCTTTGCCCTCCAAATTGTATGAATGATTGGGGAGCCTTAGAACGATGGGTTTTACTTCTCTATCCTCGGAGTCAAGAGGCATAGTCTTGCCTACCAGTCTATTCGTAGACTCTGGGTCAGCAGATAGCCTTATAAGATCCCCGAGGGCCCAAACTGGCTTACGTCTGATAAGAAAGATCCAGAGACTAAGCGTAAGTATAGTGGTGGGGTTTGATCTGTTCAACAGGAATAGCAGAATGGTAACAAAGGTGAGGCAAGTGTAATCAGATGATACTAAAGAGGATATATACTGGCCCCCTTCCAGGCCCAACACGAACCGTCTCCTATACCAGTGGCCATCTTTCCAAGAAAGCTCCTCGATATCCCTAGGAATTATACGGCAAGCAATGTATATCAGGGGACTCAGTGATCTCCCTCGCCAACACGAAGATGTTTTCGCACCCATCCGCCGTCTATTTGAATATACGCCATGCTGTTCAGTCACGACACCATTCCTCAAACATTCCTAGCTGAGTCTATCTTCAAGCTCACATCCAATGTCCGTACGGCTGTTAGCACAGGGTAAGTTCATCACAAGGAAGACATCTTCTTGAGAAGCTTGGTTAACACGTCTAAGCCATGTATTCATATATTTATCTCTGACCTTCTGTTTCAACGCCATAGTTCTTTCCTCTGTGTTCTAGTCTTTCGATCCAAGAAACAAGCCCAAGTTTGCAAATACCCGATATTTCCAAAAACAAACAAAGCATCATTATCTTCCCTCTCTTTCTTTCTCTGCAAAGTTCATGATATCGTCACTTTTTCTCTATCTAAAAACGGTCCAGGAGGCCACGGCCCTCGAGCAGCAGGATGATCTCGTGCACGATGGAGCGGACGTTCTGCTTCTCCAGGTCGACAACGAGGTCGGGGTTGACGGGGGCCTCGTAGGGGTCGTCGACACCGGTGAAGCCCTTGATCTCGCCGGCGCGGGCCTTGGCGTAGACGCCACGGCGGTCGGTCTTCTCGCAGTACTCGAGGGGGGTGGCGACGTGGATGAGGAAGAAGTTGCCGTTCCTCTCGACGGACTCGCGGGCCTGGCGGCGGGCATCCTCGAAGGGGGCGATGGGGGCGGCGATGACGGCGGCACCGGCCTTGGTGAGCTCCGAGGCGACAAAGGCGATGCGGGAGATGTTGAGGTCGCGATCCTTGCGGGTGAAGCCGAGCTCCTGGGACAGCTCGTGGCGGACGGTCTCACCGAGAAGCATAGAGACGGGGCGGCCGCCATCCTGGTTGAGCGTGACTTGGAGGGCGCGGGCGATGTTGTCCTTGCCACTGTTCTGATATCCGGTGAGGAAGACGGTGAAGCCCTTCTCGCGGGGAAGGGGGTTCTGCTCGCGGAGGACCTTGACGACCTCGGGGTAGGAAAACCAGGCGGGGATCTCCTTGCCGGTGCGAAGACGGTGGCGCAGCTCGGTACCGGAGATGTTGAGCGTGCGGGTGCCCTCGGGGATCTCGTTGGCGGGCATGTACTCGTCTCTGTCGGGGATGTAGATCATCTCCTGGAACTCGACCATCTTGATGCCGAGCTCCTCCTGGTACTGCTGGACGAGGTGCTGGGCGTCGTAAGGGCCGTAGTGGTCCTTGCCGTTCTTGTTCTTGCCGGGACCGGCGTGGTCACGGCCGACGATGAAGTGGGTGGCACCATGGTTCTTGCGGATCACGGCGTGCCAGAGAGCCTCGCGGGGGCCGCCCATGCGCATGGCGAGGGGCAGGAGGGCAAGAGCGCCCATGCCGTTGGGGTAACGGGGCAGGAGAGCCTTGTAGACACGGACACGGGTGAAGTGGTCAATGTCACCGGGCTTGGTCAAGCCGACAACGGGATGGATGAGGACGTTGGCCTGCTGGGAGCGAGCGGCACGGACGGTCAACTCACGGTGGGCGCGGTGCATGGGGTTGCGAGTCTGGAAAGCGACGACCTTTTGCCAGCCCAGCTTGTTGAAGTGAGCGCGGAGCTCAGCGGGAGAGACTAGGAGATGAAGTCAGCATGAAGATTATTCGATCAGAATTCTCCCATAGTTTTTCCCCACGAATGCCAGCCGCGGCATTGCGAGATCAAAGCAGAGAAATGCCCGCAGAAATGACTTACAGCGCAGCTCCAGGAAGTCATAGTGCTCAAGACGCTGGATAGCCTCGAGCTTGCCACCGACGTAGAATTCCTTGGCGACGTTGAAGAGGTGCTTGACACCAGGGTGAGTATCATCATCACTGCCAAATACCTTGACAGCCTCGTTTGTCCTAGTGCCAGTGTTAGTTTCCGGTTCTGAGCGAGACCGATGCGCGAGTCATGTCAGGCTTACTTGTCAGGTCGGTAGACATCCTCGACAGTGAGGATGGCCAGGTTGCGGTCATCTCTGAGATCGCGGAGGGTGATCTTGGCACCAGGCTTGATGCCAAGGTCGTCAATCTGCTTCTGATCCACGTCCAGCGTGATGGGCATACTGAAGAGGGCGCCATCGGCGAGGCGGAGAGACTCGACAACGCTAGACACAATTGATTAGCCCTCATTCCATCGCGTGCTACTTGGCCAAATGAGAGCAAAGGCGCTCTCCAGTAGGGCAAGCGTACCTAGTGAAGTCCTTCTCGGTCATGAAACCTGTGCGCCCAGAAGGGTCCAGTTAGTGATTATCCGATTTTGCGTCATTTGTCGTGCGAGTGGCATCAATTAGGCTATTCTCAGCCCAATTGATGACCACACTACCACGAGGGTGAAATTTTGCAGCAAGACGCACCTTCCAGAGGAGAGAAGCCGCCGTTGAGGATGAGCTCGAGATCGCACAGGTGGCGCTCAGTCAGAGTGAGGGCGGGGAGCGTCTCGGCCTCAGCGAGAAGCTCCGACTGGCGGGGAGCATCGCGGGCGAAGAGGTCCTTGAGGACACCACCGTGGGGAGAGTTGGCCATGACGTGCGGAATGTGGTGTGGCGGCGGTGGTGGTGAGGGGTCGATAAAGGGGAGAGGGGAGGGGAGGGAGAGAGAAGGTTTGGGAAAGGAGGAACAACGAATTGATTTTGAATAATAATAAAGACGCTGCGCGAGTAACTACAGCCAATGCAATTGCCTGTGTTGGAGGAGTAGACAGAGTCGTTATGATAGAGTTTCCGCTATTCGGGCCCCCATTGATCACGCAATCGGAGCACACGAGAGCCGAATGGGTTGGACAATCCCCCGGATGCGGGTTTATGGAAGGGATTTTTTTTTTTTTGCCTGATGGAGGGGGAGGGGCAAAGTGGGTGGTGGGAGGCGATGGAGCTGTATTAACTGTCAGCAACACGAGTCGCCGAGGTGACAAGACTTGAATATAGTGCTCAATTGAAGTTGAAAAGACACGATTCTTAGATACTAAATCAGTGCTGGACGTGTGCTTTATGTATTCCGGACAGCGGTAGACAGGGAGCTCGAGACGATGGGCAGATGCCCCTTATAACGGCTACCAACCACACAGGATCACGGCAATAACACGTACCATTCATTACCCAGGGTAAATAGGAGACGCATCGGAATATGGCTCTCCACCATGGCATGGTTATCCTAACCCATGAGACCTAGCGAGGAGAGGGAGCTTATGGTGTTTCCCAGTGTTTGGGGCAGAGTGAGCCTCACTGTGTGTACCTACATTGCATCCAGTGACCCTTGCAACACCCTTGCAGCCGCCCAGGACCCAGCAGAAATTCAGATCAGATCAACGCAAAGACGACGGAGCAGTCAGCTAGCTGGGAATGAGGTGGGTTTCAAGTACGTATTGACGTACGTAGTCCCCAACGTACACCGTCGCCCACCGTACGTTTCTGCACATGGAATGCATTATCCCAGCCGTGCACAGCGACATGGGCTGAGGGCAGAGAGCAGCACCGGCATCGTTGCATGGCCGATGGGCTGTTTCAAGCCACGATTGTCGATATCGTGGCCCAGCCCGTCTGTCTGCCGTCGACGGGTACAGCCCAGAGCCGTCTTTAGTGAGCAATTGCGTGCTCGGAACCCACACATTGCTTGGCAGCCAGGCTCTGACGGCAGCTACCCGTGCCCATCCTCCACCATAAATTTTGCTTTGCTCTGGATCTCCGAGGATACAGTACATCATCCCGCTCTGCTCGCTCACG